GGGTGGGGACGACGAATTGCAGAGGATCGGGGCACGCCATTTGCTGAAACGGGCTCCTCTTCCTCCTCCTCCTCCTCCTCCTCCTCCTCCTCCTGCCGCTTGTAGACAAAGCAGAAGGTCGCCAAGACCCTGAGTAGCAAATTCTAAAAAATCAGAAGAGAATGCGCGTCCATGTCAGCACGAATGCCGGGAATGATGCCCCTGTTCGAAAGCCCAGGGCCAGCTGGAAGTCGAGAAGGGTCTCGTGGTATAAGATGACATCCGAGATATATTCTGTGTACTTTATCAGTCTGATAAGCTGAGAATTTTATGATAGACGCCAATACTTGCCAGTGGGAAGATATTCGTACAGCTCTCCGCTTTCGAAATTTCATACTCAGTAACTCTGTTAAAACGCCTGTTTTTCATCAGGGTGCTCGGCAAGTGCGCGAAATAATGCAGAGTGGGTTATTTTGGCTTTCCGAGTGTCATGGAGCCTCGAAAAGTGAAGTTGTTAAGAGAAATTCAATGTGTAATTGTTGTAAGGAGGAAGTGTTGCTTGAAGCTGCAACCTTGCAAGCCTGAACTTGCAAAAGATTACAATTCAGTAGAATTTAGTACAAGGAACTAACTGTATCAGTGGCTGTGACCTCGCTGCTCAGCCTATTCATGTTCGCAATCAACCACTTCCGACTAACTGCATTGGCCCGCAGAACACCGTGTATACGTTCCTACTCAAAAAAGTCCCCAGTCATTCGACCAACTCCGAGTCAAAATCAGAGCTCCGAGCAAGATGATGGAGACTTCCGTCCACCATGGGTGTACTCTGCGTCCCACATCCTCACCTACACCCTGATACCCAGTGAATTTTCGCGCTCTCACAGTTCGCTGATGACCATAGTAAACTTATTCATAATGATTAGCTGCTATAGTCTATTGTGTCTTCCTTGCTGATTGGGGCGAGCGGGAACATGTCTTCTCGCCAGTACGTGTCTCATCTAGATTTTTTTTAGCTCGTCTTACCTGTGATCTTTCAGGTGCGCAGATGGACAATGAAATACAAGGAATCTTTTCTCTCTCTTTCTCCAGACGAAGCTTCCTTGATTGAGGAGTCACAACCGCCAACAACCACAGAACTGCCGGTTACAAGAGGAATTCAGGTAGAAGGCCGTCCTTCATGAGAGACGTGTCTTCAACTTGCCGAAGGATGCAGTTCGTTTGCCTTTGAATTTCAAGACCCTGCCTAGTACTGGCCATATGTTTAGAAGCCACCCTGTGGTAGTAGTATCTTCGGTAGACGAAAGATAAAGGTGTTATCACTCTTCCCAAGAATGCACTTAAGTTCGCGAGAGGAACGATGACTAGGCGGATAATAGAGTGCGGTTTGATGGATGAGTTTAGCGTCGTCGGTGGCTGAATTTATTTGCAAACCTTGATGCGAAAAACTGTGCAGCACACGGAACCATGCAAACGGCGAGCACTCCAGCGGCTCCTTACCATCCAACACATCCTCCAATACAAAATGGATACCAGCCCCTCACAGGTACGGACAAATGTGCTGGATAATCGACTGCATATTTATGCGTAACCTAATGACAGAATCTGAAATTTATGCCATCAAACGACAGTACTTGGGACTGCTTCCTCCACCACAGATAATAGATATCTGCCTTACATTTGAGGCTCATGCACCCCTCCATGTAAAAAGTACTGTGTGGCCGTATGATATTCGAGCTGCAATTGCAGCAATCCAGGCCCAAAATGCACAGATCTCTCAGCATGCACCAGCTCAACAATTGAGCCCTCCAGTGGACTCTGGGGATCAATCTAAATCTACATCACCGCCAAAGGATTCACCTTCAGACACAGGAGATAAAACTGCTCCATCCTCTTCTGAGCAACCACCGGTGCCCTCTGTAACACATGACCTGGCCTCTGGTAGTGCTACACCTCATCCGTCTGTGGCAGCTCACCCACACCCACCACCACAGTCCCTTCCGCACTATCCACATCAACCCTATTACCATCCTTCCTACCCACATGCTCCGTACTATCCTGCGCCACCCCAAGCACACTACAATTTTCCCCATCCATATCCCCCTTACCCTCACCCACCTCCGGGTCAATACCAACCAAACCCGCCTCCACCACCTCCGCCAAGTCACGCACCATCGTTGTTCACGAGTGCACCTTTAGCACATCCTTCAGAACCACCCTCATCATCAAATAACGTCGATGACCTCCCCAGTTACGAAGAAATGATTGTAGAGGCGCTGATAGATTTTGGGGACCCAGAGGGGTGTGCACCAAAGGCCCTCTTTAGTTGGATGGCGTCACATTACCCGTTACAGTCAAATTTTAGGCCTTCAGCTAGTCAGGCCCTCCAAAAAGCCTTCAAACGCGGACGTCTAGAAAAGGGGAATAATGGTAAATACAGATTGAATGTCAACTGGGAAGGTGGGAATGTAAGCACAACACTTTGATTCTTGTTGCAACTTTTAACGATGTTATCCATCAGACTTCCAAGAGAACTACTCGTCGTCCGCAGACTCACGCTCAAACTGCATTGTCTGCCCATCAGGGACATACATCATCACCTTTCACTCATATTCCCCTTGTCCATGACGCAGATGCCAGTACACCATCGTCTCAGCCACATGCTTCCACACAAGGACAACCTGGCCATCCTTATAGCTTCGGTTATCCAGGGTCGTCAACGTCTGTGGCAAATCATCACCCTCAGCCTGCTCCGTCGGAAACACAAACTGCCGAAAGCCAGGTTCGGGAAGGCAGCGATGCTTGGGAAGCGGCCCAAAATATACTCAAAGCCATAAATTTCGGACAATTGTTTCAGATCTCCAACGAGGATGGAGTGCCAATACATGCAGATTCTGCGACGATGGCTCAAGTGCCACCTCCAGTATTTGCCGGTTCTGCCGAGGCATCGTCGACATTCGGTAGCCAACCAGTTTCGACGATTGCGAGCACATCTCTGCCATCTCGTAATACCGAGACCTTATTACGCACTGAGTTGAACAGCGATGAAAGGGCAGCGCTGCAGGCTGAGCTTGCCCTCTTAGCTGCTCAGTTGGCGGAGTTTGCAGATGTGGGCGAGGACGAGCTAGCCCAAGACCTCAACCCTCCCAGAAGCATGGAAGAGGGTTATGTTTCCGCTGCGACTGCAAAATCACACGATTCTCATGATTCCGCTCTACCTCCTGCGGATCAGATATCGAATAGTGACGATGACGATGACGACGACGACATGGACATGGTTGCTAATACTCGCGATAATCCCTTTCTTTGAGGCTCTGAGAGGATGTTCCGTGCCAGTCGGGGTTCTCCGATACTTCGACCATACGGAGGTATGAACTTTCCCCTGAACATGTAATTAGGCCTTCCGATCTATCGATGATTTCATCTAACTTATCAGGTGTTACGCACTGTGGGCTTTGCGTGATCATAAGCAATCCTTGGCTGGCATGACGACACATTTGTGTGACCCGGAGAAAGTCGAGGCTCGCCGTTCAATAAGTTATGCAGTGTCGTTCCTCGATTTTTCGAGTTGTTCTTGGCAACCCAAACCAATGAATACTTATGTGAAGAACAGCCAGACTCCCTCATCGTCCAACCCGTCCTCTCGTCAGTCCGCAAAGGTCCGTAATTGATCAACGTCACTGAGTTTAATTGCGCACAGGTGTGTTACTGATTATGTGTAGATGTGATTGAATATTGAAGACTATGTCCTGTTCCCAGCGACTTAATGACGCCTGTCGTTGTCGTACTGTACTCGAAATGGTAACGCCGTTCATCCAAGGGTGCGTGGTTCCAGGTGCTTTCACTATGCAAACACCGCAAACTTGCACCACCCCCATTTGTGTTACTGAACTGCAGCTTAATTTGTTTATTTGGTGCCGCATTTCATCTGACGGCCCACGGCTTCCAGCGCAGCGGTTCAAGGGACCGATAGCATCGATCATCAGGTCGATCGCGCTTGTCCTGTGAACCATGTGGTCTGCTTACAATTGGCCGCGGCATTCACACATTCACTGGTACGGTTTTCTCCGTCGGATGCTCGACGTATTGACCAGACTCTAGATCAGGACCGCTTTCAACGGCAAAGTTCCTCAGTAATTCTTGTGAGCTCCACCAAATCTTGGAGATGCTCATCTGCCAAGTGTTGACGTCATGACACCGTCGAACGGTGCAGGCTGCAGGAGATGGTTGTCCAGTGTCAACTAGTGAATATTTCAAGTACATTCGTGTTGTTCTAAAAGAATACTCGATCTGGTCCGTCGGCCGAGAGCCGTATAATTTATTGGTGGCCGAAGAACAATCTCGCCTCGCGCAACTCTAAACGATCGATAGTATACTACCGACAGCATGGCGCAGGGTTGTCACAAGGCAAGGAGCTGCAGTCAATAAGAAGTGTGTCGACCGATCGTGAGGTGAATTCTTGAATTACTTCTAGACTTCGAAGCTTGCTGCTTCCGTTTACTGCAACGCAACCTGCCAGTCAGCAGGGACATAAGAGATCCGACGCTACATAGTAACGAGCAGTCTTTTTTCATGAGCACACCATCTAACGCGAACGATCCGTTGCGAGCTGAGCTGGATAGGCTCCAACAAGTGCTTGAAGAAAATCGGGCAAGATGTGCTGAAGCTAAAATGCGACTGGAGGCGAGAGCTGCTGAAAAGGACGGTGAAGGAGGATGGGACCAATTTTATGCGGAGATACGGGGAAAACTTCATAGCCTGATGGAGGATTCGCGCGAGAATAGGACATCCCGTAAGCTGAAACGCTTCAGTCTCTTGGATCTTTATCTCTGATATCGAGTAGATATATCGATGGAAGTCCTCTTGGAAGCATCTCGGCAAGCTCATCACGAGTCGCTGGCTGCTATCGAGGCTTTCGCAGAGGGTAAAGCAGGCCCATACATTTATGTCACCAAATGCTGATCATCAAGATGATGCGACATTCAGAGCACCAGACGCAACGAGAAGCTGAGCACAAAGAATTATGGCGCCTGGTAGGGGAGATCAATCAAAGTAAATGATACCATGTTCGCAATCATGCATACCACAAACCTGACAAATATTTCCATTGCGAAATTACGAAACGGTCCAAAATGCATGAACATACAATTGAGTGGATTGGTACAAAAAGGCAGTCACAAATGCCGAAAGTAAGCTCGTACACGCCGCGTCATTTAAAAGTCATTAATTGATCTTCAACAATTCAACCTCAAATTTCAAGGTCGAGTGCGGTGGAATGACGGGCGGAAATCCGCGTGATCCATAGGCCTGAGATAATGTTAGACCGGGACTTGATCTTCATGAGATATTCACCCACATAATCAGAAGAGGCTATCAAGTTGGCCTTCTGGCCGAGCGATAGTTGCGGCACGCCTAATCAATCATTGAATATTGAGCAGCAAAAGATGCGGGGAAGTCACAGACCTTCATCCCATCCCTTGATCACCTTACCGACGCCTATTTGTGTCACAAAAGGATCTTTACTATGGAGGAATGATCGTCAGCTATAATCATGGACAAGAGGTGCGATGCTTGCCGATCTCTGCTCGAATCAAAGACAGTGCCATTTTCTAGTGTGCCAACATAGTGAATTGTAACCGTGTCTGTCGCGATCTTAGTTGAAACGTGATTCGGAGATACTGTACATACCACCCCGTTTGGGGAACGTTTTGCCGTCACCAGGAGTAATTGTCTCAATACTGACGCCCTGTTTCGAGTCATTAGCGATAGAGGAGAATAATGGCGGAGATGCCGCGCGCTCACCATTGTACACGGTGACACGTACCAGGTGCGGGGAGATAGATATGATAGGGATTTGTGGCAACACTTATAGTGGCGGGAAGGCGGAGTGCGGATCTTGATCCGAATCTGGTAATCCGCTACAGTCGATAACATTCAATGAACCGGATTGAACCCAATACAAGTGTTGCAGGAAAGTTATCGATATCGGTTCAACATCAAGACCCTATGATCCAAATGATCAGCGCTCACCCCCCGGTGGTACACGGAGTCTGATTTCCAGCGCACGTCTCCCTTGATTTTCATTCGTATCTTCCCATGAAGCTCAGCCATGGGGAGCTGGTTGAGCGCCATCGAAACCATCGATCATAATCAAAGATGAAGGTCAAAGTGCCACAAGTACGAACTGAGAAAGAATTTGAATTCTAGCAAGCCAAGTCATCGGTCAAGAGTCGAGACCGCCGTACCTGTGCATAGGTCCCGACTTGTCTTATGCGGGGGCAGATAAACGTTCAGAGATATTACCTTTACACAGGGGGGAAGGAAATCTCTTTTCCTGTTCGTGGATACTCCTTGATTTATAGGTACGACAAACTACCCCGAAGCAACGAGGTGGGGCGATGGTTCCGATGTCCGAGCTGCATGCACAAAATTCAAATCAAAACAAGGGCAGAAAAAATATTATTTCTGTTAAACATCATCTCGTGATGAAAGACAGGACAAATTATCCTCGATCCACTTTGCCGATAATTCCCAATATACAAATTCTTCTGCTGGACTGAACAGCGAAGAAATCGGATAGTGGCCGTCTCTAACAGGTTGTTGTAGGGCCAGCCAGTCACCGAACAGAGTGGAAACGACGCATGGAATAATTCATGCGAAGTATGAGACTTTGTTATAAGATCTGTCATTGCATCGAAAGCGACCGTTGACCTTTCAGCCACAAATATTATGGACAACAGTACATTTTCTTGCCAAGACCACGAACTTGTGGCTAAGAGGTGCGGATGCTTGCATACATATAGGTAGTCGCAGATCATAAGTTGTCGGAATACGGCCCGGCGAGTGGTATTTGACAGAGATGACGCGCCAGTTGAAAACAAGTGAAGACTGTATGGTGAGCTAGTAGTGCCACTGGGTATGATATGGATAATGAATCTGCTTGCACGAAAGAAAAACACCAGGCCGAGGATCAACTGGCCACATCCTGCGGCAGACTCGCTGTGGTGCCTGTTGAAGCAAAAATTCAGAACTTCAACTACATCCATTCTTGAAAACCATGTCTCACGGGAACTCCAAGCTTTAAAGCCGCAGGCGTGGGAGAGCTGTAATGCTGCACTGAACATTCGACTTGAAATTGGCTTGGTTTTTAGGACATAGCTGGGTGTTTTTAGGTTGGAGTCCAGCTGCAGCTGTAGACGCCAGTCACGATGGATGTGCCATGCTCGAAGATAAATATAATGCAGGTAGCAGCATCGTCACATCACCGAGCTGCAGGTGGGTGGAACTCCATGTTGTCCCCGAGTATTGATGAGTGCCGACTACAAACATTGTAGAATCTATCGCAATCACAGTAAGTATATCATTGGCTTGAGATCTAGAGGGAGCACGAAACGTTGACAATTATTATCGATAGAATCATACTATGCGGACACAGACTTGAAGGCCACTGATGCGGTTAGCCTGCGTTAATATTGGCTGAGAAGGAAGAAACGAAAAAGTCATATAAGTAACACCATGACACACTCGATGAAGTTCTAACACCATGCCGGATCGTCCGGAGTCCTTTGGCCATGTTGATACTAATCGATCCTCACGCGTCGCCCGGTTACCTGTAAGTAAGATTTTCACCAGGATATTTAGATTAAGACGGAGACAAGGCTTACTATCGTTCAGTGCTTAATACTGTTCTCGTGCTCACACAGAAGTCAGGTACTCCTCCAGTACTCTGTTACCATGCCGCCTCTAGAGTTCCCTAGTTTCAGGCACCTCGCCGAGCTCAAATTTAACTAGCCATTCATGACTGATCTATGATATTCTGGTAAGAAAATTTCCGCCCACGGCCACATGAGAATTGACCGCACATCCGCCGTCATAAGCCATCGTCTGGTCGGCTTCCGGTGTCCTGTGACGCAACGCCGGCGGGAAACATGTGTTCCTACTTTTAGCGGGTACTACTATATGCTCAAGCTGACTTACAGGTGTCGCCTGAAACTTTCCTAGGCACCGAAACGAGTGAAATGACTCGGAAACGGCAATCTCATTGAAATATTAATCCAAAAAGAACGCGGCGTCTGAGTATTCAGATTCTTAAGCGGCAACTGTTTACCGTCTTTTCAGCATTCATCTTAGTCCATTGTTGTCGCATCTAGATGCATCAGCTGTAAACTATCAACTGTAGAACTGTTGATCTTGATCTTCCGGCAGGTTTTCAGTGCCGGACGAAATCACACTGCAGCAAATCCGCTCAAGGTAAATATTGCCTTAAATGTCCTGTGACTCTAGTATTTCTAGTATCATAGATGGTGTTTCCGGTCGTCGGCAAGTACCGCGATTCATATTCCCAGTATCTTAGATTTTGACTTACCTCAAACCGTCAACCCCACGCTGAAAGAGGTTGTATTCGGCGATCACCGCAGTGGGTGAGTCATCGCCTCGTGAATGTATCATTGGTCCTCGTCCATGCTGTCGCACATCCCAGCAGGGTAGTCACTGGTCATGCACACGATCACCGGATACCTCAGGCTATGTAGCGTCATTCCGCGACGTAGTAGCAAACGCAAGGATCGGTCTTTGATTGTCGTGTTCTGGCATGTCGCTAGGTATTGATGCATCTGTCTAGCTTGTCATACTACTTGTGAGTACTAAGGGTCAGGCAGGATGTACGTGCCTTCTCGTCACATTATCCTGACAGAAGTTTCCTGTTGCTAATATTGGATCTCCCCTCAGCCCGGATCCCAAATAAGGCCTCAGAGAAATAACCACATGTGTATGTACAAGTGTATCTCATGGTCTCTTCCTACAGTCGCTATGCAATTAGTCTGCCCGATAACGTTTTAGGTTGTGCACTTCCTTACCCACAATGCGCACAGCGCTGTGCGACTGTAATTCCTCAGCGTGCTAGTGAAGTCTAACTGTACAGGTCACACGTCGCGATGCTCCTTACGGCCAAGTCAAAAACTATGGGATAAAAAAATTCGAATTAGCCTTGGGCACGTACAGCAAAGTTGAGTTTCTTCAGGCTAGCTGGATGCCGGGATACGTCAGAGTATGTCACACACACGAAAGCACCCTTATGTAAAGAAGGGAGACCCTTCACCCGAGACTAGTCAGTGTGGCGTAAACATGCTGATTTTTAAGTTTCCCCGCATTTGCACAGCAATCATCGACATGCATGTCAAGTAAAGCTCAAATTGCTTCTCCCAATATGTGCAGCTAGGCTCTTCTGTTCACCCCTCAGTGTCTACGCTAGGCATTGTAATATCCGTCCCTTTTGCATTATACGATATTTCCTGGACATGCACCAGCAGGTCATTACCACACGCGAAATGAGGCTAGTATATGATGCAGCCTAACCAATAATCACCGCAACATGCTGGTATTGCGGGCTTCCGTTATGGTATCCGCGGTTTTCTGCGTCCCTGTATCAAGTATCTCGCAGCCGCACGGTTGACGCTGACGCAAGGAATGTTTCCAGAAAGTGACGTGGACAGGGAAAGGCGGAAGCCGTGAACTACGTTACCCCGCATCAACTGTCGTATCGGGCCGCCTGATGAGCGTTCATGCCCCAGACAGGCAAAATGTGCGTAATTTTATGGAACGGTAACGTCGGTATATCATAAACATGTGTCAGGTTAATTATTTATTCGTCAGGCATCGAGACGGCAGGTGCTGGGAGCAGTTTTGATAATCGTGGAAGGCCATTGGGCAGCCCTGACTTGCTGGATGTAACACTCGGATGTTGTATGATGAGTGCAGGCTCGTGGGGATGCGTATTAGACGCGTGGCGTGACGGAGACTCGTAGAAGCATCTACCCTGCTCACACGCGCGCACGCGTTCGACGTCCATCGAACTGAATGCATTATTGGTTGAGACCGAGTTCAAAACATGATGCGTATCATAGATCGAAATAGATTCTATTACGGTCAGCAATATTAATGGCATGATGAGCTCCGGAAGTATATATCTGGTCGTGGGCATCCCCCACATGCCCTCACCGAGGTGAGTGCAACCGCCCAGTTCCGATATCAATGAAAGCGCCCCACGCACAGCAATCTCAGCGATATTCCCTATCCATTTCCGGAGAGGGGCAACTACTCCCATCCAGGAGAGATGGGGCTGTTTCAATATATGATCAGGCCCCAGGTGGTTCAGGGAACGTGAATTTCGTCATATATTTTACCCTGGAGGTCATTAACATTTACTTACTAGGGAACGGGTGCTGTAACGTAGTATGTCTGCTCGTCGCGCGTCGCGCCCATTCCCACATACGGGATAATAAGCTCCAGCACAAACGTGGCCAGTCATATCCGGACTCCGGAGATCCGGTCAACTGAAAAATTCAGTCTTCCAGCACCGTTCCGTTGATCGCAGAATTGGATTAGGTCTCACAGCGTAAGCCGTGTCCGTCGTCACCCGTCTGATTCAGAGTTGCTGCGGAAACAACTGAGCGCTGTTGCGGCAGGCACGGAACATGATTGAACCAAGTGATGTTCCTGTGTCAAGAGCTGTGTCAATGATTCAAAGCTGGTGTATTGGGCTATGGTGCTGACTCTCTGTGCACAGGCCGAATACATGCATCCGGGGCGTGGGGTAATACTTACCTCTGAGGGTTGGGGTACCAAGGGGTCGCTAGTCTCCGCTTCTGGACTCTCGTCCCGGGATGGATTTACGCCCTTCCGTGATCGTCTCAGATAAACAGATGGAACGATCCGGACGTGCGCTCCAGAATGCAAGGATACTGATATCTGTATATGCATGTGTTTGTGTACTCGGAACTTGGAGCACCTCGAAAATGAACCTCCATTGCTGGACATGGAAATTATAAATTTTGACTGACCGACTTGTTGCCATCTTATTGAACACAACGATATGATTCCGTGTTTATTAAAGAGGGAGCTAACCGAATTACTCACAAAAGATCATGATGCGGACTAAGAAGCTCAGGGCCGACGGCGAAGTGACCACAAGGTGCCTACTGAATAATGTTAATGTTACTTCTGAGCTTCGATGTTCCCATGCAAGCCGAATATTTGATTTCGAACGACCCAGATAAGTGTCCAGTACATGCATTATTGCAACAAGTATACAAGTGCTACTCACAACGGAACGACGATGCGATATGACAGCGAGAAAACATCGAAGACCAAAATATAGTGATAAGAAAATAAGACAGAAAGCAATTAACGTTGGCCCGAGCATGCACCCCAACCACAAAACTCGACCCGAAAGACAGAAGACCAATTAGTCCCATGTCCTAGAATAATGCGTACAGTAAATGCGCAAGTCTGATGTTACACGATGTACGGACCCAGAAGAAGAAAAAAGCAGGAAAGGTATACACACAATACAATGGTATGGTACAAATCATTATTCAACTTTTGATATGGATGCGCGGTATTAGGCAGGGTAGCGGTGGCGCGATTCAGCTGAGTCGACAACGCGATCGTTAAATGGGATGTCGTGAATTGCGTGTGGTCATGATGCGATGAAATGCCGGTAAAGAATCGATAAAGTAATGGGTATGCGTCGTGAATGTGGCGGTATGGCCGTCGGCGATCCGCGACCGTGCAAATACAGGGTATGATGGAATGCTCGAGAAACAGACAAGGCCGAGGGGGATAGTGACTGCAGCGCCCCGTTTAGGACCGTCCCACAGGAGTTGTGTCCTTGCCAGGGAACAGGAAGAGGCGCTTCACAGGTTGAACCACTTCAACCTCGACTTCGACCTCCTTAACCTCGCCATCAACCATGCGATGCTCGATGCGTTTCTCCTTCTTTGCAGGAGGCATCATCACAGGGTAAGTCTTGATGTTATCGTATGACCATGCGCGAGCTGGAGATACAGATTGGTCACACAATTAAACATTCGTCAAAGGTAGAACATACTTTGTGGTGCAGGTCGGGACCGGGTACCAAGTGATTCGGACGTGGTGTCACTCAAGATACTGTCTTCACTCACTTCGCTGGGGTGCCGCGTTAAAGGTTTCGCAACACGTTGCGATAACAAACCCATGCTCGAGTTATTTCGAGTGAGTATGACGTCGGGAACTAGTAGACGACCCTCTGCACCTCGCTTGAGCAGAGGGACTTCACGACGACGTCGACTGGACGAAGATGTGGAAGTAGGAGACAGCGGAGGTGATTGTGCGGAAGAAGACGCCGAGTGAGGGAAAAGCGACATACGTGATTCTGATCTGCGAGAAAGAGGCAAGGAATATTTGGTGTACAACTCTTCGCTGTACGACTGAGTCGAACGAGGAGGAGGCAGGTTGGAGACAGGACACTGCGCAGCAAGAGCACTAGATGAATTTGACTGGGAAAGTGTCGAAGTCCATTGAACACCACGATGTGACGATGCTGCAAATGAGGTCTGGGGTTTCTCGGACCCAACAGATGCATTGTCTGAACGTTTAGAGTATCCGCCATACACTGATTGACGCCATTCACTACCGCCGTCGGTCCAACCAGGAACTGGTTTCCTAGGTTGAGGTGGTTCACTATAAAACGACGAAGGCTTGGCGCGTGGCAGGCACAACACTTCCTTGATACGCTTGCTTGCCATCATTGTCCCGCCCTGATAATCGTTGTGATACTCGGGCATCAATGAGGACGTGCTGTCAGCCGGTGACAAAATAGGTGGCGCAGGAGGTAAGGGAGGGAAGTTGTACAGGGCGGCAAGCGTGGCCATACTGCGAGAGACAGTGACGACCGGTGCGGAAGACGAAAAACCTGAGTCAAGTGATGATCCGGAAGTGCTGGTGGATTCATCTTCTGATTCGCAATACCGCCTCTCGAAAGAATTATGAGGAACGCGAGGAAGAGGTGGCGATGAGCGATCAGGGTGGTAGTTGAGTGGGTAAGCACCATCAAGTCTTGCCAAGTCTTGGAGACGACACTCATCCGAACAGTAAAGAGGGATTGGACCCTGGTCGATGACGGTACGGTGCTTGACAGGTGCGACAGGTTGTTGAGGTTGAGATGGCGAGGCACGCCCCTTGTTTGCCGTTGTCGTCGAGTCGGATCGTTTTATTGCTCCATTAGGCTTGAGACGACCGGTACCTTGCACAAGGCCATTCTTTGCGCGAACGGCCCCAGTTTTCGTTCGGGAAGTACGTGTAGTAGAGTCACTCTGTTGATTTTTCGACGCTAGAAAAAAAAATATTGAGTGAGCTATGACAGCGAACGGTGACAGGTGACAAGACTCACGAGATGACGATGCTGGGGATGACGTGGGGACAGGTGTGGGTTCTTGAGGTTGTGGGAGGACGGGTACTGTATACCGCTTAGGCATGATTTGCCTATCACAAACTGGACACCAGGCTTCGTCGAAGTGGTTATCCATGGGTGGTTTAAAGGAAGTGCGGGGAAGTGGTGGGGGCTTTAAAGGCAGTCAAACAAAGAAGTTGGCAGGCGGTGCTGAAGATGTCTAGATGTGGACAAAAGGTGAAACACCAACAAAGGTAAACGTTCTAGACCAGATTTCAATGGAATGGAAACGATGAACGCACGATTTATGGCCGTGTGGAGCGTGCCACCAGATGTGTGACCCGATGCCAACGACTATTGTTTAGGTCGTCAACGTTGAGGACGACGGCGAGGAAGACGAGGAAAGGATGTAGGTGAGATATGGGAGGATGGGATTGGACGAAAAAAAGAGTGAAAGGTCGGGGTTTTATTATTTGATTGGTGATTCGCATATACACCAAATTGACTACCCAATTGGGGATTGCAATCGCACCGAATGCCGAAAAATTCACGACTGAAAATTATTGGAAATTGGGTTATTACTCTTCGGCTACCTCGGATCCTCGGCAATGATACTCTGCCCCCGCATTGGGAAATCGCATGCTGTCACGCTACCCCGTGTGGTGGAACCCTGTGCACGTGGCAATTGGTTCCCTATCGGCCCGTATGTACACTTCTAGACTGGCCGTCCTTACATACCAAGCAATTCGCCGTTCATATAAACACCAAGTCTAATCATCACTAGCTTGGCCAGACTCATCCCTCTAGCATATCTTAAATTGTTTTTCTGTTCAGTGCCGGTTCACCCCGTGTGCATACGTTACTTACGGGATCGGCAAACACCGATTTACACTAGATATCATTCCTTTCCAAAAAACATGTACGATATCATCTCCGTGAATGTATCCATCTCCACGCTCGACATGATCATGCTGCCCTCAACAGTTTGTCTTACCAAAACAAGAATCAATTGGCTGTTCAGACTCAGATAATAGGACCTGTTGCATGTGTAGGTGTACACAACCGTACACAGTGCTTCACATCCTTGATTGGTCCAATCACTCCAGCCTTTGAAACTGTGGCAACCGCCCTGTGAGCCGCTATCCGTCATTGGCCCAATCTTGTCTCACCTGGTCCCATCCAATCCATAATTCGTAATTCACGTTTGATAGACTACTCGGCTTTCTCCGACCGCGGAACCCAGTCCGACTTCACGCCATTCTTGGCAAGAACTGCCCTCCTTCGGGAGCTCCAGTAACTAATAATCAGATGTCTCTCAACGTCGATGTCCGCTTGCTTTTCGGTGAGTTCCCGAGTTGCGCTCTGGGTCATTCGTGTCGGGGGCCTTCCGTTCCTCGCTCGTCTCACAAGTAGTCGACTTGTCCTTTTCAGGTCAAACCGAACTAGTCGGATGACTCGTCAGATTTTGGGCGATGCCTTTGCTGCATCGAGAAATGCGATACCAGCTAACGTTCACTCGTGAATACACCAATGCGATCCTTACTATTCGGCGTTCATCAGATGCACTGCTCAAACTATAGTAGTCCCAGTCATTGCCATCATAAATCCTGTTCTGTTCAATGTGATCATCTCATCTGTTGCCCTCCCCGCGGGGCTCTCCGCCGCTGAAGCTTACTAGTACGGGGGTCCCACACGGTCAGTAACCGTATATCATTCATTTCCGCCCGGAAATATTTTAAAGGCACGCGGCAACTTCAGCCAGCCGAATGTACACCTAGGTACCACCAAGTTTTGCGATCGAAAATAGGCAGCTGCTGTGTTCACTGAGGTGCTACCGTGAGTTTCTCCTCCGTGTCACTCCTAATAGGCTGTTGGGGATTGTATTTGAATATCTTACGTCGGTGATATCTAATCCGCTACTATCGCATCGATCTTTTATCCTTATTCGCTCGCGAATTTCATCTACAGGCCTGACAAAGATCGCTCCTCGGTGACTCACGCCGTTTCTACTGGAACATCCAGCGAACATTGACTGCACAAAGTATGAGGTCGCGACGTCATGTTCGATCAATTCTAATATTCATATGATATTCTCACAGAGGCACAATATTCCTCGTGCAAGAAGAACCTCATCTCGCCTTTACATCGTGTTGAGATCTCAGAAGCACATATGATGGAACGTTTGGCATGTTGTCTCAAATCGATTCGAAGATCTAGATTTTTGTTCTCAACGCGAAGAACGCCTATCGGCTTACGAACACGTCAACCCAGTGCAAAGGCGTACTTCCCTGCAAGCAGGTAAGCGATTGTATAAGCGAGTACAGGCTGAGCCCTCGGATCCGTGTTCTATGCAAAGAAGCGACGGCATACTTCTTTGAATACCGCGAAATAGAATCCCCCACACGGGCGGCACCACGCATGTCGCGCGGGGCGGACACACTGGTATTGTATGTTGGTTCTCAGCACGCCGCCCGGGCCTGCCTCAGCGTCATTCAGTCCCAACACCCCGGTCCACAGGAATACCTTTTAGCACCTCGGTAGCCGCACAGGAATGGACTGACAAAAGTCTCCATGATATGCGCGCTCGTATTTGGTTATCTTCGATCAAGTCATCCATGAGCAGCCAAATTGAACTCAATCTATACAGTACCACTGACGTCGACTCGCTTTTCGCCGCGGAGGAATTGGAACGTCAACTGAGGCAAGCCCCAACTCGGCCGGCTCGCACCGGATTGAGCTTAGTGTTCTTCTCATCCCTCTCATTGCCGGATGGTGACCTTGAACTCGTCGGATGCGGCCTATCGCGCAATCTGCTTTCTAGTCCTTCCACGATTACTTCACAAACACTAACCAAAGGTGCCAAAGTGCCAATACAGTTCCCTTTGAAGGCCGTCCGACGCACCGCAGTATGTCATAGCCACTCAACTATGTACATATGGGTTAACACCGCGCAATTGAATTCATGTAGGTACATATGATATATCTGAATCATAATATGTTCATAGTAGTAAATTGACCGTCATCATTGCGCTAATAGAGCGCTGGTTGCATTCCTTTGAAGTTCCGTAGCTTGTTAGCAATACATTACTTTACGTTATACATGTGCGCCAGCAGAGCTTCCAGGCCCGCTCTTCTAGTAAAGGCACTTGGAAGCAGTTGAAAGCTCCACCGATCCAGACCTTAAAGATGCGAACAATTCTTGAACATTTCATTTCATTGTTTCATAGGCCCAAATTTGGAACTACGAAAAACCCCAGAATGCAGAATGCAGAAATGAAATGAAATGAAATGGAACGTTGGAATTCTAGGTCAAGGTCTTGCCCAGGCAACTTCAGAGGCCAGACGCGCAGGAGGCTGAGGCTTAACCGCTCAGACCACACTGGATGGTATGGCATCCCGCCAGTGCGTGGCAATGCGGAGTCCCTCCTGCTTGGCTGTCATGGTTGGGCCTGGTGACCACCGAATTCCAGCGGAAAATACGATCTTGCGAGCCAGTGGCATTGTTGGAAGCATTTAGACGTGTTCATTTCGTGGCTTGGGGCCAATAGCATGCGAGCACCACTGTTCATTTCGTGGCTTGGAGCCAATGGCATGCGAGCACCACGATTATTTCCCCTCGAGGACATATCTTCCTATGACGCTGCAGCGTATCACAGGGCCAGAGCAACACATGTGACGCACTGCCTTCGTGAGGAACTCGAATGTGTTATCGGGTTTGACATGGATATTATCGGGTTCCTTTGTGGCGTCACGAAGTTGTGCTGGCTCTCTATTAAACCGTCCGGTAACCTGGCATGCCCAACAGCAAGGAGAGCAAGACCTTGACAAGGCGTAAAAACTTCCGATTGTGCCTCTCCAGCAATTGCTTCGCAGCGGATGCAATGCGCTCTACTGTCAGCGTTTGACCACCGTGTGCGTGTGTTACATGACTGTAGCGTCGGCCGTGTCACACGCTGCCTCGATAATATCTGAGGGTACAACATACTACATCAAACATACTTCTCTGTCGTCATTTCACTCACCAATCAGGTGTAGATTATGCACCCTTTGACGCATTATTGTTGCCTGCAATGTTCAACCCATGTAGTAATGCACATATTGCATTTTGCAATGCCCCTCAATATCCATGTAATGGGGATAAGGCTTAGACCTGGAAACCAGACTGGTCCATCAGTGGCGTCAATGGGCTAGACATACGATTGACACTTGCATAGAAGTCGTCCACGGAAGAAATAAAGAACACATCCATCTCGCAAGGCTCGATCACCATTTCCTGCAAAACCTATAGGGGTTGACGCTCATGGCTTCGAGGCCTTGTGCACGTACGTTAACAACACTGCCGCTGCGCAGAAACTCACACGTTACTACTAGATGCGAGTATGATTCCCTTCCATGCGAGTATGATTCCTTCCATGAGAGTATGACCCCTTCCATGCAAGAATTGACCACATATGGACCACAATTATTGTCATTCGTGCCCTCGATCGGAGGCAAGCCAAAAAGCTTGACTATTCGCATGCCCCTCTCCACGTAAGATATGCTCCACACGAATAAAAGCACGGCGGACCTTGAAGCATATGCGGTCTTAGGGCGCTGAATAATTTACTGATAAGATGTGAGTTGACACGATTTAGTAAGATGGATCACATGCCAATCGGACGAGTGACACCAGAGCCTAGATATGACTTCTAGATACTTATCGGGGCTACCATTTTGCTTAGCTCGGGCCAACGTTCGTCCAGAAAGTGAATTTCGCGCCTTCATCTCCGCGTTGACTAGAAGATTCTGACATGCTGACATCTTCCCCGAAGAATGTCAAAATATTCATAATCGTTGATGAATGAAGTACAGCTGGAGGGAGATTATTGTATTGCTTCGAACGTGCTTGCGTGCATCTGGACCTATCACATTGAGTCTATCATTTTATGCAGCGTCATGGTGGCGTGTATCGGTGCAAGAGTAATACACACTTTCATTCGTATTTTCAGTGGCAATTCCCCGTGCCATCCACCACTACCATATAGAGCTGTCACGCCCACCCTGTCTGTTACGAGATATGAGGCTCGCATACACACCTTGCGTTCTGGAATAGATCTGATGTTCGACATGACCCGATTGTAAATGTCAAAGCCCACCTAAAGGTTATCAATTCTCCCAATAACCATGATAATCTCAATCCCGTAATATGTCTTCATGTTCTCACATGTCATGGCCGCTGAACCCCAAAGCTGCCGTCTGTTAGCTAAGGATGTCCAAAAGTTCATAGATCTTGGACAAGCTATAATTGCGAAATGTGTGTATTTTGAATCGGATGGTCGGTGTGACTACCAGCTAGCCGGTAAGATAGATCAGATAAGGGAACTTGTTTTGCCAAGCACCTGGAAACATAGCTGGCACTTTCATGTGAGCTCGGATATAAATGAACTGATATCACTCACTATGTTCCCAATAAGGACGACACAGGGTAGTAAGTGCAACGAAATGTCAAACGGATTTGTGGCACTCGGGACGAACTCCATGACTTGACTACAAAATGGGCATGAACTGCAGGCGGACAACCTACATCAATATGACAGATTTAGAGGCCCCACAAGTGGAAGATAGGTCTGGTATAAGGTGTGAAAGTGCTCTGGACCATGTAGTGCTCAGGTACGAAGTTAGAATGGTTCCTTACCTCGCATTAATTGTCAGCGTCATGATGCGGGATGTGCGCAACTCAGCATGGTTGAGGGACCACCGGACGAAGTTGTATAGGAATGGTGCTGAGACGACTAGCTCGCTCGTCAAGCAAAGCACGATATTATGGGTGAATATAGGCTGCACAGGTGCAAACTTGCAGCAGCAAGTAGTACTTGTTGAAGACAGCGCCGGGGGGTGGTTCACACGTGGTTGTGTTTTAAAATTTAGTATTTGTCCGGACTAAATTACCAAATCAGGTTGTGATGATCCTCGATTAAATTTTAATCCGATATACATTGCAATTCAATCGCAATTTGCAAAATCCAAACCCATTTCACAGCGCATACTACTGGTCAGAAAATGGCCATTCCACAGAATTGTATCGCTCTCAGCAGCACTATTGGAAGGGGATTAAATGTACATCGATTTGTTCTCGTCTGAACAGCAGGGGAACCGGCCCATATCAGGCAGTTCAAAGACTTTTAAGTTGAGACGCCGGGCGCATACTTAGATAAGATGTGTTTCTTGACTTCCTATTTCGGTGCAAGATTCACCCTTGTCCTTCACCGGAACCTTTCACTGAAAGGTTGACGATCTCAGGTTAGAAAACCCCGTTGAACTCTATGTCACTTCCGCGCGATATTCGTGCATTTCTCTCTCATTACCACGGTCAAACGGATGACCCCCAAGCTTCAGATAATCTACAATTTTACCAAAATCGACTGCGCTGCCAGCCAGACGATCTTTTGATCAGCGAGGTCCATGAAAGGTATGCGACCGTTATTCAGTACACAATTGATGCACCGTGAAGTTCTATAGCTGGTGCAAAGATTATAATCAACTGGAGTACAATCACGGTTATATCCAATGGCTGTAAGTCGAGCGACATATATCCACTGGTGGCGTCCGGTGATTATCTCATGAACCATGGTGTGCGCAGCTTCCCCATCAGGGAGAACGGAATGAATTTCGAGGCACAAGCTCTCCAGCCACACGAGGCTGCGGCAATGAAAGGAGATTCTGATGTCATTGAGCGCATCAAGGGGTCTTATGGGTTGATGTTGGATTTCTACGGCATGTGCCTGCTGAACTTCGAGACTGGTCTCATTGGACGCTCAGAGGGCTACAGAGCTCGATACCGAAACCTCTTGCGTGGGTGAGACGCCATGATCACAAATTCATGCTTACGAACTTGGATAAACTATACAGAAGCTCCTCACAACAACCTTCGCGTCACACGGATTCTCAAGTGTCTGTCGGAAATGGGCCTGGAGCATCTGAATGCCGGGTTCCTACTCCATGTCCTCAATGAACAGAGCGAACATAAACAACTAAATACTAGCCTGCTACGGGATAGCATGGATAGATGGTGGGCTAACTGCTTGAGGAATGAAGCGGATCGGGAATGGATCGGGCTTACGATTAAGAAGGCGAGAAACGGCGAGATTTTCAGCAGAGAGAAGTACGAAGCTAGTCTGCGGAGGCGAAAGGAATCAGAGTCCTTTGCTGAACCGCAACTTGAATGTACCGATGCGTAGCAGGTGCTTCACTACCGGTTTGCACTGGGCAGAATGACCCGACTCTTTTCAGAACTGAAGTATGTTCAAGAAATTTATTCTAGCTTGCACCAGATCTTCTACAAGACTCATTTTCCCGACTTCTGCAGGACCAAGCCTGTCAGTTGTCAGTGAGCCTCTAGCAACGCGCTATGACGACGGACAAAAATATGTGTCACACTATACATTAGTACAAAAATACTACAAATACGCTGCGGCAAAGAGGTTAGCAGGATGCGATGATCCGGGGAACAAAGGACTGACATTAGAGCCATTGTATATCGCGATTGCATTTCACGATAGGCTTCGCAGGCGCGAAAATAAAGCCTCTCTCCTCCTTCCTTCGTATGCTGCACTGACGGCCTGCAAGAGACCCTCAATAGATTCGAAGATCTGATCGCCATCAAGCTGAAAAAAGATTTAGTGAACGTAAACCATACGCACGCTATTCGCACCTGATATCCACGAGCAGTTAGCGTTATACGTATAGTTCTGCCCTCTAACAGAGTGACAGAAGCAGTGGCCTCATGAGGTGACGAGCCTCCGTATACGTCAAACCGAGTCAGCCCGAAGGCTTGTTCAGAAAGGGCCCTGCTAAGCTCGGTATGATAGAATGAAGGAGACATGATCTTTGGCAACTTGAATGTGAGTTTCCATGTGTATTGATGTATCCCGGCGTTATATAGTTTTGAAAACCAGGGAGGGGCAGACATTGTAAAAGCTCCTGTCTGAAAGAACTCCACGACGTCAACTTTAGCGAGATGTCAACTCCAGCGCTTTAAAAATGATCATGGTTGTTTGCTTGACCCTGGTGCAATTTGAAGTTCGGCAATCCCAGGAATCTTGATGGCTGTTTGAAGAGGGGCTTCACGTAGTGGAGCAGGTGAGACTCGATGAAGGTTGAGAAAGAAAATCGGTAGTTACCGCGATGACGGTCAGGAGTACAATGCTTTCCTGAGTTCGACGACCAATCTTTTGTCTTATTTTTACTTGGCTTTTAGTCATGACTCATGAGGTACGTACGGCTACAAGGAAAATAGCTCTCGCCCAGATCTAAAAGCGCGATCATATAGGAATACATCCACGCTCAGTGAATCCACAAGCTCTCAGTAATGTTCTCCACAAAATAGCCAGAGGAGCGACCACCATATCGGGATGCAGGAGCAAAATAATCCCGTCGACGAGACAACCGGAGCACATGGTGAGGTGCACGAGACACACAGCTTGTGATTCACGGTCTTGTGGTCTGTCCACAGCCCCAGGGTTGCACGGAGGCGACGGGAAGTCAAAACAACGGGTAAGATCAGAACGAAAACAACACCGATAGAAGCGAAACGCTCAGATACTAGTGGAGAGACGGGAATTATGGAACGTTTTCTTACGTTATGCGCATCTGAAGCTTAGATTACATTCGCTACTCGCAAAGCCTCAAAAGGCTGCTGCATTTTGAGACCCTTAAGGAGTAGTGTACGGAATATCCCGTTCAAACCGTTTAGCGGTCAAGAAAGGTTTCAAATTTCAAGCCTCAACGTAAAAATCAGATCAAGCAGACTATTATACGTACGAGATTAGAGGTAGGTGAGCTAGGAAAAGTCTCGCTCATTGTACTTTCAACAAGTTTGCAGCCCTACCGCTTGAAAGCCCTCGGGCAGAAAAAACACACCACGTCACACAACTACAGGACGTCCATAACGCTGTGAAGTTGATCAAGACTTACAGGTGATACTAGTAGTCACCCCTAGACTGCCCTTTATAGATGAAGGAGCTTGAGTCCTAAAAGACCGATCATGTCAAGCGCTCTGTTTTTTTTTTGGATCAGGACTGCTGCCACCAGTGAATTTTTCATTAACGTTCATTTTCCGACGCTGAGAAATGCAACTGCGTGCCTGAAGGCGGACTAACGCGTACGAAGAGATTGGATACTGACCTGCGGGTTCATGTAGGATGACGAAAAAGGGGATACGAACATCTGGGCTACTTGACAGGTCCATCAGAAGTGACTATGGGCCTAGAATTCTTCTTAGCAAACCATCCTTATCTTAGTCTGGTAGTGCTGTAAGCTGTAAGCTCCATGTAGATCAAGAGGTGCAAGGAATTTTGCTAATATTTGCAAATGTTTAACCTTTTTCTTGGTGTCCAGTTTAGGAAACTGCATTCGACCGCTCGTGACATCGCTGCGCATGCACGCCACGCTCACCAACTTGAAGATCTTAACAGCTTGTACTAGCACGGCGCTATTACACATACAGACATTCTTAGAAACCTGTGAATCGCAAGGTAGTTCACGCCACAAACCCGTTGAACCCACGCTGTGCCACCCAGCTTCACCTGAATTGTCATTCAGCCATGGACGTGGTCAAGGCAGTGGAGACATACATCACGAAGTTGGTGTCTACGCCCTCTGCAATGAAAGTCTTACTACTTGACACGCACACGGTACATCTTCTTCATACTACTGCTCAATCATCTAAACTCCATGTTCGCAATCGCAGACACCCATCGTTTCACTCGCGTCCACCCAATCTACTCTACTTTCACATCAGGTTTACCTGACCGATCGTATCGACAACGGGAAACGGGACCGTATGTCGCACATGAAATGTGTCTGTTTTCTGCAACCAAGTGAAGACAGTCTTGATGCTCTTTCCGCCGAATTAAGGGAACCCAAATACGGGGAATACTATTTGTGTCAGTGCGTGACTACGGAGGGTAGAAAAGGAGATGGACCGCTTACATGAGTTGTACATTTCAGATTTCAGCAACATACTGAGTAAACCTGCCATTGAACGTTTGGCTGATGTTGATGAATTTGAAGTCGTCAGGGAGGTGCAGGTAAGTGAGAATTGTCTCAGATTGCATTTTTACCCAAGTCTCCCGACTAGGAATATTTTGCCGACTATGCGCCCCTGTTACCCTGCCTGTTTTCTCTTAATCACACACCGACGTCAGAGAAACCTCTGTATGGCTCTTCACCAAATGTGTGGGACTCCCTTGCGCTTGAGCGCTCTGTGCAGGGTATTACGGCTGTCCTTCTCAGTTTGAAAAAGAAGCCTGTGATTCGGTACGAGAAATCAAGCGGGATGGCCAAAAAACTGGCGAGCGAAGTGCAGGTGAATGTCAGGCTGGCAAGTTCCCATGTATATCACTCACGAAGATCGCAGCATCGTATCCAAGCGGAAGCGACGCTGTTCGATTTTCGCCTCACACAAGTAGCTCCACTGCTATTGATTCTTGACCGGCGAAACGACCCTGTCACTCCTCTGCTATCGCAGTGGACCTATCAAGCCATGGTGCACGAGTTGTTGGGCATTCATAATGGTCGCGTAAATCTCAGCATGGTTCCTGATATCCGTCCAGAGCTTTCTGTATGTCTCTTTAAGTTTTGCATCGCCCATATTTTAATGCTATGCATAGGAAATAACCTTGACAACGATTACCGACCCTTTCTTTCAAGCTCATTACCTTGCGACGTTCGGAGACCTTGGCAATTCCCTGAAGAATTATGTCCAATCATATCAGTCGCGTTCCCTCGCCCAATCACCTTCGTCCATCAACTCAATATTTGACATGAAACGCTTTGTGGAGGAATACCCAGAATTTCGGAAGCTGGGTGGGAACGTTAGTAAACACGTCGCTTTGGTAGGCGAGCTTAGTAGGTTGGTAGATCGTGACAGGTTACTTGATGTGGGGGAGGTAGAGCAGGGGCTGGCCACGAGCTCCGGTTCAGACTTTAAGGTTTGCATTCTTGAATCGATGTCATTCTTTGGCACTTACGACAAAGGGTAGAACGTACAGGCTGTAGTCAACAACCCAGTTGTGCCAGCCTGGAACAAGTTGCGGGTCGTCATTCTCTACGCATTGCGTTATCAAAAGACACAGACGAGCAACATTGCCGCTTTAATCAATTTGCTACTCTCCCATGGCATGTCTCGTGAAGAGGCTCGGGTAAGCTTCGCGCTTTGAGAATTACACAACAAGCATACCTGTGCTCATTCCTTTTCAGCTGGTTTACGTTTTTTTGAATGTCGCTGGATCAGATCAGCGACAGGATGATTTATTCTCGACGGAATCTTTATTAGCTAAGGGCAGATCCGCTTTGAAAGGACTCAAGGTATTTCGGACACAGCATTGCATCGCGTGGCATACTAATAATGCACAGGGTGTCGAAAACGTGTATACTCAGCACACGCCACATCTTTCTCAAACTTTAGAAAATCTCTTCAAGGGCCGATTGAAGGATATTGCGTACCCTTTCTTAGACGGGACTGGTACAAACATGGGATTGCAGCGGTGGGAAATGTGCCCCTGAGTAACGTCCGAGCTTATAACTCGGCTTTTTAGGCCTCAGGATATCATCATTTTTATGATCGGCGGAACTACCTATGAAGAAGCAAGGACAGTCGCACTCCTGAACCAAGAAGCAGGTAATTCTTTAACAGGCACAAGAATTCTTCTTGGCGGCACTTGTGTACACAACTCGTCCAGGTGCGTAGTATGTTCAGGAAAAATGAAGAGGCGACCTACCTACACCCTTATCAGTTACGTTGAGATGATTCGTGCCGCTGCAGAGAGATTTCCCGCATCAGTTTACGAACCACCTCCAGAATCCGCAACCACCGCTCCATCATTGAACCTAAATCTTGGCGGTGTCAATGTTAGTCTTGGAGGTTCGGCTGGTACTGGTGTGTATAGAACGAGCTCTGACCATGTCGGCGTACAAGCCGAGGGCATTAAGGATGGTGTGCGCAATTTCATCGGACGGGTGAAGCAAGGTGTAGATAAAATTGGATTGCAGTAGCCTGTACATTACACTATAAGCTCTAGATCTAGCCTACCTTACTAGACGAAGAGGGAGAACTCATCTGTCCCTTCAAGTTCTAATAAAGGACTAGCTCGGATATAGGTTTCTACACTCAGTCGAAGTGACACGTAACTCATACACAAAGTCCACGTGGTCTAAACCAAGTATAGTCTCTAGGCCTCCGAATTCACTGACCAACCATTTCCAGCTTTTTCTCCTCTCCTCCCGCTCTTTCTGCCGCTTCATTGTGTTCGCTATCATTAAAGGTCGTAAATGGCCAAGGGGTTTTTATCTAATTTCAAAGGCATAGATGCCTTTGGAAAGGTGAGAACTGATTCCATCGAAGTGGGAACGGGCAAAGACTGACCACGTATGCGTCGCGCACAATCAGACTACGGAGGATGTCAAAGTTAAAACCCGTACTGGAGCTCTGCGTAAGCCACTGTCCGGAGCCACTACGATGAAGTGAAATTGACAGCGGGATGTCTAGTGACCATCATATCTGCATGTATCATTTTGGCATTTACAACAATGGAGTTTTTCGACTACCGACGCGTTGGTGTCGACACGTCGATAGTAGTTGACCGCAGCCGTGGGCAGAAACTGAGTGTGCGGTTGAACGTCACCTTCCCCCATGTTCCGTGTTACTGTGAGTCCATTCCCGTGTATTGCTGACTGTACAATCTAACTATGGGTGCATTTGTCTTTGACTTGCGCAGTACTCAGCCTGGATGTTATGGACATCTCTGGCGAGCAACAACGCGATATTTCACACAATATTCTCAAGAAGCGGATCACTAAGAGTGGTGTGGACATGCCTACATTGCGGGGCGAGGACCTCCGTAACGAGATAGACAAGCTTGCTGAACGACGCGCAAGTGGGTATTGTGGCTCGTGCTATGGTGGACAGGAACCAGAGAGCGGGTGCTGTAACTCGTGTGAAGAGGTTCGGCAGGCATATACAGACAAGGGGTGGAGTTTCAGTACTCCCGACGGTATTGAGCAGGTGAGAATAATGCTGAATTTCTTATAACAATTTGTGAAGGGATCTATGACAGTGCGTTGAGGAAGGATGGTCAGACAAGCTCAAGGACCAGGCGGATGAAGGGTGCAATGTTTCTGGACGTATCCGGGTGAACAAGGTCGTCGGGAGCATCCAAATCTCTCCAGGACGTTCCTACCAGGCAGGCTCGCGTACCTTCCAAGATCTGGTGCCATACCTTCGCGATGATGGTAACCCACACGATTTCAGCCACATCATCCATGAGTTTTTGTTCATGGCAGACGACGAGTACAACCCTAACAAGGCGAAGATCGGGAAGGATATGAAGCAACGTATGGGGATTTCGGACAACCCATTAGATGGTGTTGAAGCGAAGGTAAAATGAAGTGTGCATAGTTCTTCATACTTCTGCTTACATAATCGCAGACGACCAAGTCGGCGTACATGTATCAGTATTTCCTCAAAGTCGTATCAACACAATTTCGCATGCTGGAAGGCAAGACTGTGAGTACATGAATCAAACTGGTCGCACAAATTAATTGCCTGAATAATGCAGATCAACACGCACCAATACAGTTCAACACAATTTGAACGTGATCTGACGAAGTTTAATGAAGGCGAGAACAAGCAAGGCATTTTCACTCAACACGGCGTTGCGGGCTCACCAGGTATGTTGAAAAGCATGGCTTACTCATCTATGTTTTGACACTGCTTTCAGGCGCGTACTTCAACTTTGAAATTTCACCCATCCTTGTCGTGCACTCTGAAACGAGGCAGTCGTTTGCACACTTCCTCACTTCGTAAGTGACAATGTATCCAGCCTGAAATCTCTCATTTTATTCTGTTTATAGTACTTGCGCTATCGTCGGAGGTGTTCTCACCGTGGCTGCACTACTGGATGGCATCCTATTTGCTACAGGACGCAAGTTGAGGAAAGGTAGTGACGGGAACGTGAAACTCATGTAAAACCGTGTACCATAGCAAAATATTCAACTTGAGCACACTCCTTGAGTATTTATCACATCTTGCATATAACTTTACATGATGGCGATTATGCATCAGCTAATGGCATGCTTCAGAGTCCCAAAAAAACACACAAAATACGCGTCTACGCTGTTTGGAATCACTGATGGAGTAAGGATTTGCAAAGAATCCCATCCTGAATGTCTGCTGCTTTGGCCCAGTCCCTCACCTATCTCCATCGGCTAAGGTTTGAATGAGCCCTCTTTTTTGCCAAATTTACACTTTCCATCGGCACCAGGGAAACATTCTATGAACGACACTTGTAGTTCAATATAGTTACTGATGCGAACGATGTCACATGCCGCGTACTTCTGGGGGATGCTTTATATAATCGTCGTGAATATTGTAGTTCGTAGTGGGTGGCCGAACGACGGTCTGGAAGGACTTCTTGAAGGTCAGGGCTTCGTCTGTGATGCCACTGCCCTCCTTCCGCGCCAGCTTCTGAAGCTCATGACGGTCAATGCCGGGTATTTTGTTCAGCGTTATGAGATACGGTGGTGCCATGAAGAAATAACTACAGGAGAACGGTGCGTAGTACGTATGGACAGAGAGACTGGGCATGACATCACTCTGACGACACGTTACATGAATATGCTACTCATCGAACAACAAACCACAACGTTAGTACACAAGATCAGTACGTACAAGAGCACTCAGCTAGTAAGCCTGTGCTCACCGTCATTGTGCAAGAGCTGTTTGATGTGAATATTGCAGTGATTGAGATGACAGAGTTTCAACATCTTCTATTCACTTTTATACGTCGGGGCAAAACATTGGACACCAGAGCGAGCTCTACTCGATGCTCACGGACAGGAAGTCGGTAGGAGGTCACCGACATTTGTCTTGATTTACCCTCGAGACATTAAGCACGTACCCGAGCTGAAAGTAGCGCAGGTGTCCAAATGCACGGTAGTCATATTCCCCGGATAAGCGCAATGCAAGGAGGGCCGGCACGAGTGCAACGAGATCAGGATAAGGTCAAGAGACAAGTCGACTGCAAATTTCAAGGTGGAAATGATCTCCAGGTCATCTGATGAAAGAAGTCCTTAATTCGCCCAAAATCCACGCAGTGACGATCCTAAAAGTTCCCACCAGCGAGTGAGCCACTACCAACCGACGCCTAGCTGAGCCCAGTTACCGAAGTCCCCAGTACCTGAGTATGCGCGTAACAATGCCAACTTACTAACTGGTCCACTCCACGAAGGTCAAGTCAAACGAACGCAAAATATGACGTTATGAGCAACAATTGCACACGCCGTACTAAGCAGTCTACAGACAGCGTCTTGACACGACGCAGTCTCCGTTACCGTTAGCATAAGAGCATCCATACTACACTTTGAAGGATTCTGCGTTTCCCAGAAGCCTACTATAAATATAGCAAACTGCATTCCTTCGTTTTGGTGTATAGGGAAACTATGAAAGGGAATAGTTCAGTTTTCCGACTTGGGTGGGACTGTTTCGGAGGTAACGTATGACGCGTGAATGCAGTGGTTTTTGATCGAAAGGTTTGAAAAATCGGACTTCAACGGACGACCGGACTCAGGGCAAGTGAGCGAAGGAGTAGACCAATCATTAATCAGCACCGTACGATGCAAGTGCGGTTCATAAGTAGTAGTCGGCCGACGGGGAGGGTCTCTGGAGTCTGGCCAAGGGTCAATAGCCAGCATCAAGTCCCAAGACCGCCACCGCGTTTTTCAGTAAGGAAACTTATGTACTAAATTTTATCGTCGGACAGTGACCTGTGTGCCTGCCATGATAAATCTGATGACCCATCCATAGTAGGATCCCGGGAAGGTGGTGTAGTTCGCTCAACCAGCCTGAGACTGCTGGAATACGGATATGGCGATGGCTCGTTTAGCCCAGAGGCGAACGTGCTTGTTATCGAATGCGAAGGCAATGAGGGCACCACTGGCAGAATTCAAATTTCAAACTCCACGACAATGTTGAATATGGTCTGGCATTGGATCGATACAGGTGTCACACGTCACCTGTCACACGTCTACCAGGGGTGGGATTAATATTAATGTTGTGATTAGAGCCCGCTGAGAGGTCTAACCATGTGTTCATAGGCTGGGCGTTCACGCGAGCAAGACAGGTGCAAGAAGTCAGTGAATATTTCAGGTTGAACAGGGAGCTAGCACAATGAATGGACTGAGCTGCTTATTTGGGATGACATAGCTCCTTTCTGCCTGGATCCCAATTTCGGATATTCCTCACTTGGCGTCGCCACTTGACTTGTCCATAGTGCACAAGCCGGTCACGAGCCTACACATTAATATCGCGATGGGAAATGTCCGCCAGCTGCCAGGAGTCCAGACGGTATTGCACCAGAAACCTCGTATCAGCCAGTTTTTTTCCAGGGCTTCGTCGCGCTGAAATCAGAGCCGAGGCACCACGAAGAAGTATCTCGTACTATCAGGCCAAATGCATTGGAGCTCGAACCACTGTAGGCCCCAGCTAGGGAGTTTACTACTATCTGGTTTGCTATAACCCACTGGGCTACTCGTCGAGTAACTACTTTCCCGAAAAAATTACATCGCACATACTTCTGAATAACGAACCACAACATACAAGTTGCTCCGACCAAATTCTCAAGAACCTCTTGTTCGATACTTTCAACTGTTTCCAGCACACCAGAAAACTCTCTAGGGTAATTGCCTAGACTCACGTTGAATCAGAACTTGAGTCTCGCAGAACATCAAAGATGAACGTACATGCCACTACATGCCACAGTTGCTCGCAGCGACCTGAATGGCTTCGGCAGCAATTTTGCCAGACTCAAAGCCGGTGCCATTATTCAACTCATTGAATGCCTGCGGGGAGACGTTGAATGTGTAAGCAGCATCGACGGCAGTGATGAAGATGGTAGTTTGGACGCCGTAGGACGCAGGTGTATTGGAGGCTCCAGCAGGTGCCGCACAAGGTGGAGTTCCAGATGGCACCTGGAATACCTCCGATGTTGGGGAATGAAGGAATGGAGCCGAAGGTGGTATACCCCTTGGTCAAAAGACCGTTCGAGCCGCCAGAACACGAGACAGCAGCGAGGGACGAATTGGGGTTGGTGTACATAGGGTCGTATGTAACATTTGCGGGTACTGCAAACGCTGGGAGGGCAAGGGCAGAGATAAGAGCAACGGCGAGTAGTGAATTTCATTGTGTAAGAACTATTTGATGTAACTTCAGATGCAGATTTCAAGATTTTCTACTCACATTTATACATCGGGGAGAAGGGTTAGATGCCAGATCGAGCTCCACTCGAAGCACATGGGCAGGTCGTCGGGAGTAGGTCACCGACATTTGCTTGACCTTCTTCCTTGATTACCATCGAGACATTAAGTACATACCTGAGCTGAAAGTAGCGTACATGACCACATATAGTATTCTAATTCCCCTCAGCGCAACGGTTGCCATGCGCAAGAGTGGCCGGTGCGGGGGGGGTGGAACCAAGTCATGGCCAAGAGACAAATCAACGGCGAATGTCGAGATGACATAGCATCCCTGGACTTTTGAAAGGAAGGACACTTTCCATCTTGACTGTAGAAGGAAAGATTATCTGGCATTTGCAATAAAAGGTTCAGTGAGCAGCGGACGATGATGAAAGAAGCCCCTACTTATGATATTCACATGTCGAGGCCACCAAATCGGCACAGACCACCCTCACAATAGTTAAGGGTGCGCGGTGATTCCAAAGTTACTAGTGCAAGTGCGTGCAAATTTAGGTCAACTATTCTCCCCGAGAAAAACCTGAGAGATCATCCCTCCTAATAAAGGGTCAGCTAGTGTGCTTCACGTGACGAAAAACTGCCGACTTTGGTGGTACTCTGGTAAGGATGGCCATGACACATCTTGAAGCAAAGCTAAAACATCATATCATGATTACAGTAGACAATATGTACAGCAGTCAGTGACCCAGTCAATCACTTGGGGATGAGTGCTATACACATTGTCCACCGCAGGAACATATCGCAGTGTGAAAATAAACAGAACTAACATTGTGCACATACCTAGCTAAGAATGTATGTAGTTGTTCGAGGAATGCTACCACACATTCTGGGTGACGGCATGTTCTAAGTTCCGGTCTCTCTTCGTGGTGCTGCTTGAATAACTTTCGAACGGCTAGATATTCCACCGCAATTCGTCATACTCCCCTGCGAATAGAGTAATCAAGGTACCTGGGAGCGTCTAGCAGGAAATAAACTAGAAGGGACGAGGAAAAAAGAGACGTGAATGCAAGGTGAATGAACTAATCAAGAGGCGATGCGTTGCGGTGTGTACAAAAATGGGTACTTGGGAGGGAGTGCTGCTGAAGTAGGCTACATACTGGTAAACATGTGCACATGTGAACTCTGGACTCCTTGCGAATGTATGGACCTGGCAAAAGGAGGAGAGTTCATGGAAATCGTAAAGACTCGGAGTCACGATTGGCACCAGTGCCAGTACCTGCGGACAGCACAAAGACAACAAGTAGCGGTCTGCGCGCATTGCAGGCATAAATAGTTGAAAAACAGCTGGCTTTCGAATTTCTTCAAGTTGTTTCACAGCACTTCTGAATTGTGCGGTTGTGGCACGCGTTGAAGTTAAACCTTTTGAATCGGGAACTGCCGGAGGCGCGTCTTGCTCTCACCAGATTTGCAACTAGATGACAACAAACTCCCCGCCGTCCGTCATACTTACAGATGCACTCGCATCTCTGAATAAAGCAGTAAACATAGCAGTAAGCTCATCGTCCTCTTCAATGCTCTTCGAAATTCATTGACTTGCGTAGTTCACGAGCTTACAGGATCAAACACGTCAAGAAGTCACACAAGCATGTGCTGAAGCACGGGAAGCGCGTCACGAGCGGGATGAAGCCGTTAAGGCTCTCCATGAGCTTAGGCTTGAGGAGCAGGCGTGGAAGCAAGAGGCTGGTGCCCGACAGTCCGCTGTATGTCCTCATCGATGTTTGCACATTCACCTTATTTAACCTTGCCCCCTGACACAGGTTGAGCAAGCCGAGTTGACTGTACGCCCATCACTTTGATAGCGTAGAGATACTGAAATTTGTATGCAGATAAAACACCATGCAGAGACGATTGCTCAACTTCGCTACGAGTCCGAGCAATGGAAACAACAGTGCCTCCGTCTCGAAGACACATCGCGCCAGGAAGCCACCAGCTGGAAGGAGCAATTCCTACGCGTTGAACAGGAGCGATACAAGCTCGCAACGCGTGTGGATGAGCTTATTGAAGAGCAGCTTTCTGTGCGGACCACTCTCATTTCTTGAACCTCGAATCTGACGTTCACGCAACAGCATTCTGTCCAGACGCATGCATCTATCACTCCATTCACGACAATGCTTCGTTACCCCAACACAACCGCAAGCACAAGTCTTAGCGATCCATCCGCATCCACACGCCACCGTTTCCCTCCCTATACCTCCGAACTTCCTGACGAATCCATATCTACGTCGTCATCCAAGGCACCCAAACCCATATCCACACAACAACTCCCTACCCCCATTTCTGCGAATCGCAGGGCCTCCGGAGACAAGTCAAAGCAGTACCTAATCCGACGCGTTCAGGCGGTAATCGAGGTGCCCGTAAAGGAGGAGAGCGTGGAGAACACGATTTCTAATGAAACACCGTTTGCATCAAGTTCTTCTGCGTCATTATCAAGCTCGGATTCAGGATCCACAGTACCAGGACCTAGTAGACCAACTTCAGCCATCTCGAGCAAAACCATACCCAAACTCAGCAAACCTACCAGTGCCCCTAGTAAAACTGGACAAGGTGTCAACAATATTGTCTCAGCTACCAGCAAATCCACATCACTGAACAACAAGCCTATATCGGCAGCATCCACCAAGTCCGCCCTACCACCGTCCAAATCTACAGTAAGACCTGGTAAACCCACACTCTCCGGGACTGGCAACAAACCACTATCCAATATTGCTACCAGCTCCTCGTCCCGTCCCGCCCGAAAAATAAGCACTAAACGACAGTATATCGAGATTGATGAAGACAAGGATGGAGAAGATAGAATATCAGAGCAGTGCAAGTCAGGTAGTGATGCGGCTGCCGAGGACGAAGTTGATTCTTCAGAAGAGGAAGAAGACGAGCTGACGCTGGGCGCAGAAGTATATTCCCTCTGTCGTGAACATTTGTATCAGCATGCTGACGCTTACGCCCGCCAGGAAAACCGCCGCGAAATTTATGGTACCAAGCGCATAGCAGCTACGAGCAGTATGAAAGCCGTGTCGCAGGCGCCGGCGAAAAAGAGGAAGCTGATTTCAAGCACGACTGCCATAATATCGGGCGGTGGGAAGAAACCTCCTGCGAAGAGTGTGCGCGGGTGAAAGCCCCTGCCAGTGGTTCGCCAGAGGGTTTGTCTGACTTACGTTTGTGATATCCACGTGACTTATGCTTCTTATTCTTTGCAACACACCCTTTGTTCTTCTAGCCTCGGAATTTCCATATGAAATTATCGCTATCTAGATGCTCGTGCGAGCTGATGCCTCGTTTTGTATGATTATGATGACACCAAATCTAAAACGTTTACAAGATACCAATACACGAATGCCCACGAATCCTTGGATGAGATAAAAGTGTCCATCATCACATTGCACTTGCCCTCACTTATCTCCCAAAGCGTCACAGTGTCTATAACAAGACCGATCTCTTATGACAGAACTGATCAAGAAACTGTGGGACTTCATATGGTAAAGGATTAATAAACGACTTTGATTGTAATCCTGAGATCCTTTGAAAGGACCGGGAGTACGGACGATGAAATCTCTCCTCCCCCCCAAAAGACTGAGACACCGAAAGAGGACCCACATCGTGATCTCGTCGATCGAGGGCAAGCTCCTTCAAGCACTCTAGATGGTGCCAGTGCATCCCCTAGGGAGCCTCTCTTTGCCGCTGTTCTGCGAGAGGTCGCCGTAGACCGAGAACGAGCTGCTTCAAGCACTCTCGATGGTGCCAGTGCCTCGAGGAACTTTGGTTATCTTCCCGGAGAAGCCACCGCAGATCAAGTTTACCTTGCATTGGTATGATCTCAATAATCGAGCTACGTCGGGGCTGGCTGACTCGGAGATCCACTTAGGAACACGATATAAACCCGTTTACAAATCAGCCTCATACTGCGCAATACAAAAAGATTCTTGAAGGCCGCAAAACGCTCCCCGTGTTTGCACATATGGCTGAGTTCTATAAGATAGTTAGTTTTATGCATACCTCACACCATTCACTCTGACGTTCGCAGTTCAACAAACACCAAATCATCATCATGATCGGCGAGACCGGCTCAGGCAAGACCACGCAGTAAGTTAGCATCCCTTGACACATGCTCCCTTGTCTTTTTGGATAGTCGCTTATCATAGACTCCTTTTGTCATCGATAGAATACCGCAGTTCGTCGCCTACTCAGATCTTCCGCACACCAAGAACAAGATCGTGGCATGCACTCAGACCCGCAGAGTCGCTACCACGGCTGTAGCGGAACGCGTGGCAGATGAGATGGACGGTCCGTTTGTTTCATTACTCTGATCTCACTCCGAGCTCACTTTATCACCTAGTCCAACTCGGCAAACAAGTCGGTTACTCGATACGTTTTGAAGACATGACCGAGCCCGGCACCACCTTCCTCAAATACATGACCGACGGGATACTCCTGCGCGAAGCCATGCACGATCCTGATCTCAGCCGCTACTCCACTATCATCGTCGACGATGCTCACGAACGCACCCTTGCTACTGATATCCTCATGGGGGTTCTCAAAACACTCGCTCGCCGTCGCCCAGATCTGAAGCTCATCATCATGTCCGCCACCCTGGACGCTCTCAAGTTCCAGGAATACTTCGCTGCCTCTGGCGGCGCCCTTCCCCCGCTCTTCAAGGTTCCCGGCCGCACTCACCCCGTCGAAGTATTCTACATCCAGGATTCGGTGTCGGACTATGTCAAGTCCGCCATCCATCTTGTACTCAAGATCCATTGCACAGAGAAACCAGGAGATATCTTGGTATTCCTGACGGGTGAGGAGGAGATAGAGGATGCCTGCCATAGGATCAAGCTCAAGGTGGAAGACCTCATCGACTCCTACCCCGAGACCGTAGGCCCTCTCGAGTGCATCCCGTTGTACTCCTGGTTACCACCTCAACAGCAGCAGCGCATCTTCGATCCACCGCCCAAGGCAGGCAGTCCGTCTGGCCCACCAGGACGCAAGGTCGTGGTGAGCACGAATATCGCGGAGTCGTCACTGACGATCGATGGGATTGTGTATGTCGTGGACCCGGGGTTTTCCAAGCAGAAGGTGTACAACCCGAGCACTCGCGTGGAGAGCTTGCTTGTGAGCCCAATCTCCAAGGAGTCGGCACAGCAACGCACGGGCCGTGCTGGGCGAACGAGGCCGGGCAAATGTTATAGGTTGTACACGAAGAAGAACTTCACGTCGGAGTTCAAGGAGCAGACGGAACCAGAAATTTTGAGGAGCAATTTAGTGAGCACGGTGCTGATGCTTGTCAAGGCAGGGATTAAGGTGAGCTTGATGTCGGGGGTAATGTTCTTGAGCTGAGCTGATACTTGTGTAGGATCTTGTCCAGTTTGATTATTTGGATGAACCAGCTCCAGAGTCATTGATAAGGGCGCTGGAGGTATTGAATTACCTCGCAGCAGTGGATGATGATGGGAACCTCACTGCGCTTGGGAGTATCATGGCTGAATTCCCTCTGGATCCCCAGGTAGGCGATTATCCTGGTGGCGGGTTTGGTTCCGACGGTTCTGACGCATACTCTCAGCTCTCAAAGATGCTGATCGTCAGCCCAGAGTTTAAATGTAGCAACGAGATATTGACGATCACTGCGATGCTGTCAGGTGCGCACCCATCCCGGAGGTTTACTCCCGTCTGACACCGTTGTAGTGCCAAATGTATGGCTACGGCCAAGTAACAAGCGAGAAGAAGCGGATGCTGCGAAGGCGCTGTTTACCGTCCCCGGTGGCGACCACCTAATGCTTCTGAACGTGTACAATGAGTACATTCAAAGTAAGTCTCTTCTTCCTACAAACACGTACGTACTCGCTTACAACTACCCCAGATCAACACGACAAGAACTGGGCATGGGTTCACTACCTCTCCGCTCCAGCGCTACTGCAAGCAGTCAACGTGCGCGAGCAGTTGGAACGGACGATGGGACGGTTTGAGGTGGACCTCGTAAGCGTGCAAGATCAGAGCGAAATGGCTCTGGCAATCAAGCAGGCGTTGTGTTGTGGCTTTTTCATGCAAGCTGCACATAAGGTGGGAGGAAAGAGGAACTACATGACTTTGAACAATCAGGTATATTATCTTGGCTTGGAGTTGTGGTTGGCGTGCTGATGGGAATTTTCTTCGTGGTAGCCCGTGGTGCTGCATCCATCGTGCAGACTGGACACACAGCCGAAGTGGGTAATTTTCAATGAGTTCTTGGTTACGAACAGGCCGTATATACGAACCGTCACGGGTGTCCGACCAGAGTGGTACGTACACCTCTTAGCACTGTAGATTGACATACTGATGCAAATTTGCACGTTAATGCTTCGATAGGCTCCTCCAGTACGCGCGCTTATACTTTGATTTAAAGGACTGGCCAGATAGCGAGACTAAGCGTGCGTTGGTGAGGGTTGCGAACACGATGACGGGCAGGTTTGGGGCGCAATTTGACAAGGCAGCGCGTGTTGGTGAAAGTGACGAGGAGGTTGAGGAAATGATGAGGAGGTTGAGGACCTGGTGAGGGGGTGGAGTACTTTGCTCGAGCGCTGCAGGAGCTCGAGACCACGGGGTAAGTGTAACACAAAAAGCTAGGGAAGAAGCCGGTCATTGTGCATGATGCATCAGGTGAATAGATATGGCGTGTATGTGGAGTAAATATGTGAAGTAGCGTTCAAGTCGGTTCCCGGACTCCACTTGAGTGGAAGAGGGTTATGTTACAAGCAAATGACTAAGCGCATGGGGGGGCAGACTCCAACCATTCGGCAGGGGTGTTATCCTACTGTCCTGTCCCATGCAACAGCCCCCAGAAGTCGGCAGTCACGCAAATGTCACTGAAAGTCACGACATGTCACATAGGTCAGTTTCAAAGTCAGCTCGGCAGTTAAGCAAGAGCGCAAGGAGGTCGTTAGTATTCGGCGTGAGCAAGCAAGTACAGTATTGACTAGTAGAATCTAAGTATGAGGGTGACTGTGATTAGTACCGTAGTTGTAAAATTGAGGGGGATGTGTAGGGGGACCATGTACATTGTGTGGATACTGAGGTTGTCTATGTAAATTTGATGATGATGCAATGGGACTGCTGGATGGATTATTAGTGTAATGTGTTGAAGAATAAGATGGTGCATGGAGAGCTGGATTAGTGTAGAATTGATGAAAATATGGTTGGTGGGTAAAATGTGGGGGATAATTCAAATTGAAAGAGTGTGCAGGCAAGGTGATAAAATGATTACTGGAGGTGTTGGATGAGGTAGTGCCATTGTCCTGCGAAGTGCTACTAGTACTGGCTTGTTCTGTTGGTGATGCAGTGGCTGGATTCTTCGAACGTGTTTTTCCTGTCTGGAACAGTGTGGCAAAACGTGGATTGTCAGCAAAGTGTTGATTGGTGGCATCAGCAAGAAACTCTTTTATTCTAGTCCAGAGTTCCTCAACCATCCCATCTCTTGAAATCTTAAGAGCACCAGCAAGTGTGATAAAATTGTCCTTGTGCTGGAGTGTTGAGAGCACATCAAACATCTTCAACTCAATATCACGGTCAATCTGAGCATTGCGCACTTTGTCTTCCATCTTCTTCTTGGCCTGTTTCTCTGCATCAGCCTTGTCTTTTTCACACCACTCCTCCTCTGCTTTGTTGAAGTCCTCCTCAAGCTCCAGGTGGGTCACAAAATGGGCCTGTAACTTGACGGATTTCCTTGGCTGCTTCTTTTTCTTCACATTCTCTAACTCCAATCTAGATTGAGCCAATGCCCGCTGCGCCATCATACAGTGTGCATTTGTAGTGTCAAGCTGGGCAGTCAGTATCTGGGTTGTCTGGACCAATGCCCCATTCTGCCCATACATGCGCTGGAGCTCATACCAAAGCTCCTCCTTCATCAATGCCATCGCCTGATCATATGTGGGGATAACTGGATGTGGGATGGGGGCTGACAGTTGTGATGTTGAGTGAGTGATGTGGGTGTTGATGTGGGCATTGTTATAGGGGTTATGGGGGGGCTGTGTGTCTTGCATCTCTGGGCTTTCTTCCTCCAACTCCAACTCTGAGTCAGAACTCTCAGAATCTGAGTCATGTTCATCAACCACCATCAGAAAAAAATTGTTGTCCTCTTCTGAATCTTCTTCTTCACTGCTGTCCAGCCTCATCAAGTTGTCAACCTCATCAATATCAGAAGGAGCCATCATTGGAGAAGAAGGGATGTCAGCAGGATATGATGGAGGAAGATGTGCGGTGGTGGTTGAATAAACCAAGCTTGGCGCAAAATCCTTGTCTGTGAAGACTGACAGATCAAGAGGATAGATACCAGTTCTTTTAAATGCTTTCTGGATGAGTTCTGGCATGATAACATGGTGAATGGCCATATATTCATGAATAAAATTATAGTGATCAATTTCAACCCCATCAGCAAGGTGTTTGTCACAATGTTTGGTCCAAGCATGCTGGACAGATGAAAATATGCCCACATCCAATGGTTGGATTTTGTGCGTGGTTTTTGATGGAAAGGCGTGAATTATGACACCATTATCATAAGCTGCCCTTTGAATAGCTCTTTGTTCATGCGAACTATGACCATCAATGGTCAGAACAATTGGCTTCTCAGGATCAACGTGATATTTCTCTGCTGTAGGAACAACATCAGCAAAACCCTGATTTGGGTACAGTGCCACAGCCACACAGCGTGTCACAGGTCACATAGACTTTGTTGTAAAGGCTCTGCAGCACCACACAAGTATTGATTCTATGTAAAAATGAGTGTAATGTAGTCACAAACATGTATATAACAAGATGGTGTGCTAATAATTATGTTTTATAGAGAAATTGTGTAGTGTGCAGCACTGTACAGCGCTGTACATGGGGGGACCTCGCTGTGACACTGATTGCTGTGCAGCGTTGTGCAGCACTGCACATAGGGTTAGGGTTTTGCTGATGAAAGTGTTTCCTGAACCAATAACCTGCTATCTCATGGTCCATCCATCCTGTTGGCAAGAAAGAAACACTGTCCAAGGTGATCACAATGTTAGTAGAGCATAATACTATACTTATATAGCTTGCTTACCTGCCCACTTTATCTTTTAGGTCTCGAATATCTGGGGGTGGACCTTCTGAAAGAACGAACCATGGTGGCATCTTAGTGCCAGCAGTGGAGATGCACTCAAGAATGGTTACGAGCTCTAGATTATTGCTATGGATCCAATAACGATCTGAATCTTCTGTGGAAAAAATAAATTTCATGCCAGCATTTTTCCTCCCCCCACCCATCTGATTCCCTTTCTCATCCATATTCCAATGATGCTCTGGTGGAATTTTATTATAGTCATCATCAAGCTTCTTCTGCATCTCAAAGAACTCCCCAATGGTATCCTTGTTGAAATTTCAAGCGCACTTTGGATCCAGTCCACTTGGTTGAGATACACAGAGGGATGAATGACAATGAATGAACCAATTGTGCCATTTTTGTGATGGGAGTTGACCAGTTATTTCTTTAACACATGCACACAACTTCGCTGGGTGGATAGGAGTTGCAGATGCAGACACCAGTTTACACCAGTCAACAACGGTTTCCTCCTGTGCAGCAGATAACAGTTGCTGACCCTTGTGAGCATGCTGACGAGACTTATGGACTCCCAAGCATCAATCACTCAGTGTCTGACATGATACCTAGACCAGTTGAGTAAATAATCACATGACAAATGACAACTCACATTTTGCTCCTTTGCAGCAGCTGCAACAGATTTATATAGCCCATTTGCAATTCCCTGAATTGCAGCTTGAATGCATGACTCATATGTAGGGTCTGATGAAGCTCGCAGCTTTCCTCGTCTCCTGCTGATGGATTTGCAAAGGCGGACCAGCCCCATGACCAGCAGCACAGCACCAGTCGGCACTGGTGTGTGCAATATTGAAACTCCGTCACGGCACACATCAGCAGGTGACATTTTCTGCGTGACTTTGGCACTTTCAACCATCTCACTCAATTCTGCTTCAATCGTATCTGTTCGACCTCGTAGTGAGTTGTATTAGAGAAAGAATGATATCTATGTTGAGAATTTTGTGTTTAAGTGGCTGGAAATACGAGTTTTGTGAAAGTGCCGACTTCTGGGGGCTGCCAATTGCATGGGACAGGACAGTACACCCTAGCACAGCTTCATAATACATTAGTGGTACTCAAAATAAATTTTGAAACTCTTGAAAACTCGCTAAACTGCGTTCAACTCCCTTCAACTCCCCGCTTAAAGTTTGAAAGAACTCGCGCAAGTCCGAGAGAAATGTGCTCGGCACACGTCGGCATGTAGTCGGACTTTAAAACGACACTTGTGATTTTTCAAAGCGTGCTATGTACATAGGGGAAAGTGGTAGAGTAGCGGTCCAACATAATTGTATTTCAAATGAAAGCATTAATAAAATTGTAAAAAAAACAAGGCCTGCGGGAATGAAATCAGCTGTGGGTAGGGAGCGCGGGAGGGACCAAATAAGTGCCGAGTGGAGGAGGGGGGGATGCTGAGCAGTGGGGGGGGATGAAAAGCGTCGGGAGGAAGATCTGCGTGCCTCTGCGGAGACGCAAGATCAAGTGAAGGGCGGACTCCTTCTGGATGTTGTAGTCACTGAGAGTACGGCCATCTTCGAGCTGCTTTCCAGTGAAGGTGAGATGCTGCTGGTCAGTTGGGATGCCCTCCTTGTCCTGGATCTTCGCCTTCACGTTGTTGATGGTGTCCGATGACTCCATCTCCAACGTGAGGGTGCCTCCATGGAGACAGATAAGGAGGCGGAAGGTGGACAGGCCGTTTGCCGGTAAGGGCGAGGCGCCGCTGATCAGGTGGATGGCAGATGGTCCATCGCCCTCGCGCATGGATGAGCGTTGGCTCTAAGTCGTGCAGACCGGCGAGCACGTTGGTGAACAACAGGCATGTTTTTCGAACTCCGATGTGCGATGCCGGCCTGACTTTCAATTGCAGCACATGCTCATGCTGTGTTTTGTTGAAGTAGCCGAGCTTTAGGCGAGTTTTCAAGGAGTTTCAAGATTTATTCTGAGTACCACTATTGTACTTGTTTGCTTCGTCCAATTGAACTCCCGAAACTTTAATGCTGAGGATAGCACCCCAAGCTGACTGGAGAACTTCGCTGTGGCTGAACGTTTGTTCTTATTTGTACTCACCGTAAAAACTGCGTGCTTGCCTTAACAGTCGCCGGAATACCGGTATATCGGTGCTAAAAAGAGTCGAGTAAGAAAGTGAAGGGTATACACGTCGAAGGACACGAGGATCCAGCATGTTGAACAGCGTTTCAGATGATAATAAGACTCTTATTCAAATCAACACCCCAGCCTCTAATGAGTTCTACCACTGCTCGAATCAGTGAAATTCTGCAAGTTTTGCAAGTGAACAATCTCACTATCTTGACTTTCCTCGAAGGTGTGCTAAGCAGCCGTGAACATGAGCACTCCGCAGCTCAGGAAGACATAATTCGAGACGCGGAGACCATGTGCGAAAGCCTATATCAACACCCGAAAACTCGAGCACATGTTTTGTCATGGGCAATGGTCACAGTCAGGACTCAACTGTGCAATGAAATAAAGGAATTGGCTCACGAGCGCCACGGACTCCGTTTTCGAGCAACGAGTACAACATCTGAGCAGCTCGAGGGAACCTTTATGAATTTTATCTCAGAAAAGGTGAAATCAGTTGCTCCGAATATGTTGACAATGATGATGGCTCTTCTGGGCAAGAAGAATCTTACAGTCGATGAAGACTGCGATATGGAGGGTGAGCAACCAGACGAAGAGGAAGAAATGGACCTTGGGGAATTTGGGGGGGACAGGCAGTATCGGGCAGATGGTGGTGGCATGGACGAGAATGAAATGCACAGCGATGACGATGAAACGGATAATGATGAAATATCCAGCGCAGAACGTGGGAGTGAAGGGCAGCCTGAGGGCGAAACGGACAATTCTGCACAGACTCGCGTCAAAATGCGCAGCGCCGTCGTCGAGCAAAAAGGGCCGGTGAAAGGAGAGCTGCGTTATATCAGATTGTCAGTTACAAGAGTACATTCTCGGAGCATACAGACTGACCTTGTTTTTTTGAAAGAAAGCGGTAGTTTGCACCAGCATATTCCTGCAGAGCACCAACAAATTCTGCAATTACTTGCAGTGCATCCTCGGCATATTTCTTCACTCGACCGGTACCCCTCAAAAGGTCATTGAGGTCTTAGCTCACGCTGGATTCTCAATCAGCGTAACAACAATCCATCACGCCGTAAATTCCATGTCTCATGAAATTTCGTCCCGAATCAAGCAAGCTGTCCGATCACTGCAGTCAGCATTCGCATACGACAATTTTGATATCAATTTCAAGACGGCGCAACCTACCATAGAGCGACAGAGCACATTCGTGAGTGCTACGTAGGGGGGTGACCAAGATTATTATTCGATTGTCATCAAACAACAACGGTATCCAAAAGCACAGTGTCTTTCCGGAGCCAGTGGGTGATATGGTAATGACATCTTTCTTTGCAAGCTGTGCCTGAGCAGACTGAATTTGCCATGGGCAGGGAGTGAAGCCAAAGGTAGATTTTACTGCAGTCCGAATTTCCTCGACCGAAGGGATGTTATTGTTTGCAGACATCCTTGCACACGACGCGTCTTCATGTGACGCACTGTGATTCGCGCAGTGAGACATTTTTGGTAAGGAACACCGGTTCTCGGTGAGTACAAATAAGAACAAACGTTCAGCCACAGCGAAGTTCTCCAGTCGGTTTGGGGTGTTAATTTATCCTCAGCATTAAAGTTTCGGGAGTTCAATTGGACGAAGCAAACAAGTACAATGTATTATGAAGCTGTGCTAGGATGTAGGATAACACCCCTGCCAAATGGTTGGAGTCTGATGGGGGGGCTGCCTTATGAAACACTGCTGATCTCAATAAAGCTCCACAATAGGCCATCGCCTTTCAGATCGAGAGAGGAAACCATGTGTCTGCTATCAACAGTTCTTCTTCTCTGTCGCTTCACAGGCTGCGAGACAGACTGAATGAGGAAAAGTGGCTTGTTTTCAGGAAAGATGTCTGGAAAATGGGATGATCGCATGCCCTTCATTTTTGATGTCTGCAAACGAGCCAAAATCCTCGATTTGAATGGAGGGAGTAACGTCTTAGATTCATCATCCAGGGCGCGATCAAGGGTTGTTGGGGGCTCGGATAAGGTAGACGATACCGCGGTAAGTTTAGGATTGAAGGAATTGCCTCAAGCGACCCACCCGCATCCAAGTCCCCTCCCTATACCTCCGAACTTTCTGACGAACCCTCATCCAGAGCATCCAAACCCATATCCACACAACAACTCCCCGTACCCATTCCCACAAGCCGCAGGGCCTCCAGAGACAAGTCAAAGCAGTACCTAATCCGACCCATTCAGGCTGTAATCGAGGTGCCCGTAAAGGAGAGTGCGGAGAACACGATTTTTGATGAAGCACTATCTGCATCAAGTTCTTCTGCGTTATTAATATTATAATCAAGCTCGGGTTCAGGATCCACAGTACCAGAATCTAGTAGACCAACTTCAGCCATCTCGAGCAAAACCATACCCAAACTCAGCAAACCTACTAGCGTCCCTAGTAAAATTGGACAGAGTACTAACAACAAAGTCGTCTCAGCTACGAGCAAATCCATATCATTGAACAACAAGTCTACATCAGTTCCATCCACCAAATCCATATTATCGGTAGACCGACACTGGCAACAAACCACTATCCAATTCTGCTACCAAAAAGCCTACTCCCTCGTCCCGTCCCGCCCGCAAAATAAGTACTAAACGATAGTATATTGAGATCGATGAAGACGAGGATCAGACTTAGTGCAAATCAGGTGGGCCAAGAACAAAGCTGATTCTTCAGAAGAGGAAGAAGGCGAGTTGACGTTGGACATTGAGGTACATTCGCTGTATCATAACATCCGGTTCAGCGTGCTGATGCCCAAGCCCGCTAGGAAAACTGCTGCAAAGTTTATGGCACCCAGCGCATAGCAACTACGAGCAGTATGAAAGCCGTGTCGCAGGCGCATGCGAAAAGGAGGAAGCTGATTTCAAGCACAACCACCATAATAATGGTGGTGGGAAGAAACCTCTTGCGAAGAGTGTGAGTGGGTGAAAGCCCCTGATGGGGATGGTTCGGCGGTGTCTGATTTACGTTTGTGATGTCCACGTGAGTTATACTTTTCATTCTTTGCAACACACTATCGCTATCTACGGTGTTCGTGCGAGTTCATGCCTCTTTTTGTATGATTATGATGACACCAAATCTAAAGCGCTTACAAGATACCAACACCTGAATACTCACGAATCCTGGGATGAGATAGTTTCCATCATCACATTGCACTGGCCCTCACTTGTCTCCCAAGTATCACGGTGCCTATAACAAGACCGACCTCTTATGACAGAACTGATCAAGAAACTGTGGGGCTTCGTAACATGGTAAAGGATTCATGAATGACTTTAATTATAATCCTGAGGTCCTTTGAAGGCACCAGGAGTACGGACGACGTCGACGTTGCAATCTTTCCTGCCCGCCAAAAGACTGAGATACCGAAAGAGAACCCACAACATGATGTTATCGATCGAGGGCAGGCTACTTCAAGCACTCAAGATGGTGCCAGTGCATCCCCTAGGGAGCCTCTATTTGCTGTCGTTCTGCGAGAGGTCGCCACAGATCGAGAACGAGCTGCTTCAAGCACTCTCGATGGTGCCAGTGCCACAAGGAACTTTGGTTATCTTCCCGGAGAAGTCACCGCAGATCGAGTGCATCTTGCATTGGTATAACCTCGATAACAGAGCTATGTCGGGGCTGGCTGACTTGGGAATCCCCTTAGGAACACGATATAAACCCGTTCACAAATCAGCCTCATACTGCGCAATACAAAAAGATTCTTGAAGGCCGCAAAACGCTTCCCGTGTTTGCACATATGGCCGAGTTCTATAAGATAGTTAGTTTTATGTATCCCTCACACCATTCACTCTGACGTTCGCAGTTCAACAAACACCAAATCATCATCATGATCGGCGAGACCGGCTCAGGCAAGACCACGCAGTAAGTTAGCATCCCTTGACACATGCTCCCTTGTCTTTTTGGATAGTCGCTTATCATAGACCCTTTGTCACTGATAGAATACCCCAGTTTGTCGCTTACTCAGATCTTCCGCACACCAAGAACAAGATTGTGGCGTGCACTCAGCCTCGCAGAGTCATTACCACGTCTGTTGCGGAACGCGTGGCAGATGAGATGGACGGTCCGTTTGTTTTACTACTCTGATCTCACTCCGAGCTCACTTTATCACCTAGTCCAACTCGGCAAACAAGTCGGTTACTCGATACGTTTTGAAGACATGACCGAGCCCGGCACCACCTTCCTCACATACATGACCGACGGGATACTCCTGCGCGAAGCCATGCACGACCCTGATCTCAGCCGCTACTCCACTATCATCCTCGACGAAGCCCACGAACGTACCCTCGCTACCGACATCCTCATGGGCATCCTCAAAACTCTCGTCCAACGATGTCCAGACCTCAAGCTCATCATCATGTCCGCCACTCTGGACACTCTCAAGTTCCAGAAGTACTTCACTGTCTCTGGCAGCACCCCTGTCCCGCTATTTAAGGTTTCCGGTCGTACATACCCCGTCGAGGTGTTCTATACGCAGGAGCCGGAACCGGACTATGTCGAGGCTGCCATCCGCACTGTGCTCATGATTCATTGCGCCGAGGAACCAGGGGATATTTTATTGTTCCTGACGGGCGAGGTGGAGATAGAAGAGGTGTGTCGGAAGATTAAGCTTGAGGCGGATGACCTTATCAACTTCGACCCCATGTCTGTGGGCCCTCTGATGTGTATCCCTCTGTACTCGTCATTACCGCGTCAACACCAGCAACATATCTTCGACCCACCGCCCAAAGCAATCTGTCCAAATGGCCCACCAGGACGCAAGGTCGTGGCAAGCACGAATATCGCGGAGTCGTCACTGACGATCGATGGGATTGTGTACGTCGTGGACCCAGGGTTTTCCAAGCAGAAGGTGTACAATCCGCGCATCCGTGCGGAGAGCTTACTCGTGAGCCCGATCTCCAAAGCATCGGCACAGCAGCGTGCGGGCCGTGCCGGGCGAACGAGGCCGGGTAAATGTTATAGGTTGTACACGGAGAATGACTTCATCTCAGAGCTCGAGGAGCAGACGCACCCTGAAATTCTGAGGAGTAATTTAGCTAATATCGTGTTGATACTTATCAAGGCAGGGATGAAGGTAAGCGTGAAGTGGGGTGATGTCTTTTGGGTTGGGCTGATACTTGTGTAGGATCTTATCAGGTTTGATTGGGTGGATGCGCCAGCACCAGAGACATTGATGAGGGCACTGGAATTATTGAATTACCTCGCAGCAGTGGATGATGATGGGAACCTCACGGCGCTTGGGAGTATCATGGCTGAATTCCCTCTGGATCCCCAGGTAGGCGATTGTCCTGGTGGTGGGTTTGGTCCTGACGGTTCTGACGCATGCTCTCAGTTCTCAAAGATGCTGATCGTCAGCCCAGAGTTAAAATGTAGCAACGAGATATTGACGATCACTGCGATGCTGTCAGGTGCGTACCCATCCTGGAGGCTTGCTCCTATCTGAAGTTGTTGTAGTGCCAAATGTATGGCTACGGCCGAGTAACAAACTAAAAGAGGCGGATGCTGCAAAAGCACTGTTTACCGTCCCCGGTGGCGACCACCTAATGCTTCTGAACGTGTACAATAGGTACATTCAAAGTAAGTCTCTTCCTACAACCACGTACGTACTCACTCACAACTACCCCAGACCAACGCGACAAAAACTGGACATGGGTTCACTACCTCTCCGCTTCAGCGCTACTGCAAGCAGTCAACGTGCGTGAGCAGCTGGAACAGACGATGGGGCGGTTTGAGTTGGCCGTTGTAAGCATGCGAGATCAGAGGGAGATGTCTCTGGCAATCAAACAGGCATTGTGTTGTGGCTTTTTCATGCAAGTTGCACATATGGTGGGAGGGATGGGGGATTATATGACCATGAAGGACAATCAGGCATGTTATCTTGATTTGCGTGGGGTTGGTTTACTGATACTATCTTTGTGGTAGGCCACGGCGCTGCATCCATCGTGCGGACTGGATACGCAACCGGAGTGGGTGATTTTTCACGAGTTCGTACTTACGACGAGACCGTATATACGGACCGTCACAGATGTCCGACCAGAATGGTACGTACATCTTAGCACTGTATCTTGACATGCTATGCAAATTTTCACATTGACGCTCCGACAGGCTCCTCGAGTACGCGCCCTTGTACTTTGATTTGAAGAATTGGCCAGATGGAGAGACGAAGCGCGCATTGATCAGGGTTATGATGCGTGCATGATGAGGTCTACGAACCGGGGGACCGCACGCAAGAAACAACTCAAAGCGACGCGCGTTGGTAGAAGTGACCAAGATATCAAAGGCTTGATAAAAGGGATGAAGAATTTGAGGACTTCTTCGGGAGGTCAGCCCCCCGGTAAGTCAAACACGATCAGAAGAAGCTGGACGTGAATCAAAGGAATAGGGATGGCATGATATCGGACTGTATCCGGTATGTGAAGTGTAGTATATGTACATCAACAAACTCTGGGGTTGTCCATGCGTACAGCACTGTCAAAACTCCGGAGCTGGGCAGTTTCTGTATTCTTGACGACTTTGAAGAATGGTGGACAGCCTACCCAGAGAGTGTGCGAGTGCAAATATAGCCTGAGTGCACAAATGTACATGACTCGGCCATACAGTGATGCTAAAACTTTATTTGCTTTTGTTTATTTCGCGACACGCCCACCAGCACCTCCCGCCTCTTCAACACCTGGTTCTGACTCATCTAGCTTTTAACCAGAACCGCCTTCAGCACCAGCTTCACCTCAAGGTTACCAACGTTTTGTTAGTTCACCACCTCCAAACCAACAATATGCTGCACGCACTCAATGCACTTAGGTCAAATAGCTGTTGCTGTAGGCAAGACTATCCACAAGAATGTACTTTCTTTTTGCCCCGCTTGCTCACCATGAACAATTCGCCGGTGTAATACCAGTTACCGTCCTAAAACATCACTTCAATGTCTCGAACTCCTATGTAATCTACAAACTCCGGCTCATTATATTCCCTTGGCACCACAAACCTTGGGCACGAAAAATCCGTCGCAGAGACTGGTCACAGAGTGGCAGCCTCCTCGCGACGATATCAATAATAGTGATTTACACATACTACGTGCGTCTTTTTCCTATTAATCCATCCCCTCTCATTCGTTCTGCCGCCATGGCACTCGTAACATACATACTCGTAGCAGCGCGACAAACTGGTCTTCAAGAACGATTTCACCCCCAAATCCTCGTCGTCGTATACTCAATTTTATCTTCGTCCAATGCAGCTGCTACCTCCTTAATACTCAAGGCACGGGTCAAGTAGTAGATTTGATTGCTCATGGCGGGTGTAGGTTTGTTGGGTGAGTCCGCTCCTTGTACCCTTCGTTACTGATTCCGACCGGCGTCACCCTCACACTCTTCGTGGGTCTCCTCAATCTAGGCTCAACCATATAAACCCTCGTATCTGTCTATGCGTTCGCTGCAAACGCCTTATCCATAGTATGTCTTGTCCCTATAACATACATGTCAACTCTTTACTTACACTCGCACTCGCACTCGTGTAGCTGCGTTCCCTCCGCTCATTGGTCCTTCCCAACTCGCCTTCCATTGTAGATACTGTCAACCCCGCATCCAGAAAACGCCGCATCACATTCCTGTTGCTGGGGGTTGTTTTGCAGGTTGTCTACATGCGTTTCTTGGTTAGGGTGAGTCCTTGGCGTGCTCTCGTGTCATCGCACCATGGTAATATAAATTGCTACGCATGCTGCTGCTGTTTTTTTTGCGTGAACGTTGATCATGATAGGCAGTACTATGCACCAATTACTAGCGTGCTGAATATAGACTCGCATACTAAATGCACCGAGCAAGTACATCTGCTGGCTAAAATGATACTCGTGGTCGAGAAACACTCAGGCATGTAGGCCTGGAAGATCTGAGGTCGATGATGTGGCCCTCCGAAGGCACAGTAACACTGCCGTCGGACCTCGGATATGGTCAGTTTCAAAGACAAAGGAGCTCCATGGATCTGGGATGGATTCTAGTATATAACAATCGCCCGCGAACCGCTTCTCGTTGGCCAATCTTCCAACCGTACCTCGTGCCTTGCAAAGTCCATTAGGAGAGAAGCTGGAGAAACGTCATACAATGCCATCGAGCCGAACCCATTGTAATTTCATTGATTGTACTGTGGGGTTGGGCCCAGACACATTTCAACTGCGATGGACTTCCAATATGCTGAATTCAAGTGCCATTAATTTGTGCTTGCATCACAGACCTGGTCTTGCAAAGAGACGCACAGGCGGTAGGTCAAACAATTCAGCTCGCAAGTCATAAATCGCAGAAGCTCTAGCGATTCAATATTCAGATATAGTCATGTATGTTATCTTACAAACGCCCGATTTGCCCCTCCAAAACGCATCCTTCAGTTCTACCACTTTCCAAAAAAAAAATTCCTCTCCCACTGACGCTTTCATGCCTAAGAAAGCCCAACGAACTGGTCAAACCACCTAAACACTTCGTGGTGCCATTTCAAACTATCCCAGTCAAAGCATCAGCTCACGACCAGCGTGTAGAACTGCATACGTACCTATTCCCAGCGTTTAGCACCCAATGGTTCTCGTCTGGGAAGATCAGAAGGCGGCTTGGGACGCCCAGCCTATATGCGTGTCGATCAGTATGAATCACCCACTAGGAGTAAAAATAGAAGGAAAGGAAGAGGAACGGTGGATTAAAGAGAAACTACGGTGCAAGAGAACGATACATGAAAAACCAGGATGAAAAAAAAAACGCACTGCTGCAACGCATGGAACACCCCAATCCCATCTGATTCCGGAAGCCTGTAATCCTTGCTGCCATGAATTGTCAGCTGTGGGGTCGACCACTTGGCAACGGTATACGCGGGGCTATATTTCCGCGAGGCTTCGATTGCGGCAGGATCCCATGGACGTCCTCCCCATTCGTGATTAAACTGCAGTGTGTCAGTAGTTAGTATTGTGAGGGAGAGATGGGAGACGCACAAAGAATAGTTCATCTGTGGCGTAGCCGTTGAAGGCTATGTCAAATACCTGTTTTATGTGAATAGATCAGGTCTTCCTTCGCTCCATCATGCAGTGAGGGGAGACGCACTCCATCGTGACAGACCAGTGCCTTGAACCCAAATCCGAGCTCGGGGTTGCCTGGATCCAGCTGCGAAGAGCGAGAATCAGGACATAAGAGGATGTGAAGGACGAGAAGGAAATGATACGCGCTTGATTGCATATCCGCCATAACTAGCACCAGCAGCCACCGTGCGGTTTTGGTCGATCTATGCGCAGAGGCCAACATCAGGATGCGTTGAGTGTCAGGAAGACAAGGCGCAGGGTCTCACCTCTGGGTATTCTCGAAGGATATACTTCCATCCCATCAACAAGTCTTGGATGGGGCGGCCTCCCCAGTTTTTATTGATCCCATCCGTGAATTCTGAAATGTTGCATCAGCACAAGAACAGACAAAAGAAGAGAGTAACTCACTCTGTCCAAATGAAGTGGACCCTGTTGGATTGATAGCAACGACCACATATCCCTGGCTCGCAAAGACTAGAGCACACATAGCTCAAATATTAACACAGTCCTTGTAACCCAACAAAAGGAAATTGTGTACCATTCGGATTCCATCGCGTCGACCACTGATCAAACCAGGCGCTCTCCGGACCTCCATGGATAAGCAACACCGCAGGCCACTTCCCATTAATCCCACGTTCGAATCCAGGTGGGGTAATCACATAACCATGTGTGTCCTGCCCCTCGGCCGTACCTTTGAACCAGAAATCCTTCCCGGGGGAGAGATCTTTGCCTTGGAGCCCAGCGGAAGAGAACGAAGTAAGGCGCGTAACCGTCGTCGCCTTCACATCTGCCTTTCTTCCTGCTAAGAGATCCCGCTCGGTGGCGTCGAGCCCACTAAGCTCATACACCTCGTTTGGAGACGTCAGGCTTGAAAGAGCGAAGGTAGCCCTGCCACCTGGGATTGGCGTGAAACCGGATATAGAACCGCTGGAGGTGAGGGCTGTTGGTCGAGTGGTTATGGTGGCGTTGGAGGGAGGTGTAGGCGGAACAGCCAGCCCAAAGATCTTGATGCGGGCGTGATCGCCGGTAGTAGCGTAAATGAGGGTAGAGGAAGGGGAAAACTGGGTTCGGATCAGTTGGCTAGTGACGACAGGCGTATGGGAGTGAGGAGTAAACTCGCAAGGAATTGACAAGGATCACAATACAGAGGATAGAGTGAAGGAAGTAAGGTCGGTTGGGTGAAGATTAACTCACGACAATAGAATCAGGGGAGCGGTCCCAGTCCTCCGTAATGGTGAACCGAACGTTTTCCTTGAGATCATAGATCACCACTTTCGCGCTGTACACATGAAGTTGACAACGCGGGAAGTGAGTGTATGAGCGAGTGAGAGTACATGAGCGAATTAAAATTAGAACGACATACGAATAGATCGTATAACCTACCGATCACTCTCGTGCCCATCAAGAGCCAGTTCCAGCCAGGCGACCTTATCGCCAGAAGGGCTGAACACAGGGGAGTGCGTCGCACCTTGGACGCCCGAGGTGAGTTGTCTGAGATCTTTTCCGTCATGTGCAACGAGGTAGATCTACGTGGTAGTGTGTTAGCATATAAGGGCAAGATATGAAGTGCACACACATTCTGCCTGGTGTGCACAGCTCTGGGGAGTTGCGGGTCCTTGGCAGTGAAGATGGCATGCGTTTTGGAAATATCATAGTCATCCGTCTCACCGAACGGCTCCACAGGGGAAGACTAGTTCAAATCAGTTTCACCGCTAGCCCGAAGAGTAGAAACAAGCACTCACGAGTCCCGTCCCCTTTAGCACGTTCACGTAGGTTTCCCCCAGGACCCACTTCGCACCTACTTTGGCCAGACTGACCCCAATGAGAGCCTTGCTCTTAGGACCAACCCATGTATCCCATTGACGCTCGAACATCTCATCATACACCAGACCAGAATTGCCCCGATTCTCATACGCCGTGTCCTGTTCTCTCACGGTCTCGACAAGGCCATCAGGATAAACATATGCGGAGAACACGAGGCGCTGAGCGCTGGAGCTATAACGGAATGCGCTTGCAGTGGTGATGGGGAAGGATCCTACGTGGGAGGAGAGGTCGGAGGAGAGAGGAGAAGTGCTGATGGGGATGGTGTAGAGGCTCTGTGTGTCATCTTTTGTTACGACATGTGCGATGGTGCGAGAATCAAGCCAAAAGGCATCGCCGCCGTCGGGCAAAGGAATGTCATAGGTACGGCCATCGCTAAGAGCGATGACGGAGAGTGACTTGTGAGACCTAAGGGCCCGATGTTACAATTATGAGAACGAAGAAAAGAAGGAGGAGCATACTTGCGATCCTGAAAAGAGTAAGTGCTGATGGGTACGATAGCAAGATCACCGATGTCGTTTGGCAGAGGCACACCAGGCCGAGGGAGGGTGAGCATATCTTGCGGGGAGAGTGCATTTGCACCCTCGCTGAGGGTAAAGTCTGTAGCCATCTGAGGAATTTGTGGGGCAGAAGCTGGTGAAATGGAACTGTAATATAATGGCACCTGAGCAGCAAAGCCCAGCTGCAAGAAAGGAAGTATTCGCATGACACAAATTCGTGCACCACGGCCTAGCTAGTTCGACACGAGGTACTCAATTTTAAGATCAATTATTGCTCATTGTCACTCACCATTGCGTGCAACGTCGTGCGACTAAGCTGTCGAGTACCGCGTGTTCTCGTGGGTAAGAATATTCACATGTGACCTGCTGAGTGTAAACGCTCTGAGTACTCAAACTTAAAGTCCGCATACATGATCCCGCAGGTTCTTCCTGGATTCGAAGTTCGTCAGCTACATCATCTATCTGGCCGACTGGGCTGGCGAGTGGTGTTCACCTCTGGTCTACCTTATGGACAACAATACCGGCGTGCGCGAGCTGTCTCTTGAGGAGTTCGCGGAGCTCACGCCTGCCAAGGTGATTCCGATGCACTCCTGGTGTTTTGGTCTAGGTTTTACATGAACTAAGGACTCGGAAGTGTTCGACTGACGCCAAGTCAATTTATGGGCCTCATGCCACAAAGGCACGAGACGTGAATTAAAACCCCAGAATAAGGGAAACCACTTTGTTATTTTGGGACGAACCAGAGGTAGCCCTTTATTTATCAATACATTGCGATCATCAACCTTTAGAAGTAGTGGTCCCACTTAGTTGCAGGTATTCACTGATTGTTCTTCACGATCACATAACGGTGTACTAGCCTCTTGCATTGGAAAGTGTGAGTAACTCTATGGGCACTTCTGAGAATGCTGCAGATGCAAAGCGAAAAACTGATGGATTTCTAGAAATCAGTTCTGTGTCTTCTGACACAAGTGAGTAACACCATGATATATATTCATGTGTCCCAAATTTGGCATAGCTCTCGAAGGACACCTCGAGTACTCTGTACTCAAGGACGCTGAAAAGCTTGTGCTTGCTAGGTGAGGGTATTGGCCTATTTAGTTCCAATGATCATCATCACTTGTTAGTCGCTCTGATGGACTGGACGTCGAGAATCTATCCTCTATCGTGGGTATAGTTCAAGTGTTTTTGTTGGCCTTCCTCGACGATGGCGATAAGCCACACTGTATAAATGTCGGAAGGTGGTGGATAACCTTTCTGCTTCTGTCCCCCCTGTGTTATGTCTGTTTCGTGGGGTGAGCCAGAATCCGTCGTGAGTAGTGGCCTCGCTTTGGAATATTCACTCGTGATTCAATCGATTATGAACAAGGAAGACTCGCTCATACCTCGAGTATCTACATCTACAAATGCCGAGTATCGTCATGGCATCCCAACTACGCATCTAGCGCACGCATTGACTTGCGCAGGTTACTAGACGGTGCAATAACTCATCTTTATTGTTATTGTTCCTTGAAGTTTTTTAATCTTGTCCAAAAAATAGGTTCAGAACCATCTATCATTATGTTTTCGTTGTTAGGTCAAGTGGAACTCGACCTTGCAATGGCGACTTCTTCCTTGAATTGGCTACAGTTGGATCAAGGCTTGCGAGCACATGTTGCCGAAGCATTGGTACCAACCTCAAAGATGAAGGTCAAACCTTCTGCGACACCTGAACGATCGAAGTGTCAATGGGAGTTTGGTTCCAGAGGATAACACCCGAGAACAATGAAAACTCATATACCACTGGCACCAACCATGTTACCGAAAACAGTCAAGGTGCTACTTCACGACACACAACCAGGCTCATAGAAAATTCTGGCATCGAACTTGTGTGCATCAACAGCGGGGGAGAGCTCAAGACTGTATGAGCATGGTGCGACATCGTTATTCAAGTGTGCTTAACTGTTTACCTTAAGCACATTTATGTCGCTGATATTGACCCTAGAAATTGAATGATAATGGATCGCTCTATGCTTGACTCCGGGAAAACGAGCCACTCTGCCTCCCAGCTGGAGATATCTGGATTGCGTTGCTTTATTTATGGGTCGAAGGTTGCATGTTCAGATCACCTCACCGGTTTTTGAGGAACTTTGTGATACTCTCGATGTGAAGCGAAGGTAATCGAATTCTTCGTTTGCAGCGTAATCGACCACAGAAGATAGGATTGTCATATTGTACCAGATCGTACATGACGCTATACATGCAAAACCTGAGCATACAGGAAACAATGCATTCGTACGGAGAAGGAAATAGTCATGGTTTGGGTAAGTGTTTGGCTGCTCAACACCGTTTAATTAATCTAATCTCGTGGCTTCAGATAACGCAACCGTTCGAACTGGCTTTATCGCCGCGGTTACCCAAGGCTGCAGTGATTAACGCTGCGAACACAGTGACTGGGTGCGTGAAGAAAGAAGAAGGTCAACTTTTCCTGAGGGATGTCCCGGTCTTTTAACTGCAATGGATAGATGTGCTAATGAGACGGATACCCCTTTCAAATATCATTCGTTCGCGTTGTGTTCTTCGGTTGATGTATCTTATCATGATACCACGTACGGTATCCATTCATTAATATGGCCTATCAGAAACACGGCACCTTTATTGGAACCTCTTTGTACATTTTAAGTACCGCAACGCCTGTCTTACACGAATTTCGTGACAAACTAGCAGTTGCGTGAGTAACATAGCATGACTCGATACAAGCCCCGGAGTGGGATTAGCAAGGGTTAGACGTTAGCGGTGTGATAACCGGTATGTGTCTTTATAATATCAGCACCCTGAATTTCCAACTGACACACGTAGGCTGGCTTCTTTGTGCGGCACAACCTACTCGGACTCGGAAAACTGACGCGTTTATCTGGCATCAGAGTGAACACCCGATGGTGCTGACGAGGTGCCAGGCTGGAAAACATGTATAAAATGCTGCCAGCCTCCAGACAAACTGCACTTTAACAACATCAACACTCAACTCTACAATCATGTCTAGCGAAAGCACCGCGTTTTGGGCACCCACTCCAAAGCCATCATCTAGGCTAGCGCGTTATCGCGTATTATCCCCTCATGCCGGCGTCCATGTCTCGCCCTTGCAGCTCGGTGCCATGAGCATCGGTGACAAGTGGGAGAAGTTTGGCATGGGTAGTATGGACAAGACATCCTCATTCAAGCTCCTCGACACCTTCTACAATGCTGGAGGAAATTTCATCGACACTGCTAATAACTAGTGCGTATCATGCCGCAGTCATCTTGAATTCGTTGTCGTTGCTGACATACCCCGCAACCCCTCAGCCAAGATCAAAGCTCTGAAGAGATCATCGGAGAGTGGGCAGAGGAACGGGGAATCCGTGACCAGCTCGTGATCGCTACAAAGGTGACTTTGGGATTCGGTGACTCGGAATATAGTTCAATGCTGATACATGTATATTCAAGTACACGACCAATTACCAGCGCGGCAACGACGCCATTCGCCAGAAGGTATCATACACCGGTAACAACATCAAGTCAATGCACATCAGCGTTGAGGCCAGCTTGAAGAAGCTGAGGACTTCATACATCGACATTTTGTACGTGCACTGGTGGGACTGGGACACCTCCGTCGAAGAGGTCATGAACGGTCTGCATGTGCTGATACAACAAGGGAAAGTGTTGTATCTCGTGAGTGTCCCCCTTTCTATGCTGACACTAACGTTCGTTAACATGTATCGCTGACAGGGCATCTCGGACTCTCCTGCTTGGGTCGTGTCCAAAGCGAACCAGTATGCTCGGGATCATGGAAAAACACCGTTTGTGATCTACCAAGGTGCTTGGAACGTTATGTTTCGGGACTTTGAACGGGATATCATACCAATGGCCCGCTCCGAAGGTAAATTAGCACTGTTCCTCGCTATCTGGTGGCTCAACTCACGTTCATTCATGCATAGGTCTTGCGCTTGCCCCTTGGAACGTCCTTGCCGGTGGAAAACTTCGAACCGACGAAGAAGAGGAGCGCCGCCGGCAGACAGGAGAGAAAGGCCGCATGCTCATGGATCCCAATTGGGAACGTAACGAAACGGAGAGGGCGATGAGCGCAGCGCTTGAGAAGGTCGCGAAAGAAGTCGGTGCGAAGCACATCACAGCTGTGGCTATTGCATATCTTATGCAGAAGACACCCTATGTGTTCCCGCTTATTGGCGGGCGAAAAGTGGAGCAGTTGGAGGCCAACTTGGAGTCTCTGGCGATTTCGCTAACGCCCGAGCACATGAAGTATTTGGAGAGCATCGTTCCTTTTGATCCCGGCTTCCCCTATACACTCATCGTAAGTCACTGATCAGCGCTCTGTTGTGTCAGTTTACTGAGACCCGATCTTATTCAGGGTGATGGCAAGCAATACAATCATCTATTGCACCACACTGCATATCTGGAAAAGCAGCCGCAGGGGCAGCCCATAGTTCCAGACGTTGATTAGTATGGCACTGCTCGTAATTTACACATGTATTAAGGCGTAGCGCGCCCCAGTATTGTAAGATGATATGAAAAGAGACAATGCGTGCGTACTTTATTCTGAAGCCGACAACACCCTGCGCTTGAGCAGGTTTCGAACTGGGAAGCCATGACTCGGACGACCGCTCTCGTGGCCCGAAAATTTTCAAACTTGCACAGTCCAAGAGAAAGAGATTTTGATTCTGTTGTTGGCAACCACTTGGCTAAGACCAGCCTCCGAAGTTGTACTATGCTGTGCTGCGTGAAATTCGTGCAATGCATACACTTCCTTTTCTTTTCGCACGGTTGTCGTACTCCTAGTGTCCTACCATTCAATTTATTCATTCGAGTTCGAAGAATGAACTTCAAAGAACCTCTACAAATTTATAATTACTACTCGCATGGAAAGTTGTTGGGCCCTCAGCACCAGTGACATGGAGTCTGGATGTCTGGTACATGCACGCTCATTGTCGCCATTCCCTACTAGTACATCAGCAAACTGGTGGACAAATCAGAATGACATAGAGTCGGTCAGACTCACCGGGTCTTCTATCCGAGACTGAGCAGTGAGCACCCAGGTATCACTCACCCTATGTATCTATAGGTGTTTACTTTATCCGTCGGTGCCATTGTATTGCTCGGTGTAACTTTTGTGCAATGGAACATCATCATGATCATCGAAGGTGCTGATTACTATATGGCAGGTAGTATCAGAGTACGCCGCGGCGGATCATTACATGCTAGAATATGCATATCTCCATCCCGGCAAGTCGCAACCATCTTCAGGGCCATATGTTTGCACCTCAGGTATGGGTCACCATTCCATTGGCATGGGGCACTTTTAAAAAAAGCCATTCATCACTTGAAATATTGGATCCTGATTGAATGAGTCATGGCTTACAACGAGTTCTTTTCTTTGCACCCCATCGACCATGCTACAACTGCCTAACCTATACATCTCTGACAACGCGCAGCTCGTCCTCAGTGCTGTGGCTTGTCTTGGTGTGGTAGGAGTAATTGCTCGGGCTGACCTTCCTAAATCAGAGAGCGACCTTCTTCTCCCACCTTCCCCTTCCACTTGGAGACTTGGGGGGCACTTCCTGCTGCATTGGCAGTAAAATTTTACATTCAACTTATTGACTTGTAAATGCTGGTCGTGTTTTAAGCCCATCCCTCACTATATCAGGATAGATTGACGAGGATGGTCCTCTGATCACCATTCGGTCAAGACTTGAGAAGATCGTCATTATCGGCCACTACAAGGTCGGTCCCTAGTACATACTGATTTGTAATATCTAGGCTGTTGCAGGCCGCCGTGGATATTATGGAGAAACTGGGAAAATTGACAGCTGACCGTCCTCGCACGATTGCTGCTGGAGAAATATATTACGGCGGAATGAATGTCGCCTTTACTTACTTTCCGCCCAAGTGGTGCTCTTGGCTCACTTCGAAGCTCACTTTTTTTTTTTTACAAAGATGACCTTCTAATTATGTAGACACTACGAGTGTGAGTCTGAGGAAGGCTCGAATGACCACCGGGAGACATAGGGCTAATTCGTGCATCCCATAAACTTTCCCAAGGACTGACTGTATATCCTGTCCATCAGAACTACATTATTCATTGCATTAAGCAACTCCAAGTCACAGTTTTCATTGACAAGCACAGTCAAACGGCTCGAGGACTCGGGGGCTACAAGTAGGCTCATCATAATATTGCTAGAACAGAGCCGTAGACAGAATGTGTATGCAGGCTGTAATATGCTTAGGCGCGGGCTCTGCCATTCTACAGGCAGACCATCCATCGTGTCGTCCCCATTAGTATGCACCAATTGTCATTCACAAAGGAAACAGCACATGGCGTCCAACGAGTCAATAAAAGATCGATCACACAGCGCCTGGCACATGATCATCGGGATGAGAGCTTTGGTAAGAGAACTGGTGAGCTTCACTTGGTGTCTCGGCGGTCCAGGTATAGGTTCATGGTAGATGAGATTCCCAAACACCCACGATGGCAGTCCTTTAAATATAGGGCTCGCGTAGCATCTTAGATCTACGGTGAGAGCTCGCCGAAGTCGGTGACCATGTTGCACTGGTACTGGTATGGTGCGGAATTCCAATGATGATGGATTTGAGAGGGGTGAGAGCTGAAATCAGTTGGGCTGGTCACCAGTCTAAGCAGGTCTTGCCAGGAGGAGGCGGGATGAAGGGATGGTACTGTAGTAAGCTATATGCATGCGTTCGAAGGAGTGGGATGGTGATGTGCTGGAGTAACTGCTCGACACGCTATTCATGCGATCATGCAGGATAGAGAGTCAGATTCGAGCGCTGGGAGGATATATTGCCGAGAACGGCTGGTATGACAATAAGGTTCCTTGTGGTGATGAAGGCGTGGAGGCGAACAGCCTTAAGTGTCCTGGGCGTCTATTGAAATGAGACAGGTGAATGCAGTGAAGCATATTTTAAACCGAAAATACACGTACCTCTGGAACTGAGAGAAAGTCACCTACCCGCCCTCTAAACTCCTCTAAAGTCCACCTCAACTGCGCCTAACGCCATCAACCTCCAGTAAAATGTCGAAGCTCGTTCCAATCACTACACCCCTGCGAGAATTTAAAGGTCATGAAGACAGCGTATCAGTAGTTGCAGTTTTCCTCGATAAACGACGAATAGTTACAGGCTCGCACGACAGGACACTTCGGCTGTGGGACTTGGAGACAGGTGTTGTGTTGACGATGATGGAGGGGCATCGCAGCAGCGTGTGGGGATTGGCGGTATCACGAGATGGGCAATTGATAGCAAGCGGTGATGCTGGCGGAGAGGTCATCATCTGGCACGGAGAAACTGGCGAACCTCTCACTCAACCCATCAAAGCCCACTCCATTGTGATCTACTCGCTGGATTTTTCTCCTGATGGGACAGTGCTGGCCACTGGTTCATCTGACAACACAATGAAACTGTGGAATACCAAAACCTGGCAGCAACAAGGAGATCCAATCAAGTGTGGTAGAGACTTCCGCTGCCTACGCTACTCGCCGTCTGGAGAACTTCTTGTAATCGCAACAAACAGCAACATCCAAGTTTATAACACAGGCACGAGGAAATGCGTCGCATCCTTCAAGGGTCACTCATCTCACAACTGCTCACTCGCGTGGACGCCTGATGGCACACGCCTTCTTACAAGCGGCAATGACCCCAATCCTACCATACGCGAATGGGATACATTGACCTGGCAGCAGGTCGGTGATCCCTGGACGGGCCACACTAGCCATATCCATGCCATTGCCGTCAGTCCTGCTAGCACACTCATCGCCTCCGCATCTGATGATCAACATGTCCGTCTCTGGCGGCTCTCAGATCAACGAACCGTTGCCGTCTTCAAGCACTCATTCCCGCGAGAATGTGTCACCTTCTCCGTGGATGGCAAGCGCATCCTCAGCGGAGGTGACGATAAGATGATCTCAGAGTGGGCAATACCCAACGACATCAATTCAAAGGCACGTTTCCGTCCTTAACTCATTTAAGCTATTCGAGCATGTTTCGTGCAGATCCTAGGCATCATGACAGCCTGCATTGCGTGCGTACATGGAGACTTGTCTACCGCCGAACAACTACTCACGCAAGATATCAACACTGATGTGAACAACCATACTTCCTACGCTCATCGCTCATTTATTATGGCGCGAAAACACGACTGGGACCACGCCCTTCAGGATGCGATTAAGGTGAGGTATACCCACTGATCATGGCCCCCTTACGAAATACTAACCCGAAGGTGACATAGTCCGTCAGCATTCAGCCCTCATTGATAGGCTATATCTCTAATGGTAGTTGCTCTCTGCGGAAAAGGCCACATCCGGGATGCGAGGGCAGCATTTGATGTTGCATCCATGTACACGGACCAAGATTCACAAACCATTCATTTTCTGCTCTTGATCAAGGTATGCTACAGTTGCCTCGCATACTCTCTGTCTCATTGCATATTTCAGGCCATCGCGCTGTTTAATGCAGATCAACACGATGAGGCAAACCTGCTCCTGAAAGAACTCGCTGCTGGTTGTCCGAATGCCGATACTCGTGCCTGTCATATTGTAGAAGTAAGTATCATGCGACCACACTTGGTCATCAACACTAACCTTTGAAACCTTGCACATTAGGCATATCTACGCGTTCAACTCGAAATCAAAGCCATGGATGGCACACGTTATGCTAAAGCCGCTGACCATTTCACTGCTGCTGTCAACTCCAGCAGTTCATCATCAAAATTAGTCATTCATGAAATATATGAGGACTTGGTCGTGGTGCGTTAAGATAATGTGTACATAATACTTTCCAAAACTGAGTGTCTTGTCCAGCTCTTTGGCTGGGATCTCAAATCTTTGTGGCTGACTGCACACCAGAAACGGTGTGATGCACTCCTGCGGGCAGGTAGACTTCAAGATGCCGTGAAATCATACCGGTACATGATGATTTCGAGTGATGAAAATACCAGGGCCGACTACCTCGATTGGTCCAATGGCAAGTCTAGACTCCGCAATGTCATGCAAGCTATGATCCTCACCTGCATTTCTGTTAGATTTTAAGCAAGAATGCAGCGCACTCTGCGTTGTTAATGGAGATGCTGCCCTCGTTGCGAGCGAGTATGACAAGGCTATTGACCTATACTCTGCGGCAATCAACCTGGATTGTACATCCGATGTCATCTTTGCAAATCGCAGCAAGGCAAAGTTAGCTAAAATGCTATGGGAGGATGCGCTCCTCGACGCACAAAAGGTGTGATGGTATCTACCTTTTCGTAGCCCATGTTGACTTCGGCGATGCATAGGTCACCGAACTCAATCCTTCGTCTCACGTTGGATACCAATTGACACATGCAGCGCTGCTTGGCGCGCAACGTTATGGCGAAGCCACGAAGGCTTTCACAATCATGTTGTCCAAGTTGGACGACGCTCCCGAAGCTCAGATACGAGGTAAGCCTTGGAACACTCCTGCATTGTCTCGAAATGCCTATCTCGCTCTGCAGATCTGCGTCAGCAGTATGTCTGTCCATCTGAAGTAGAGGATGCTATTCAAAGAGCTGTTTGGATTGAGCTCGAATATGCCCCCCTTCGTCTGCTCAACACCTATACGGGTCTTTTGTGCGATAGAACGGCACAAATAAATACCTTCAAAATGAGTCCAGAGTACAATGAGCTTATCTCATTTCCAACGAAGGATTCAAACCTCCGAACAGAGCGCATCAAAGATGTAGTGGCGAAGTACTTCTGCTGCGTCCTGCTATCACACAGGTGGGAAGAGACAGAGGTGCTGCTGCACGACATCCAGGATAAAGTCTTGTACGAGTTGAATGGACTTGGTGGCATCGTGAAACTGCAGTCATTCTGCAAAATCGCTCGTAATGCTGGGTATTGCTGGGCATGGATGGACACATGCTGCATCGACAAGAAGAGCAACACCGAGCTTCAAGAATCGATCAACTCCATGTTCGTCTGGTACCGCCACTCAGCGCTTACCATCGTCTACCTATGCGATGTCCTTCCTTTATCCCAGCCCGGTGCACTGGCGAAGAGTGTTTGGAACAAGCGAGGATGGACCTTTCAAGAATTCGTCGCTCCGAAAGTTGTTATCTTTTATCAGAACGATTGGTCATTATATCTCGACGATCACTCTTCCAACCACAAAGAGTCCCCAGCAATCATGAAGGAGTTGAAGGATGCGACGGGTATAGATTCACAGGCCCTGATCTCCTTCCGTCCAGGGATGAGCGATGCACGACGGAGACTGCAATGGGCGTCATCACGCGTCACTACATTGCAGGAAGACATCGCGTACTCATTGTTTGGTATCTTTGGTGTCCATTTACCTGTAATCTACGGCGAGAAGAAGCAGAACGCGCTTGGACGGCTCCTGCAGGAGATCGTGGCTCGGTCGGGCGATATCACTGTTCTCGACTGGATCGGACAACCTTCCGAGTTCAATAGCTGTCTTCCAGCCTATATTACCTCTTACACTACTTCTCCACATACCCTTCCATCTTTATCCGAAGATCAGATTCAGACGATTATTTCTTCGCTGCAAAAAAATCCCGTGGCTGTGGATTTGGCTTCGAAACTTTACAACCAGCTTGATAACACGAGCGCTGCTCGTTTCGCAAACTGCAGACTGCATCTGCCTTGCATTGCATTCCATGTCACAGAAGTCAATTTAAGCTACGGTCCATCCCAGGAGACTCGATATGAAGTCAAGGCAGACGGGCTTCATGATCTGCTGATCACAACCAAAGAGCTGATTGTTCAGTTCTCGCGGGCAAGACCCATTCAGCAAACCTTCGTACTTGTCCATCCCTGGGATCGGTCTCTCCTTGAACTACCTGACTTTGCAGGTTTGCCAGACGTTGTGGACGATACGGAGAACGAGGGGGATTGTTGGACGCCGCCTCCTCCGTCAGATGACTCACCTAGCTGCTCTCTTGTAAAACGGGAGGTGGTTGATCCAGAATCACGAGCATTGCGGTTACTTGTTCGCCTTGGGCAGCCTTTCGGGGCATTTTTGCTAGCGCGACAGCGCGGCGGAGAATACAAGAGGATCGCGTCGGATCGTGATATCATTGCACAGGTCGTCGAAGACGTGACTTCTGTTCGAGACCTAATGGACATCAGGATGATAGAAATACTATAGTTGTATTCAGATCAGGGATCTGAACGGTTTTCATTGGTACTTCGTACAGTATGTGATACTACATGATGGGGTGGACACGAACCGCCGGAATGTGTGCTTATTTATGTTGTTTAGATAACAGAGTATACCCGCGCTTTGGCGTCAGCGGTCTCAATATTAGATATCTTGAAATTGACACTGTACTATACATACCCTTATACATACCCCGTTGATACCTCAGTAATATTAGCAACTGCTGGCAAGCGCCGATGATACAAGCTGTATTGATCTGAGACGCTGTTGTTCTTCGAGAACATTCGTGGACTCCCAATCTTCCTGTATCACCGAATCCTGACTCCTCATCTTCCCTTTGCCCAGCATCTATTCTACTAGGCAAAGACGCAATGCCGCTTAACTACTCCAAGTGGGATCAGCTCGAGCTCTCTGATGATTCTGACATCGAAGGCCACCCGAACGTTGACAAGCGTTCTCTGATCAGATGGAAGCAACGCGATATTCATGAGAAGCGCGAGACCCGCAAACTCAAGATCTCAGCTCTCGGCGCTGAGATCGCATGCAATGGCGTCCTTTCTCCCCGTCTTCACAACGTCCGCGCTACACTCGGTAGCGCAGACGGCGGGTTGAAGTACTTCCAACAATTGGTGGAGAAATTGCAAACACAGCCTTCTCCAGAGGCACCGCCGACGAACGCCAAAGATCAGCCGACCTACGACGCAATGCTGTTATCTTTGCTCCTGCAGGTTTGGGATGGCGCCAAGAGCCTTCCTGCAGATGAGCGGGAGGCTGCTGTACTCAGTGGTCTCGATAAGCACATCAAGCAACTCGCAGATCACACAAAGAAGCTGGAGAAGGATCTCGTTGACGAGGAGAATGAACAAAAGAAGCACATCACAAGCGAAGATATTCACGAGGGATTCGAGAGCAAGGTAAGATCGGCATTCTATTAGTCTTCACTGATGGTGTTCACAATGCTCCCGATAGTACACTCCCGCGAAACCACCGCCTCCACCCGTCAAGAATGCTAAAATCGACGCGCCGACAAAGACCACAACGACCAAAACCACTGAGTTCGAGGTGTTGAACCCTGCTGCCTCGAGTTCTAAAGCGCCATCGCAATCGGTCGCTCCGAAAAATTCTCCAGACTCCGTTGAGGAAGACGAAGTTGAGGAGCTACCAGAACTCACACCCTCTCTCGAACGATTCTCTCGCTTATCGTTGTGGGACTACACACAATCTTTCAACTTTATCCAAGCAAATCGCGATGTCGTTGTTCCCGGTGCATCGGACGCGTTACTTGTGGCGGCTTTCCGTGCAGAGTCGAAGGGCCAGTTCGAATATGCAGAGAAGTGTGTGCACCAAAGCTTACTCCTGCAGTACTGCGAGAAGCTAGGCAAAGATGGCGTCCGACTATTTTTCCAGAAGCAAGTGCCTGATTCCTGCATAAGCTGATGTATAGATGCTAATTTGATACTTTCGTAGGATGATCACAGGCGATCAGCGCGCTGTCTCCGTCTTCGTCAAGGATGTCGAAGGCACATATTCTCACCTTAAGACGCGTGCAAAAGTAGCAGAAACGGAGACTTCTGACGTGCAGAGGGAGCAGATACAACTTGTGCCCGAGAACCCATCTGCAACCATCTCGTTCAACGTGCCTGATGGTCCTCCGCCTGAGGACTTGCGCCTCGAGGGTCCAGGGACGGAGGACCTGGATGTTGAACAAGTTCGCGAAGCATTGCAGATGCGATGGGATGTCTTCGAGAGCTTCCCCGAGGACCTGAGGGCTGCGCTCAAGCTTGGGACTCTGGATGAGGTCAACAAAGTGCTGGGCAATATGGACGTTAGCGTTGCGGAAGATGTAGTGGGAAAGCTTGAGATGGCTAGTATCATGAGCTTCGTGTCGGGAGGTGTCCGGGACGAGACTGGGAATGTGGATGAGGAAGAAGACGAAGACAACGCCGAATAAATCCAAGGAGTATATGTTTCCGGTTGATCAGGTTAAAACGCGTACATATTGCTATTTGTATAACTGCTGTCGAACGAAGAGTCTGATGTATGTTGTACGCCTTTAGTCTATAAATGTCTTGTCACTGACTTGCTTGTTATTTCGCCACAATTCCTTCGTAAGAGGATAAGCAGTGCACATGGTAGCACAGCAGGAAGCTTGGAAGTTGGAATGTCAAAATGGCCACTGGTTTACACGGGACGCGTCTATACGACAAGTCGCACAAGACAATTGTAGACAACAAAACCTCCCAGATGTGCATCCAGTTCTTTGCTATTATCTCTCGAATTAGCGACAGTCATTGTGTGCTGTTGGCGCGCACCTTTTAATCGGAATTTCCATCAAGCCCATAAACCAAACCTAAGGCCACTCTAGCAGCTGCCCTTTTACGTTCCTGCGAATCGGACATCCCTGCAATTTCCTCCTTAAGACCCTGAAGCGCGCTCAGCATCCTTTGCAGATCGAAACGCTCGAGGTCCGCTTCTGATGGGTCGACTGCTTCGACTTCAGACGGTACAGAAAGATTCTCTTGCAGCGAACAGGTGCCATTTCCATCAGTGGATGAGAAAGTAAGAGGTGTTGCACCGAAGATACGCTTTGAGGTAGCAGCGATCTCAGCATTTGAAGGCATTTCGTCGCTGGAATCTTCGCGTTCGTGGGATTCCTCTGCTTCTGGGTCTCCAAAATCGGAAACTGACCCTAAAGATCTATAAGATATACCAAGATCTGAGGCACTCGCAGACAAGCGAGAAAAGTTGTGTTCATCGTTGGCTGGCGTCGATCGTCCAGAGGTATCAGAACTAGAGTCAAAAGTGAACGTTGAATCGAAGCTCAGCGAAGGGAGAGGTGAAATTCGTCTCTCAGATGATGTTTGTGCAGACTGAGTTTCAACATCTGCCGCTGACACCGAAGCAGACACGAAAGCGGTGAAATTGTCGTCAAATGTGTTATTGTGGGGGCCCTGGGTAGAGGAATCCTCTGTAGGCGACAAGCTGCCGGATGTGGCTGTGGCACTCCACGGATCATTGCTTATGGTTTTTTCACTTGCATCACGATGGCCATCGAAATTATCTTCGTCAAACCACCGCTCCAACTCTTCCAGTTCTCGTTGCATACGATCACGCCCTCCTGGGGAGCGCATAGCGATGAGGCTGCTGAGGTCTTCTCCCGTATCACGGTTCGTCACCAAGAGACCAAGGCCCCTTCCTTTGGAGGAGGTTTGCACCATGGACGGCCACATGATCGTGCTCAAGGCATCTATGACTCGGGAAACTCCTAGAGTAGAAACTCAAGACGGGTTTCTCCATGTTTCAAAACTGTATATGCTTACCATCATGATCATGATGGACTGAAGTTTTTGCTAAATCTTGCACATCGATGAATTCAAACCCCAGGGATCCAAGAAATGAGTCTATTTCGTCATCTTCAGTATCTTCACCACTGGCCGTAGTGGATGGAAGTCGAATGGCCAGAGATACTTCGAAATCATGATGTGATAAGCGTTGCGATATCATCCGGACATTCTCCCGGTATGGCTGCTCAAAAGTCAGATGCATACAAAAACTATAACAAGCCTTTGAGCACTTACCTCTCCGACAGTCCATGTATACACCACGGCAGGCACGCTTTCTAACTCATGATTGTTTGGTATCCAATCCGGGAGATGATGTAATTCGAAATGCACATCGGCAGTGTAGTACTTGTTCGCGATAGTCCAAGGAATGATGGACGAATTGTCGGTTGGTATCGAGGGGTCACTCTGTACCAGTCCTGTGTCGACTCGTCAATGCAAGGAATGATTGCACTGCAGCGACAAACGTGCTTTGCAGAAACTGCAAGGTGTCATCCTTTGAAGAAGATAGAGCGAGGATGCGACAAGAACAGTCTGCCATTCGTAGTTCGGCGGGAATAGTTTAGGGATCGACTGCACGGTGCAGGCTAATGTTAAAACTTATGTGATCATGTGATTAGTCTCCGCATTACCAATTGGGTTGGACTTGGTACTGCGCCCGGAGTCATCCTTCTATCACACATAGTCACACACTAGTAGAGGACCGAGGTGGGCGCCATAGCACCCACCCCGTTCAGCTATCTAACACGAGTCCATGCCACTTTTATTTGTATCAATTGAGGGTGATACCCTATGTAGGACAATACTTTCTGATCTATGGGACCCCTGTTGTCTCTTCTGTCTCTGAAGTCGCGAATGGCCTGACGCGAGGCTTGCCCCAGTCTATGTCGATCATATGCAAGTGCCCATATAAACCCCTTGGTATGGACCCAAGTGGTCCAAGACATCTCCCACAAAGATGTTGGGCACAGTCCTGATTGTGCATTGAAAATCCGTGGCATCGTCGTCACCTATACAGGTGAGAGATGAGTGATCATATTCGAAAACACAAATGTTATACTCGCCTGGGCACTGGACTGCGTCTCCATTAGATACGATGTGGACCTCTCCGTGGACATGTGAGAAGCCCAATTCGCGCCCTGGAACAATCGGAACAATGTCCTTCCCATGGTTAATCCGTTGGAAGTCTGGTACCTGCCCCGTGATTTCAGTAGTTAAACACAGGCCAAACGTGGGGAAGAGACAACGAAGTCCGAAGGGGAGAATCAAACTCACCTTGGAATCGAAGAGAGCGGCCCATGCCCGATTTCCTACGCGGGGCGTACCAAATGTCACCTTTGATAGCGATGCTAGCAGGAAGGTTCAAGGCCATAAACATGCATTCAATCTCCGAAAGAGCGGCTCCCAGGGAGTGTCCGACCTGTCCTCGAAAACACCAAAGTCATGTTGGAGTGGTTACAAAATGTTCGATACTGACCAGTGTGACGCTCTTGGCGTTATACTGAGAGATCAGGCTCTTCACCTCCTTCGAAATGGTATTCGCAGTTGACGCGTGTTCGTCGGGTGAACCTCGACGTTGCCATCGACACCAGAGAAAAGCGTGGGGTTCAAGCGTTTCGTCAATGCATTGGCATCAGTGAGATCAGCTAAGCTATGCAGGCCGATCAGCCTTCTCAAGTCGTATGCTGTGAACATGTACACCTACATTTTGGCCGGGTCTGTACCTTCATGAGCGACTACCACGGTATTTTCTGTCGGCCAGTAACCAACGTAGTCTGCGAAATCTCAGGAAAGGCGTGCAATATTTTGACTGGAACGCACAATATTGGATACTGCCGTCATTACCCCCTGTGAGAGAAACCTTGAACTCAGGCACCGCCTCGCAAGCTCCTGAGAGCTCAGTCAGTGAGTCAAGGCAAACCAAATAAATTAGGGGGGATTGCGCACCACCACACTTCCATTTATCATGATGGGCGGACAGTAAGCAGCACGAGCAAATTGAGCATATGGCACTATCTCATCTAGCTGGGTAGACGACATCTGAGTGACGACTGAGATATTCGCCCGACGCATTGCGGGAGGCGAGGGATGAGAGACCGCCGCAACCTGCAGGATGCTTGAAGCTGAAGAAAGGAAAAATATGATGTACTGCAAGGTGTAGTGGATGCAAAGCTAGAATGTTGGGTCCCAGTGGAGGGATGTGGTTAGTGGTAGCTTGTTAAATATGTTGTAAAGGAAGCATTATCTTATCTATGCTGAGTGTTTTGGAACGGCAACTGGGCTCGAAGGATGGACGCCGTGCGCGCGCTTGTGTCATGCATTACAACTATTCTGGCAACACTGGTTACGCCTGGCCCACGACAGAGCTCATGCGAAGGGACGGTGGTAGAATCTGGCAGAGCACCAGGGCATCCGAGACTTGATGTAATTTAGGTTTGATGACACCATTTGAATTCAATAACACGAAAGCCGACGTCCCTGAAGTAAGACAGTGTACACTAGAGGGCTCCCCTCCGTCACTGTACTGGTCCAGGGAGTATCTCGCCTGACGCCATTGCTGCTGAATTTGTGACTTCATGAGTTGAAGAGGACCGAACCAGATCAGAGCATTCATGGAAGACGAAGTTGAAGTGCTCGAGGGAAATGTTTTTGCCAGTGATTTTAACGAGCTGGATCGGGTCGAACAAGGAATAATTCCACAGGCTATTCTAGATGAGGTCGAGGTGGTTAATTACGATGGCGAGGTAGACGGATGGGACGAGGTAACATTATTAATATTGATGAGTCGCCATTAGGAATGTCATACGCATAGTCTACATACCTAGAGTTTTGCCGCCCCGGTTTTGCTAGTTCTGCCGGTTATTTAAACCGGCAGGAAAACATGTGAGACTCGACATCGGATGCTGGAAAGTATAGAGAGGAATTGAACTGGAAAGTTCCTCTCAACACAAATGACCATATTCCCATCATCGTTTCCATCGAAGTCCTCATTTTCCCAAGGGAGATATTAGCGAGCATTCAGTCAGTGCCAGGCCGTGAGCCTACAAATTCCTGGTCCAAGTAAAGTTCATTTGAGGCTGTTTGACGATGGGCATATTTGTTTCGCTTGAAATAGAGCCTGATTGATTGACTCGTCTGGTAAAGGCCCGCCGGCATGCATGCAGAGCAAGGGCACAAGCGCCGCTGTTATATGAGAGAGTCAGGGTGTGATCAGACCAAAGGAATGGCTTTAGACAGAACGTATATATTCCAAGCCGCACATCATTGTATAGACACAACCTTAACAGCAGCAGACGTTCGAGCACAAGTTCGGATCACAAATTCGGAACACTGCACTAATTGTCCCAATAATGCAGTACCGCTGTTATACTGTGAGACATGTCTTGTGATGGCGAAATTGGGTACTGAGTACCTACGCATAGCAAGGCAGAGCAGGTGCTGTGTTGTGGTTGTGTAGGCAGCGAGAGGGATATTGATGAACAACGTTGAAATGACGGAATATTTACCGGAATTTGTCCGAGCTTCCGTTTTTGGGGTGAACGCCTAAGTTTGAACTTTGCACGCGGTCTCAATAACCGGCGGAACTGGCAAAACCGGGACGGCAAAACTCTAGGTACGTAAACTATATGTATGACATTCCTAATGGCAACTCATCAATATAAATGTTACCTTGTCCCATCCGTCATCCTCGCCATGGTAGTTAACCACCTTTGGAACAACCTGTGGAATTATTCCTTGTTCGACCCGATCCAAATAACTGACAAAAGCATTTCCCTCGAGCACTTCAAGTCAAAGCTCTTATATTCTTCGGTCCTCTTCAACTCCTCGAAAGCCGCAAATTCAGGAGCAACATCGTCAGGAGAGATACTCTCTGGACCAGTACAGTGGCGCGAGGGGGCGTCCTCCAGCATGTACCATCTTACTTCAGGGACGTCGGCTTTCATGTTATTGAATTCAAACGGTGCCATCAGATCTAAATTACTACGCATGAGCTCCACCATGGACCAGGCATAACCAGTTTTGCCAGAATAATTATACTGCATGGCGTCCGTCCCTCGAGCCCACTTGCCATTTCAAACACTCAGCATAGATGAGATCATGCTTCTTTTACAATATATTTAACAAGGTTACTAGTAACCATGTCCCTCCACTGGAACCCAGCATTCTAGCTTTGTATCCACTACACCTTGCAGTACATCATGTTTTTCCTTTCTTCTGCTTCAAGCATCATGCTCGCATGCATCTTGCAAGTTGCAGCGGTCTCTCATCCCTCGCCTCCTGCAATGCGTCGGGCGAATATCTCAGTCGTCACTCAGATGTCGTCTACCCAGCTAGATGAGATGGTCCCGTATGCTCAATTTGCTCGTGCTGCTTACTATTCGCCTACGCTGATAAATGGCTGGAAGTGTGGTGGTACGTAATTCCACCCTAATTTATTTGGTTTGCCTTGACTCACTGACTGAGCTCTCAGGAGCTTGCGAGGCGGTGCCTGAGTTCAAGGTTTCTCTCACAGGGGGTAATGACGGCAGTATCCAATATTGTGCGTTCCAGTCAAAATATTGCACGCCTTTCCTGAGATTTCGCAGACTACGTTGGTTACTGGCCGACAGAAAATACCGTGGTAGTCGCTCATGAAGGTACAGACCCGGCCAAAATGTAGGTGTACATGTTCACAGCATACGACTTGAGAAGGCTGATCGGCCTGCATAGCTTAGCTGATCTCACTGATGCCAATGCATTGACGAAACGCTTGGACCCCACGCTTTTCCCCGGTGTTGATGGCGACGTCGAGGTTCACAGCGGATTTGCCGACGAACACGCATTAACTGCAAGCATCATCTTGAAGGAGGTGAAGAGCCTGATCTCTCAGTATAACGCCAAGAGCGTCACGTTGGTCAGTATCGAGCATTTTGTAACCACTCCAAATGACTTTGATTTCGAGGACAGGTCGGACACTCCCTGGGAGCCGCTCTTTCGGAGATTGAATGCGTGTTTATGGCCTTGAACCTTCCTTCTAGCATCGCTATCAAAGGTGTGACATTTGGTACGCCCCGCGTAGGAAATCGGGCATGGGCCGCTCTCTTCGATTCCAAGGTGAGTTTGATTCTCCCCTTCGGACTTCGTTGTCTCTTCCCCACATTAGACCTGTGTTTAACTACTGAAATCACGGGGCAGGTACCAGACTTCCAACGAATTAACAATAAGAAGGACATTGTTCCGATTGTTCCAGGGCGCGAATTGGGCTTCTCGCATGTCCATGGAGAGGTCCATATCGTATCTAACGGAGACGCAGTCCAGTGCCCAGGCGAATATAACATTTGTGTTTTCGAATATGATCGCTCATCTCTCACCTGTATAGGCGACGACGATGCCACGGATTTACAGTGCACAATCAAGAGTGTGCCCAACATCTTCGTGGGCAACGCCTCGGACCACTCGGGTCCATACCAAGGGATTTATATGTGATATCCCTTATGATTGACATGGACTGACTGGGGCGAGCCTCGCATCAGGCCATTCGCGACTTTAGAGATCAGAAGAGACAACAGGGGCATAGATTAGAAAGTGTTGTCCTGCATAGGGTTTCATCCTCAATGGACACAAATTGGAACTTTCAAAAGTTGCATGGACTCGTATTAGACAGCTGAACGGCGGGATATCTAGTTGGTCTTTATGATTCAAGCATGAATAAGTGCAGGCATGGGTGCTATGGCGCCCATCTTTACTATGTGGCATCATTCCCCAAATACCAACAGCATGTTGCGAGAACGCGTGTACTCGTCGCAAGAGATAAGCATTGGAGGCACCGCAGACTCGGAAACACAGTCACGGTGGTTCCCGACGATGACATCGTGGTCGTTATTTTACCTAAATTTGGAGGTCATATTTACCACCTCGGCCGCGGCTGAGGATTGTTGTTCAGAAGTGGGCAGCAGACGGTCGTCTGCGAGCTGCCAGCGTACAACTCGAAGTATGTATGCAGTGGTCTGAATTCAGCTGTATTCAACTGTGGGAGCATGCTGCATGCGGCGGCCGGGCGGCCCGACGGCACCCGGCTTCGTAATGGTTTCGGCGGCGGCGTCGTTTGCCAAGTTCCAACTGAGGTCAGCAGTCGCCCGCTGGTCGATGCGGCCGGTGGCCAAGTCCCTATTTCTAGCACACCAGTGGGTTTTCGCTTGCCAGCCGTGGAACCAAGCAGTCTAAAACAGCACCCTTATGCTGAAGCGCTCACGTACGACCCATCAGCACGTTGTCATATCTCTTTTTTTTCTCGCCATGTGGGCACTTGCTTCCAATCGCTTGATAATATCTAGCCAGAGTGCCTGGTACTCTATAAGTACCTTGAGTTAATTGACCATGAAAACTTTATTTACAGATTTCCCCACCGGTGTGTGCTGGCATGTTTCTGAGAACACTCGTCCGAGTTGGCGTTACGCTAATAGCTAGCTTATCCGTTCTTCGTGCCGTTTCTGTTGTCAAGGGCGATCTTGATACTACGGAAGCAGGGCACGTCGAGATTCAATCCAAGGTTCACAATGCAACTGGCATTCGCTATGTCAAGAACTCAGGAATCTGTGAAACGACTCCGAATGTTACCCAGTTTTCTGGTTACATTGACGTTGGCACAAACATGTCCATGGTATCTCGCTGTTCCCGGCAATGCTCTAGATGTAAACTGACTTAAGACACAGTGGTTCTGGTTCTTCGAGTCTAGAAACTCACCGGAAACAGCCCCATTCACTCTGTGGTAGGTTGCCGGGAAGCTGGGTCACCTAAGTACTTGAGTTGAGTCCCACCTCTGAACCGCTCTCGCAGGTTGAATGGCGGCCCTGGATGTTCTTCTATGATTGGATTGTTCCAAGGTTGATTGGTTTCATTACCTTTCAATTAGATTCTAATTTTCTACAGAGAACGGGCCATGCTTAGTGAATGCCGACCGCAATTCCACCACTCTTAACCCCTACAGGTATGCCAGGATTATAGCTGTTTTTCATATGCTAATCTAACATGGGTTCCTGCAGCTGGAATAGTCTCAGCAATGGTATGTAGCACGTAGCCCTCCGATTTCGTCACCAGAGCTGACTTCCTTACCCAGTAATCTACATTGACCAGCCAATCGGAACAGGGTTTTCTTACGGCACTGATGCGGTAAACAGCACAGAAGCCGCTGCGCCCTTTGTATGGACTGCATTCCAGGTTTTGTTTGAAAGCCAGCTATTTTCGAAGTATGCCAGTCGAGAGTCAGTCGCTTAACTCAACTATCATGGACGGTTACTTATGCCGGGCTCAGGTTCATCTTTGGCACAGAGAGCTATGGTGGTCACTACGGACCCAGTTTTGTGACCTACTTCGAAGAGCAAAACGCCTTAATCGCTAGTGGGGAGATTGATGCTGTTCCAGTTGTTGTCAGCGCCTTGATGATCAACAAGCAAGTCGCTTTCTTGACTTACTAATACCCCGTTGAATGAGCATTCACAGTGGCTGGTATGATCCGCTCATTCAGAACATCGCATACCTAAACTTTGCGACTTATGCCCCTGGCTATGGACAGCTCCAGCCAGATGACGTACTTAAGAACATTTCGGATGCCTTGTATGGTCCTGATGGTTGCGTAGTGCAAGAGAATGCTTGCTACGCTGCTGGAACTTCCGCTCACTCGAACAAGATTTGCCGAGATGCTGATAATTACTGCGTAAGTAATATATCAATACAATATGTATGGACATCACCAAACTCTTGCAGATCGACAATGTTTTCGTCCCTGCCGTGGGCGATTACGACAGCTATGATATACGTCAAAATTCATCTGCCTTATTCCCCCCTGAATACTATGTGCACTATTTGCGCAAAAAAGATGTCATGAAGAAGATCGGTGCTCAGGTCAAATACAAGGAATGCCCAGACGCACCGTATGAAGAATTTGTAAAGACAGGAGACGTATGTATTTGTCCAACTTCTTTCCTCAAGTACTAAATAGAACTTCCTGTTAAAGGATGCTAGAACATGGCTACCCCAGCTATCGGCTCTGGCAAACTCTGGGATGAAGATTTTGATTTGGGTGCGTACTTAGTTACTGCTTCATTGTCTGCTAATTTACCAGGGAAGAACAGGCTGGAGATGCTGATATGAAGTTCGTTTTTGTGCTGTAATAACCTTTTATATCATGATCCTGACACCTCATTGATTTTAGTTGCAACTGGCTTGGGGTAGGCTGTCGCGTATTTTGCCACCAACGTCGCTGAATTATTTTGGCTAATAGGGCCACGCGTCAGTTCTCGCAATGGATTGGTATGGCAATGAGACACTCCATAATACCCCATTCACCAATATGACGATCAACGGCACGCCTGTTGCGGCTGTGCAGAACGTCGACAACTTCTCCTTTGCGTAAGTCTTTTGTCATCTCAGCTTGTTAACGAGAGATATACCTCATCATTTTACGTTTTAGACGGGTGTATGGTGCTGGACACGAAGTGGTCAGTTGACTCGCCTGAGGATGATGATATCCACTGATGCCTGTTATGTCATTGTTAGGCTGCCTTCCAGCCCCAAGCAGCTTTGGAGATTTTCTCGCAGGTTGTTCATAAGGAACAACTTCACTCTGTCTAAAGGGTGGATTTAGGAGCACGCATCGTGAATCTGGATTGAGGTTCTTCGCGTATTTGGGCAGTGGGCAAACAGTTCCTCTGAGACCTATTGTGCAAATGCTTGCGTTAAATTTCATTCGTGGAAGTCTCATTTAATTCAAAGACCGAAAATCTAAGGACGGTGGCTATTACGTCCACTAGATCATGCTATGTTGCTGTGCGTATTTCCTGTTAGTCTGTCCTGTTCTGCATCTCTCTGCAGTGTAGGATCGGTGTCGTGCCATGAGAGTTCCTGTCTAGATCTCTAGATGCATTTTTTTCTTTCTCGCAGCTGGTCGAAGAGAAGTCCTTGTACTTGTTAGAATCCCAAAAACACATCGAATGCAGTCTTGTCTCACTTCGATAACATTTTATATCCAAAACCCGCTTCCAAGCACCAATGAATTAACTAAAGCTAATAAAAGGATCAGACATATGAATGTCGTGAGGTGAAAAAGACCATATGGCTGCCTGTTATGTAAGACTGCAGGCATAGGCATTCTAAGCGCGTCAAATGTTGGCGGTTCGAGGTGGGCGGATTACAAGGAAAGCTACTGCATGCATATTTACCATATATGTTCGCGCAATCTGATTCTGAGCGGTACCGGGTAATATGCACACGCGTGTTACTCACCAGGTCTTTTGCTCACTGCAGGTCATCGATCTCGTGAAGGAGAGCAGAAACAACGCTGCCGCTCTCATCTGAAGCCCCAAATGTCAATAATATACGGAGTCCCTGAGTCAGACCCGGGTACACGGCAATTGCAGGGCTGGACATGAGAACAGATAAACGTGGTCCACTGGTGGACATTCGATGTCGGATAGAACTGACAATTTGCCCAATATCACCCACATCAGAGGAGAAACTAATTGTGATAAGAAAATAAGGGCTTGCCGAGGACCATTCGGGATCCTGCATTTGGCGCAAATTCGGCACACATCACGTTGATTAATAGTTAACGACCACGACACGGATCAGGCAGGGGTAGCCTCTACCCTAACGCTCTCCAGTCCATTCGCATACTGGAATTGCCCCGAGTTCTCATACTACCAATCGTTAGAAATAGATCCTAAAAGCTTTATAGGAAGCGAGAAATAACACACCTCCCACATGTCAATAGCAACCTGACAGCTTTCCCGCACAACGCGCGGAGAATCCTCGCGCGTCATCCATTCTTTAAGATGGGGCAGTACCTCAGGTGTGGCGATTCCTCCAAGCGCCTCCGCAGCCTCGTGCCGCACCATATCGGACTCGGATGCGTCTTGCAGAACATTAAGCAATGAAGGTACAGAATGCGCGCTCAAGAGTTGGCCAAAAACAAAGGCGATTTCATGCCTGCAGTAGATAAGTTGAGTATCATGATGAAGTCAAAAATTTGAAGAGGCGGACTTGAACAAGGCGCTGTCATCAGAGAATCCTGCTGCTAGTGCATCCACGGCTGCTGGCGTCCGATGTTGCGGAGTGCAAACATAGGCACGATAGCGTTGGAAGAGGGGGACGGAAATATCCAAAAGCGTAGCACGGAGGGAGGCGATTGAAGATTCAGACAGGTCGTCAGGTCTGGGCTGACCAGAGAGAAGTTTGGAGCAGGGTGGAGCAGGGTCGATGGAGGTGTATGCACTGTGTATGTGTTGTGAGTCACTTATGATTCATGCAGTAATGGGGGTAGAATGGAATGTCGAAATAGGCAATGAAAGTTACATACGGTGTTTGATCTGACGATTCTTTTGACACAAGATGTTGGCGTCCCTCTTCAGAATTGTCCCATTCAATTTTAGCGAGCGCGATCTCGCACGTCTCACGCACACTCCTGTTGGGATCGGTGAGGTACTTTGTAAGGACTGCTTTGAAATCAGGCGATGAGATTGCGCCTATTGCTTCTGCTGCCTGTCTCGAATGCTAGTTAACATCATGATACACTAGAGCGTACAAAAGCGGGACTGTGCGAAGCGGGACGATGGAGACGCTCACCTCATGCCGGACCATCGGATCCTCGTCAAGATTCTCCAGCACTGATTGAAGGACTGGCAAAGCTGAGACGAGCTTCATCTGTCCTAAGCAGTATGCAAGCTCGTGCTTAAGCAGTGCTGAGTGATCAGCGAAGCCTGGTGGATGGACCATGCATCAGTGCATGCTTGTCTCAGCAGGGAATCGCATGAAAGGGCTTGTTATGAAAGATATGGTGGTTGATGTTAGGATCGAAAGAAAAGGATCACACGAACAAGAGAACAGACGAAATTCACGTACCTTCAGATATGATCTTGACTGCTTCATCATTCTTCAGACTTTTCAACGTGAAGAGAGCTCTGAAACGATCGTGCAAGGGCACAGTACCGCTCGTGTTGAGGAGAGCAGAGCGAATGGCAGAAAGCTCGCTTGGGAGAAACGGCATCCATCGAGCAGGATCGAGATGAAAGATAATTTGGCGCAGCGGACTTTTGATTTCATCTGCTAAACCTTATTCTCCTACATACCATGCCCAAGTCAAAACGTTCAAAACTCGGTAAGTTTATACTCTTTTATGATCGTGATGGAGGTTGATGTCGTATTCTGTGTGGATAGTGTCTCTTACAAACGTCTCGAAAAAGACGAGGGAGCATAAAAATGCACTGTTGGCCGAGGTTAGTTTTTGTGGAATTTGTTCTGCCCTCTGGATGCATTTCTGCGGAGACAGACGGTATCATAGACGATTTCAGGGCGCTTTCTACTGCCCGGTGCCCTGCTTATGCGAGTGCTAAATGTTCTTTCATTCCAAGGTACAACAAAATGCTGAAAAATGGAAATACTGCTGGCTGTTTGAAGTCGGCGCGATGCGCAATGCCCATCTAAAAACTGTGCGGAAACTATGGAAAGAGTATGACCTTGCTTCTTTTCCTGTCTACACCATCGACTCACGACTTGCAGTTCAGCACGGATATTCTTCGGTCGAGGAGCAGTAATGGCCAAAGCCCTAGGCACGACAGTAGAAGAAGAGCATCGAATGGGACTCCACAAACTGGCCCAAGTGAGCTAACATTTCCAAGTTCATCTCGGCCTAACAAAACATCTCAGCAAATAAAAGGCCAGGTAGGATTGTTTTTCACGGATTCAGAACCTCAAGAAGTGATCGAGTGGTTCGACGATTTCAAACAAGCGGATTACGCGCGAACGGGAAACAAAGCTACGCGAACGGTGATGCTACCTGTAGGACCTGTGATGCGGGTACACTCGGACCCGCCTGAGCCGTTCCCGCATAATGAGGACCCGCAGCTCCGGAAGCTGGGTCTCACGACGTCGATGAAGCGGGGTGTACCAACGCTTGAAAATCCTCATCGGGTGTGTGATAAGGGGAAGGCTTTGACGGGCGAGCAGGCGCAGCTACTCAAACTTCTTGGTGAGAAGTTAGTGGTGTTTAGGGTTGGGTTGTTGGCAAGGTGGGATGCTGCCAGCGGGGAGGTTGTTCAAGTTGAGGGTAGATGTACGGAGATAGAACAGGAAGGTGATGAGGATCTTGAAGATGAGGAGATGAGCGAGTAGGTTTCAATTCCTTCGGTGATCACGCGATGAACCACGACTGGGAAGAACCAGTTTACTATTACTATGTGGGCGAGAAGATGTTCAAATTATAGAGAAAATGCTGTGTGGTCCTTGACTCTTTCAGGCCCCTATCTTCTCTCCATTCCCCTTCGAATGATGGCTACCAAGTCTGAGGCCCTCGATGACAGAAAGTCCGTAATTGACACACCTCCCACGCACGACGAGATCTCCCTGTCCGTATCACTAGTTAGACTCCGTCCACTCCATCGGCAGATGACTTATTCTCCTTTCTACGGAAGAAGCAGAAACGAACAATCGTCCTATCATGCATCCGTGATATGGTCTCCACTCCTGATCTCACCCCTTTCTCTATCATAAAAATAGCTAACGCATGTGCTGCTGCTACGCTTCCGCCTTCACAGTTCACCCACCTCCTGCAAGAACCCAACATAGAAGGTCACAGCCTTGTATTGGTCAATCGTCAATCACGGGCGAGAAGCGTTTTCTGCACTTGCCACATTCATCCCACAATTCACTCGCGTTTGCTCTTCCGACTTGCGTCAGGTTTGTATCGCAACTAGTGACCACGAATTGTTTACCCATCTGAAGTTGGGTTGGGGTATGTTGTCAATCGTAAGTGCTCACACTCGTTAATTAATTATCATGTTGTAGCCGAGGGCGAGCCTTCGAGACGTTTTCTGGGCTGTCCGCCTGCTGAGGCACGGGTGCTCTGTCACAGGGCATACACCCAAAAACAACGAGTTTGTCGCTTGCTTCTGCATCAGGATGTTCCCGAAACGTCTGCGCGCGGATCCAACACAGGCATTGGGCATAGAATTTATTGTAGGGGGTACGAGCGATGCCTCTCGGTATTCCTGGTTCTGGTTCATTCAGTTGTCGATCCTCGCAGGGCACATATGGTTGTTGGAATTCCATATGGCAAAAGGGCAGTGGCGCATCGAGTTTAGTCTTTCTGAGGATTTGTCGGCGCGTGTAGACTCCTCTGCGCTTGTCATCCAGGCACCCAGTGGGAAAACCACACTCGAAGATATGCGAATACTGCATCCTTACAAAATGTTTACCATGAAACCTATGGTGTGCGTTCATTCCAAGTCAAAGCATACTGATGGTTTCACGATTCATCTTCCCACTGTCGGTAACACAGATTCATCATAGCATCAAAAATATACGTCTCGATCTTCTGGCCTTTGGCCTGGCTGATGAACGAGTGCGTCCTTCCTACCTTGTTTTGCAAATGTTCTGATGACCGTGTTTTCAGCAAAACTACGTTGGATTGCAATGGCACCCTGCATGCAAAGCTGGAGATCACATTGACGTAGCGACTCCCCACCACTCTCGCGCTCCGTTCTGGCTTATGTGCTTCTAGTGTTTATTCTGTCGATTTCATTGCTTCATGTTATAATCTGTTACCTGATGACTGATCATTTCCTTGTAATTGGCACCTTCGTGAACATCTGTCACGAGTGCGCGCATCAACTCACGACCATACATCTACAACTGAGTATTATGTATGAATCACTATAATATACATCATTAACGGACAACCGTAAGTCTGATTTAGTACAATGTTCTACAAACCTGCGCCCATGATTATTATTTTTGCCCCCACCACCACCAGGACCACCATCAACACCACTACCACTGTACCAGTGCCAGGCTGCGCGTTAAACCTCCTTGTAGAGGGTACATCACTAGTGCCAGGCATGTGACTCGGAGGTGCTGCCTTTCATCATGGTGGTCATTTCAATCATGTTCAAGGAGTGCCGCAGCTGAGGAAAATTGAATGGTATCGACTCTGTGTAGAGAAGGCAGCAGGCCAGGATACAAGATGCTGATACCAGTGCAGAAGGTTCTCATTACTCCTCAAGTTTGGCAATTCTACAAGTGATCCGCATACCAAAAACCTCGGTAACCAGGCAGTTCTTCTTCTACATTCCCTGCGGAAGTGAGAAATTGACCAGACCATATTCCGAGGGAGAAAGGGTAAGTGAGTAGACACAAAATGTACCTAGCTGCTAATCCAACGCAAATCCGACCTATCATACGAAACCTCGACCATGAACAGAGTCTATGATGGTCCTCTGTTGTCGAGGGCGCAAATCCCATCCCAGATGAGAAACAGGAGATGATAAATGTTCTCCACTGATTTACGGTTGTCCGTTCATGATGTACATTATAGTTATTCATATCATGATGCTCAGTTGTGGATGTATGGTCGTGTGAGCCGATGCGCGCACTTGTGGCAGATGTTCACAAAGGTGCCAAGTATGCGCTTGGGCGGCAAGGAAAGGATCAACTATCAGGTAACAGGTTATAATACGAAGCAATGAGATCGACGGAATAAATACTAGAAGCACATAAGCCAGAATGGAGTGCGAGAGTAACGGAGTGGCTATGTTAATGTGATCTCCAGCTGTGCATGCAGGGTGCCATCGCAATCCAGCATAGTCGTGCTAACGACACGGTCATCAGAACAACTGCAAAACAAGATAGGAAAGACTTGCTCGTTCATCAGCCAGTCCAAATACCAATACATTGAGGTGTAACAATTTGATGCCGTGTTGAAATAAACCCACCCCATAGGTACCATGGTAAATGTTTTGGAAGGATGCGGTATTCGCAGTGGTGTTTTCCCACTGGGTGCCTGGATGACAAGCACACGGAGGTCTATATACGCCGGCAAACTCTCGTCAGAAAGACCAAGCGAGATGGGCCGGTGTTCTTTCTTCATACAGGACTTCAGCAACCATATATGCCCTGCAAGGATTGAATCAGCATCAGGAATACCAAGAAGTATGGCTCGTACCCCCTGCAATAAATTCTATGCCCAATTCCTGTGTTGGATTCGCGCGCAGGCGTTTCTGGAACATCCTGATGGAGAAGCAAGCAACAAACTCATTCTTTGTGGGAGTATGCCCTGCGACAGAGTGCACCTGTACCTCATCAGGCGGACAGCCCAGAAAACGTCTCAAGACTCGTGCTTGGCTACAACATGATAATTAATCAAAGCCTTGTGGGCAGGAGTGTGACCACTTACGATTGACAACATGCCCCAACTTCAGTTGGGTGAACAATTCGTGGTCACTAGTTGCGATACAGGCCAGACGCAGGCCGGAAGAGCAAACAGGAGTAAATTACGGGATGAATGTGGCAAGTGCGGAAAAGGCTTCTCGCCTGTGATTGACGATTGACCAATACAGGGCTGTGTGACCTTCTATGTTGGGTTTTTGGAGGAGATGGGCGAACTGTGCGGGCGTAAGGGTGGCAGCGCATGCGGTGGCTATTTTTGTGATAGAGGAAGGAGTGAGATTAGGAGTGGAGACTATGTGATGGATGCACGATAGAACATTCCGTTTCTTCCACAGAAAGTTGGTCGGAGTGATTCCAAGGGTGCTGCGACGCCGCCGTACGGGGGAGGTGTATCAGTCTCAGACATGAGATAAGATAGTGGACTGTCCAGAAATTTTTTATCCAAGAGTTTGAATTTAAAATTCCAGTACTGTGCGTCCGCCGCGTCAGCGTCCAACTTTCGCGACGAGGACGAGGACATTGCTCGAAGACTGAGGCGATGTGCCTCCACGTCGGATCCTCAGGTAATCGCCAAAAGAGAGGAACAGGGGTAGTGCTTGCTGTCGGACAGGAACAGTTTGCTTATCTGGGTACTCGCTGTGTGGCGGGCAGTGACTGGTGTGACGCTATTGGCTGATAAATCTGTATGACGTCGGTCACTAGTTTGTGTCGGGCTATGTAAGAACGGGTTTCAATTATTTGAAGGACTAAAATGTTGTCCCCGTTCCCCGTATTCCTCAGATCTGCTGCAGCTGCTTCGTCGTCGTCGACGACGACGATGAACGATAATAGTGATAATTTATCCGATATTATTGATCTCTTTCCATATACCGTTGCTCCAACTTATGAACTACCACCTAGACCACCGAGGAACCCAGATAGATTGAGGAATGAACTTATACCAGTAAGATCGTTGGACTGATAAACTCACTCTCACTGATAAATCTCTAGTTTATAAATCGAAGAACTCCTCCTCGTTTTCCACCACCAACTTCCCCTCTTCCTCCATTACCACCGGATCCAGTAACTCCCTCGCAGCAACTTAATTCACGTACCACAACCAATGTACCCAACGCCAGGCGGTCTCTCTCCTTGGAGTGCATCCTCATACCCATCAAAACCTATCCCAACAGCTCCCCCTTCTTCTCCACCACAGCCAAACCTTATACTACGTGGTCCAGTTGGTGTACTACCCCTTTCACGTGCAGCTCCAGGCGCTTCTACTGCCAAAGTACGTCCGCTGCGCACAATCCAATCACTCATCCTTATTATCAATCACAGCCAATACCAAACTCACTAAGAGCTGAAGACAACTCCTCTCCTTCTGATGCTGCCCTCGTGCTCAACGTCCATGGCGGCATCGATACCTCGGGTAGGCTCCACCACGGTTTCAGGCGCCATGAAGTCCCTTATCCCAGGAATCATGAACGAAACGTCCTAGATCTGTATGTGGCCATCTCCTTCCTTGACTCCACTCATATCTATCCAGAGACGCCGTCGACACCCTCCTGGCCCGCCAAATGAGTGGCGGTTCCTTAACTTGGCATGTATTCCCGCCATCCTGGAACAAACCACCACCGGATGTCCCTCTTAAGAGAATATTGGATATAGGCTCCGGGAACGGCGTATGGGTAGTCGAAGCTGCCAAACACTGGAAAGCCTGCGAAGTCGTCGGTCAGTCCTCCATTCGCTATCACTGCCAAGGAACGCTAACAACAACTTACAGGCCTCGATGTTGTATCTCTCCACCCTGACCTCGTCCGTCTCTCCAGAGACAAGGACCTGTTGAAGAGAGTAAGCTGGGTCCAAGCCAATTTGTAGGTTCACCTACCTAGTCCATATCCCACTCTCATCGTTGACTCGCACAGCCTCGAAGGTCTTCCTTTCGCAAACGAATCTTTCGATTTTGTACACGTCAAACGTATCGCTCGAGGCGTACCAGAGGACAAGGTGCGTCTGTGTTTTCTCCACCTTACTCTGCTAACACCGCATAGTGGGACGACCTCTTCGAAGAAATTACCCGCGTGATGAAACCAGGCGCGGCATTCGAAGTCATCGAAGAAGACTTGAGCTTCCCGGGGCGGTCAGATGTGGAAGGCAGCGAAGTTGGGACGCTGAGAAGTAAAGGAAGCAGCGTCTCCATCTCCACCTCTAGTCCAAGCCCCGGGACCGAATCAGGGAGGAACAGCGCAATCGGGAGCACGAGCAGCTCGGACTCTGCGGGTTCCATGAGTGCTGTCACCACTCCTGACTCTATACCATCTATTACTATCAACACCCACCCCCATCGTTCAAACATCGAGGGCCCTTCCAATTCCAAACACGAACGTGAACACCCAACTATATCCACCTCCCTCCCTACTAACAGCCATTCCGTGGCTTCGAACAATACCCACGCCAATGCGTTCATCCATCGTTCTTTGCGCCAGCCTCCCTCTGGCAATATATCCCATGAGACGGTGACTTTAGCCAGGCCAAGCACAACTTCTCCTTCGAGTCCCTCTTTCCAACCGTTCACCCCTCTTCCTTCGTCCCAACCCCCCCTTTCGAACCCCTCACAACCATTCCTTTCTTCCTCCTCCTCGCAAAGTACATTCCTTTCTTTCTCCTCGGACAGCAGCACGCCGACGCCAAGCATGATGAACCACACCTCAACGCCTTCACTGACCCCTCGTCCACCACCATCCCATAAATTCAACAAGGCTGCACAGGCTGTGTTGATGGAACCTATGCATGCTCCCTTTTTCGTCAGTGTGGGGTCTGTCACTGCGTCTGGTTCTTCTGGTTCCAGTTCTGCCAGTGTCTCCGGTTCCGTTACTGGTTCTGGTTCTCTCTTCGCCTCTGGGTCCGGCTTCGGCACTAGCCCTAGCTCAGGTTCACCCCCAGTCCCACAAAAAAGGAACAAGGCAGCGCAGGCGGTGTTGATGGAGCCTCCTACCCCTTTTTTCGTGTTGCCGCAGAATAAGAGTCGAGTTTCGCTGATGGGGGAGAGTTCCAGTTCGAGTTCTAGTAGTGGGAGGGATAGTCAAAGTCAAACCGGGAAGGGCAGGAGTAGAGGTTCGCTGGGGAGTCGAGTGAGCGTTGGCTTGGGGAATCTGGGGTTCGGTGTCAGGAGCGGTACCAGTGTGGGTGTTGGAAGTCCGAGTTCGAGTTCGAGGCTGTTGGAGGATGAATTGGGTGAGGGGACGGAGGTACAGTTTCCTGTGGGTACGCCGCCGGATTTGCGGGGTGGCGCTGCGCTTGATTCTGGGAGCGTCGTATCACCGCCATTGGATGCGCGAGGTGTCGTACCACTGGATTCGCGAGGTGTCGCACCACTAGACTCGCGAGGTGTCGTACCACCGGATTCTCGAGGCGTCATACCACCGGATCCGCGCGACCATACAGTCCTGGAGACGATCTACAACGAGATGCACGCGGAACGGTTCATTAACCTTTCTCCGTTGAGTTTGTTGGCTAATACGGTGGGGCTGTGGTTCAAGGGTGAGTCCTTGTTTATTGCATCGTTTTCGAGTGGGGCAGATGTTGATAGGGTGGAATTACGGAGGGTGCCTCACTCCAAGTCGGGTAGGCCTATATATCAGGCTCATCCAACCTGTCCTCTATTTCTCTGCGCAAAGCGATGTCAGGGTTTGAGCTAACTGGGACGTGTAGACGTTCGCACGCACCCGCCAATCTGTTGCGTTTCCCACCGCTGAGGGAACCCGATGGGGCGAATACGCTACTTTCGGTATCAAGTTCGGGTGTGGGTGTGGGCTCGTCCAGCGTTGAGTCTGCCGCTGGTGCCGCAGGCCACTTGAAGAACACGATTATCTCACTAGACGGTCTGAGTAATGGGGCATCACCTTACGCCTCCCTCGATTCCGCAATCTCTACTCAACGGCAGACACAAATGCGGGCCCTGCCGAACCCCGCGTTAGACATCGACCTGAAGTTTCTGAACCTCCATCTGGCGCTGCGCGTGAAAGAGATCGTAGCATGCGCAGAGGCGATGTGGGAGTGGGTAAGCGAGTTTCAGACGGGAAGCATGGGGAGGAAGAACTTGACGGATGGTGTGTATGTCAAGATCATGGGGTTGACGAGGTCGCAGTTTGACGAGTTATTGTTGAGGTTCGAGCTGTGAGTACTCTTTCTTTCTCTCTCTGTGTGGATTTGAGTTTTTCTTCTTCTTCGGTATCCATGGTGCTTATCTTTTTTTAAATTCTTGATGGTGAGACCTTGGGGTGGCGTGGAATCGTCTTTTTTTGCTGGCTTCGTGGGGAGCGCGGCAGCTGGATGATACACGTTTAGAAAGTTCAGTCTGTGTGCTCCTGATAGGGGCATCGTTTCCAAACGGGGGGATGAGATAGTGTTTCAATTGCTGCTTCTTCTTCTGATCACCCAAACAAATTATTTTTGATCTCGTCTTCGCGACAACATGATCTAATCAACTTCTGTTGTTACAGGGATATGAGGGAACACATGGGACTCGGATCTGTGCTCGAGGACCGATTCAATTGGAGTATGATCTCGGGTCCGACACCACAGGAAAAGCGCTCGTTTGACACGGCATGCGAGAAATGGGAGGCGTATCGGAGGCTTGGGGGTGGTGATCGAACCCCTTGCGCCGTCGGCGTCGCCGCTCCGCACCCCGCTACGCGTCTCAGCCGTTCATTACGAGTCTTCGTTGCATGGAAGCCTACAGCATGATCATGATCGGCGCCTGCAGCCGGATCTTGGACCATGAGGCAGTGGCGAAGCCTCGTTTCAGTGTTCAAGCTATTTTCCTAATGTGGATTATTCAAGGTTCCGTGCTGTTAGGCCTGGTCCTTGTCTTTATATCGCCATACCTTGCGAAGGATTGGTGTCCTTGTAAGGGGCTTCCATTCTTGGCTGCATTTGGGATAGGGAGATATGAATTTTCTTTTTTTGGGAGGATCAGCTGAGGTATCGTGACTTCCTGGTGGCGTTCTCTTCGTATTCGTTGTCCTCGGCTTGTTCAAGGGGATGAAAAAAAGCTTGTTCGCCAGCCTTGCAGAACCCTGTCTCTCGCCGACTTGTCATTTCCGCACCATCATCCCCACATTCCCCCTCTACCTCCGAACATTCGCGCATGTGCTCGACGCATGTCTTGTATACCATTTGAAGGTGGACTGCGCTCAGCATCTCGGCACCGTTGACTCATCTTGCATAATTTTATTAACGGTATTTATTGGATGGATAGGATTTGTTGTACATGTATTTTTGATCTTTTACGTGTGATGTCATGGTTAGTGTAGCACTAGTTTGTTATCTCTTGACAACAGTATCGGCATTTTCGGATCGAGTCAGGTCCTGTCGTACGTAACCCAATTCAATTCTCGGGTTGAAAAGACCCTTCCCCGCGTCATTCCTACGTAAAAAGTCAAAAGAAGATAAGACCCGCATGTGATTTATTCCTGTGGAGCATGACTTGATAACCGGGTGACTAGGCACAAATTATGGCTAGAACGTGGGTGAGGTAGAGGTGAGGTCGCAGCGATCGATGGTGAGAGTTCGCCGTATTCTTGATCTTTGGAGCCCGTTGACGTCGCAAAGGGTGGAGTGCACCAACGTTTCAGGATCATCGCGTGTCGGAACGCAATCGCAAGCCAAGTTCCATTTCAAAGTGACCGATTTCGCTTATCTAGTGTCCGTCCAGCAGAGCGCGCATCGCGACCTCGGGTCAATCACTACCTCCATTTCTGAACAGAATAGACTCCGCGACAACTTGTCTAGGGTCGATCGGAACGAGAAAGGAAAGGAAAGAAAACGATCACAATGAAGCATATGGACAGAAATGTACATGCCGCACCCGTTTCGTTGAAGCTCAAGTTTGGCCGCGGGTTTTATTTTTGCCAAAGACATGCCTTTGTTGAACTGGTAATATCACAGATGCGAGTCGTGTATGGAGTACGAAGCACTTTTGACGCCAACCACATGATAAACATCCAAAATATAGGGGAAAGAAATATGGATAAGACCAAGTCAGGGGAAATGAGAAGAAACGCAGATTGATCAATTATTTGTACAATTTCAGCCGAAATAGCTGTGAGTAACTAACAGCGAAGAAGCTGAGACGAAGAAGCGGAAGCATGCAGAGAAGTAAGAAAAGCATAAAACAACCCAGTTTGGACGGACAAGAAAGTTTATCATGCATGAATGTAAGCACCCGTCACCATCATCTTCGACCATAATGGCCACCCTGACTAACCGGTGGAGGCGGGGCCCAATGCGAGTGCTGCGCGGCAGCAGCGGCCAAACCACCCAAAGGTTGACCTCCCTGGCCTCCAGGACCACCAGGACCAGGGTATGAGTAGGTACCTGGTGGGGGTAAGCCCATATGACCGCCGTACATGCCAGGGTCAGTTGGACTTCCAGCATGACCGCCACCAGGTGCATGATGACCATGATGCTGCGCATGAGCGTATCCTCCAGTTGGGGATGTTCCGTACTGAGGGGATTGAGGCACTTGAGAATGTTGCTGCTGAGGACTCGTCGGAGAGCCAAGAGATATTTGTGGTGGGGGTGGTGCCTGTGGCTGCTGGTGCTGAGAGGCAGCGGGAATAGAAAGGGGAGGAGGAATAGTGCTATTTGGGGTCTGCGGCGATCCAGGACCGGCACGACCAGGCCCACTGCCAGTTGTAGACGGACGCCGACGACGCTTGTCTCCGGCTGCAGCTGCGCGATTACCGCGAGCGGCCTCCTCGTCACCTTCATCGTCACCGTCCTCCTTCGTGGCGCTTTGAGGGCCACCAACAGGACCGCCCGGAATAGTAAGCCCTCCGGGAAGGTTAGTGCTTCCAGGACCAGGTAAAGACATTGGTCCAGACGCACGACCTATAGGTGTACCGACTGGCATTGCAGAAGGAAGCGAGCCATGGGGTGCATTCAGACATGCTTGAATGAGATTCTTGCCTCTGGTTGCGTAACAAGAGGTTGTAGCTTTGAAGTCGTAAAGGTGTAAACGAGACCTGTTTCTGACACGACGAGTAAAAGGACTTGAGTGCCTGTGAGAGTAGAAAGTTCATACGCCTAAAAATCGGTTAGATAAGCGAGAGAGTCTATTGATGAAATAGACCTTTTTCATGATGCCTGCGAAAGTAGACGAACATATTGAGGAAAAGTACAGAGAGGGCAAAGAAAGTCGATCGCGTACCAGCTTTCCTTTTGGAGAATGTTATGTGACGTCTCGATTTATCTTGAATAAATTCGATCTTAATCTTTCGCCTTCCTGCCTTCTTGTCAGACTTTGGTTTCTCCTCTTCATCATCGTCGTCTCCACCACTCTCGGCAGCATCCTGATCATGAATGAAACCATCCTCTGGTACGCCTGGCTGTTGTACTGGTTGTGGGATATGTTGGTGAGGTTGTTGATTACCAGGCTGGCGGTGGTTGCTGTTGAGGATCCGCAATGACAGGATTTGCCAAATTGAGGTCCGTGCGTTGGCGCTTACGCATTGTTGGAGAGGATGCGGCGGGGTCGTCTTGTTGAATAGTCTGACCAGAAAGGGAAGGTTGTTGGCTGTGATGAGCCGCGGCGTTGGAATACGGATAAGATGGAGAGTTAGTCGTAGTGGAAGTAGGTTGACGGCGATAGGCCATATGGGTTGTTCACCCTACGACGACGATGAAGAGGACGCGTTGAAATAAAAGATGATATGAACGTTGAACGCGACTTGGAGGATGTTCTTAGTGTCAGTGCGGACGGCGTCCTTAAAAGGAATCGCTGAAGTTGGAAGGAGGTGGAAAAGGGAGGGAGTTGTCAACGGGGCGTGTGTTGTCTCAGTCTGGACGATCAAAAAAAGACTGTCCTTGTGGTCATTTGTTTGGTCACAATCGGAGTATCAGATGCCCGCCAGGCACACCGCGGTAATCCCCGCCGACTATACTTCCGCAGCTATCGCTCTCACGATACCCGCTTCCGTAATTATTTCACTTTCAATTTGGAAATACTATCCCTTTTATAGAAATGATTACCTCGTGGCAATCTCAAACTTATCCATTTTAGTAAAACATGTCAAACCTCGTGTCACAAAATTCACTCTCCGCATCATCCAATCACAACCCCTCTGACGTGACAACCAAATACTTTGATTATATCATAATCCTATGTCCAAGCCTCAATCCAAGTACCATCAGAAGCCCATGCCCCTGTGGCGCTAAGCGCTCTTGTCCTTTGCCCTGTACAATTTTGACATTCGAATCATCTTGGACAATGGTCTCTTTAAGTTTCACGGTCTTCATCATCTGTCGAGGTCGGGCCGCATTGTCGGTCACATACTGATGGTTGGAACGTGTCACGACCTTGTTGATGGAACGGCCGGAATGCCAAGTCCTGATAGCGCGCTTCTGACACGCTCGTCAATATTTCTGGTGCTGCTACCGAGCCGAACCCGTTCAAGGGCAATTTCGATAGCTCGTACGTCGCACCGACTACGCCAAGGTTGCGGCAATATTCCGTGCACGTACGCCGCTACGTCTGCGTCTAGTGTGATGAGTAAACACAAGACGTATTCACAGCAAATAATCCATCAGTCAGCTCAAAGCTTGACACATAAAGCATACGTACCACTCGGCTCGCTCGCGAGTCGGCTCAGATGCAGATCGTTACAGTCTTTGTCGCGACAAACACCTCCACCAGGCACTTCGTACTGACATACCCGAAGACCCGAGTCGCTAGCACTGACTTGACCAAGGGCGCGCTGCAACGTTGCAAGCTTCAAAGGCTTGAGATCTGGAACAAAAACAGTCGAACATGAATGAGATAATGATGGTGCACAGTAGATAAGCGAAGCGCGTGATGAGGGCGATGATAAATTAGGTGCATAGCTCGCACTGGCTCGCGATGATGATCTGGATGAATGAGTGGCAGTTCGCCGAGGATCTTGACAAGAATCGGCATCATCAAAAGGCGTTGCACGTAATTGGGAGAGAAGCAGAGGGTAGGTCGAGAATGGCGAATCATAATACGGAAAGCTCGTTTGAGAATCTTGCGATTCCTTCTTCGGGACCTGGCATGCCACGCCACCCCCGACGTCAGCATAGATAGGCCTAAGTAGGCCTTACAGCCTCAGTGATCGAATAGATCAAGACGCACCTTTGACGACGGTAGGCCATCAAACACGCCAGCAGTTTCATGAAACGTTGCGCTTACAGATTCCTATATCCAATTCCGGAATCACGAATGGGGAAAGGAAACAGAAAATTAAAGTCAGGACATAAAACACACTTGAATGAACAGAGAGAAAGGTCCTTGCCCATTTTTCGGAACGTGCTTCCTCTGTTAGTGCTGCAAAAGCGAACAAGATATTAATGTAACGAACGAACGGGAGTGACGAGGTCAATGCGACCGCGGAGAAGTGAGGACATGCTCAACCAAGGCAATGAGTTACGAACCTTGGTCTTCGTCGACGGTGCCATCATTAGTGATTGGCTCGAATCCTACACCCCCTGAGTAGACCCAAGTAGTAATGGCGAGGATCAAAAATGAAAAGAATGACCAGGAAAGGGAAAGGAATGAACAACAAAGATGACGACAAAATGAAGTATAAAGTGAAAAAAAAATTACAACAGTCAAAACCCAGAGGGGGGACAAACAAAGAGATATATCAGCCGGCTGTCGGACTGGTGAAGAACCAGGAAGAACCCATGGTGTGCTTGGTTGAGGTTATTTCGCCGCTGGTGCCAACAGGAGCAACTTCCTCAGCGGAAATGACCACACGAATATCGGTGCTTTCTTGGATGACTGTCGTCGGTTCAGTGTGATCTGCAGACCCACAATAAGCACCAGGTATGCCGATGTGAGAAAAGGAAAGAGAGTGGAAATCAAGGGCAGACGCGGTACATGCTCAAAAATAGATCGCAGATGAAATGAAATCAATGCCACGACATGACAACGCCATACGAAAACCACACGGGCAGAGGGCGATAAAGACCAAAGCGAACCTTGAGTATCTGCTATAACAGCATCTTCAGTAGCTTCGGATAACTGCGCACCCCCAACGCGGCCATTATGAAGGGGCGTGGCGGTGTCCTCCTGGTTGATGGGCGCTCCGGAACCATCTTCTGACCTAATCACGACGGTGCTCGAAGAAGGTACAGCAGGATCGGCTGTGACAGGCCCTGCGGGTGTAGGTTGGATCGCCGGCGTTCCTTTCCCCGACATCTGAAACGTTGGTAAATCATTTTACGAAGGTCAAGGCAACACAAGGTGAACGCACAGCGGCAAGTTTTTTCTGCCGAAGCTCTTCTCGCTGAGCAATCATTTGGCGCATCTTTTTGATCTCCTCCTCTTTCTCAGCGAGAGCAGCAGGCGACATACCCGAAGCGTTGGAGTTGGTTAGGTGTAGATTTACGGGAGTCGAACGCCCTTCGCCGTTAGCGAAACTGTTGGACGAAATTGGCGTCCCATTTCCACTAAAACGTGGGGGACGCGCAAAGATCATCGGCGAGTATGATGATGGGCCGTCGTATGGACCAGTATCACCAGTCCCTTCGCCATCTCCATCATCCTCGCTATCGCTGAGTTCGATGACACATCGGCGCATGCCACTCACTCCCGCAAAACTCCCTGTATTCCGTCGAAGTAGATTAGGATGCGTGTAGCCATTACTCGAATAACCGTTGCCAGAAGCTCTGGAAGTACCAGGACCATGGTCAAAATCAACGAAGTCTGCAGCGACTGGTCGCTTAGTGCCCCTTCGTTGCAGGCCGTTGGTGTCATGACCTGGAGTAGCAGGTGCGAGTATTGGAGTGGTGGAATTAGAGTAGTCAACCGGTGCAGTGGATGAAGATGCGCCAGAATACGTATCAGAGGATGGTGCAGTGGAACTGCCGGACAAAGGTGGAGCATCAGTCACCGGCGAAATAGTATCACCTGCTCCAGACATTTCTGAGTCAGCTGAATAGAAAGCAGATGGTTCCGCAGAAGAGGTCGATTGCGGCGTGACAAGACCTAGGAACGCCTGATCAACTTCCATGTTTTCAGGGCTGGAGTACCGCGCTGGACGCAAGGATGGAGAATTACTACCATTTTCTGCAGTTTCGCTGTCCACGGCGGGAATACTCTTTAAAAAATCTTCGACAATCTCGGTTGGAGCAACATAAGACATTTCAACGTCCCTGTCCCTCGAAGATGAACCGCCAGGGGAATCGGACTGCTTGGCCTTGCGAGAAGCGAAAACAGCTTTCCGAGCAAGTAACTCTTGTCGTCGTTGCTGTTCGATCATGTGAAGAGAACGAGAAGACGATGAGTCAACTGCTGATGGGGATGTGGGCTCCACCTTCATGACAGTGGGCTCACCCCCTGACGATATACGTAAGCCAAGACGAGTAACGCGTCTGCCACGTGAGTGATCAGAGGCAGCCGCAACCGGGCTAGTCAACTCTTTGTGAGAAGGGATTGTCGGCGGCGGCGGCATCGCTGATGAGGAGGAACGAATTGATTGCGAAGGTGAGGCGGGAATAGAGGACAGCATTTCAGGCGTAGGGTATGGGATGAGACCATTGGTATCCAAGTTTGTGGGCATCCGCAAATTAAGTTCGGTGAAAACGTAGAACACAACGTGACGGCTAAGGCCACAATCGATGAGGTACTCGGGGGGAACACCCCAACCAAGTAGATCCAAAACGATGTCTTTTGCGGTATTATACTGATCCTCCGTCACTATATTACAAGAGTAACAATGATTAGTTGACGTCATCAATGAAAAGCTAATACGAACTGGCCAGCCCTGGCCTGACATGATCCGGGTCAAGTCTATACGTGGATGTTTCGAGAATAAATGGTTGCAGGAAAGCTGGTGGTGGCGACTGGTAAATTTCTGATTCGAAGGCAGATTTTGACATGAAAGGAGAATCGAGACGAGGTGAAGGCCTATGCCTAATATTTGACTCGACTGGAGAGGTAGGAACAGGCTTGGAAGCGATGGTGTCCTTCGAGGAAGTTTCGAGCCTCCGAAATTTTGGAGGCGGGGACGTAGGCCTTGGCGGTGGGGCGGCTTCCTCCGTATCGCTGATTTCACCTTCCTCTCGGATCTGACCATCTTCAATTTCTGGTATCGGATTAGGGACCTCCTCTGATGTCGATGGAATCCTTGTTTCTGTCGCGGGAAAATTTACAGAAGGCGCTGAGTAAGTGGCAGTATCTTCTTGACCGTAATCTAAGTGCAGAGTCTGCTCGACCAGAGGACGCTGAGGCGGTACCGGCGGTTGTTCGACAGCCACTTTACGGCGCTTTCTTGAAAGCAAAGCGGCTGCGCGCAGTGACTGGGCGGGATCAACTGAGTCAAGATCCTGCGGTGGTGGATTGTCGATATCCATAATAGTGCGACTTGGACCTGCGAAAGAAGCTAACAAACCAACGATTTCCTGATTGCTGATTGCAGTAGAAGAAGATACTGCAAGTTCAAGAAAAGGTGCAAGCAATTGATGGGAATATAGGCGCAAGGGGACCAACCCACAACTTTCAGTGGCGCGGTGTTTTTGCTGACGTAAAACGCACGGACCCCCACTCTTTTCTCACTCGAGTCCACAATATACCAAGTGTTTAACGTATACCTATTATTTTAATAGTGACTTATATCAGGAGGGTGTTGTGCTAATCAGTACCTACCGCAACGTCTGTCACGCTAAGCTCCCCGCCGAACATTTGCAAAAGCATGAGCAATTCTGATCGCTAACCTCCTCTGACGTGGGGCTTGGGTTAGGGTTAAACAACCGATATTACATATTAATATTTTTGCAAGTCCTTGCTTCATGCCTCTCGACGGACACGGCTACCTGACATCGTACGGATGGTCAGGCAAAGGCACAGGCCTTCGCACGGGCGCTATCGACAGGCCCCTTGCTATCCCCCAAAAACGAAACCTCGCTGGCGTAGGCAAGGACCGTGACGAGGCATTCCCCTTCTGGGATCAGTGCGTTCTCTTCCATTCAAATTCTCCGATACCTCATCCATTCGAAGCTTATATTCAGCTGCCACGAAAGCTATCACCATCAAGATAGCAGATGATGATGACAGCGATGTCGACGACGATCAAAACGAGGTCTGCACTTGTATTTCATACCGCGCGATCACCCGCTCACTGCATGATTAGGATTCATTAGAGTCCACGACCCTTCAACTAAAACGAACTACGACGGGCATCATCTCGAATAGAAGACCGTTGTCAGGTACCCCTGCAACCGGAATATCTACCCCAGACTCAGACACTTACCCACGCACCTCCGTAATGACCATTGCGAAACGCGAGGCTGCAAGGAAGGGCTTATATTCTCGATTTTTCCGTGGGCCAATGTTGGCCCCTGATGACTCTAGCAATTTAGTCATCGTCCCCTGCTCCATCCCCCCTGCATTCTGCTGATTCCACTCCCGAAAGAGAGATCGCTCCTCAGACTGATGTCCCAAGCAGCAAGGAAAGTACAAAGCGGAAATCGTCAGAGCTGCTTGAGACTCGAGAGCAACGGAGAGAAAGAAAACGACTGAAACGGAAGAAAAAGGATAAGAAAGCGGCAAAGAGAGCAGCAAAAGCTAAAAAAGAAAAGCCCGTACTACACGACCTCAAGACGAAGGACGAGCGCAGTTCGCGGAAGAAAGCCAAGAGGACTATGAAAAAATTAGAGGTAAATTCTCCTGATATTGCAGAACGTCGAAAACCACCTAGAGATGTGGTCTTCGCGAGCGTCGATCAGCTTCGATCAAAGAGACATTGTGAAGGATCCATAGATGCTTCTCCTCAGGTTGACGACCCTGCGACCAAGGACAACATAGATACAAAGAAGAGAAATAAGAAGAGGGAAAAGAAAGATTCATAATTTAGCATTTCATCCTGTCACCATTGACATTATCGCAGGTTTATACCATTGCATTGCCATTCGAGTATTTCTCATAAAAACATAAAACACCACCCCAGTTCGAATGATACAAACCAAGCTGCTAATGATTGCGATTGATGTGCAACTATTCTACATGATCCATCATCGTGATATACTGACAAGAGGAAACTAATCACACTCGTGATGCAAAAAAAAAAACAAAGAATCAGGATGAACATCTACAAGGTCATCAACCTCGCACGCCCCGCCACGCACTTTGCATGGCGATACGCCGGGCCTGTATGGTACGGCAATCAGTGTGAGATAGCAGAGCAACAAGATAGACCTACCTGATCAAGTGAGATGGAATCTTCCCTGAGTTCCACCCGCTGCCTACCATCCCCATCGTCCTCATCGTCCTCATCAACTTCATATGAGCTTCGAACACCGGGACTCCTCATGCCGCCAAAGGCGGCCTTGCCACCCGCCAACGAAAAAGGCGTCGTGGCAACAGCAGTACCAAATACGCTGGCAGTCTTCGGCGCGCCGAATGCAGCAAAGTCAGTCACGACTTTACGAGGAGGGGACGACGGCGCTAGGCCGGTACTCGGCGTCGTAGAAGAATAAGTCTTTTCTGATCGCGAAGGCGTATGAGGCGAATACGGATATGAGTACAAACTCCGATTCGCAGTTTGTCTTGCAATGAGATACTTTTCCGTGAAACGTGTGCCTTGCACCTTTGACGATGAAAGTCGTTCAAGTCAACTCGCGAAAGAAACATGGAATCATAACGCACCCTCTTCAACTGGGATTTCGCCTCATGCAGCGATCCAGCGTGAGTGAAGACCGCGACATTATGCGCAGCTTCAGGAGACTCCTTGTAGATGCTCTCGATCACTACTTTCTTGGTGCTTTCATTCCGGAGGAGTAACTTCTCGTGCAATTCACGAGCGACATCATCGACACTTTCATTGTTCCCAAGAATTCGCTGCGCCACGGCATGCCCCACCTCCCGAACAAGGCGCTCCATATCAAGGTTTTCCAACACACTGCCTACAATCGCGTGCGAGAGGAGATCAGCTGTCGTAAGCGGGAGCATGAGCCCAGACGTGATGGATGTGATTGCTTGGTAGAAATCTGTTGCATACTGAAACACATCTAAGTACCTGTGGCAAACGAGCAACGACGACCATACCGAGTAACCACTGAGGGCCGGTTCGCATGCAACGAAGAACTGGGAAGGCGGTTATCTAAATCATTGATCGTTAGACCGTGATAAAACGTACCAGCGTGATGCCCCGACTAGCCATTTCGCGAACTAATTGTAACGGATCATGTCCGTCTGGAGAGCCCTCGTCGAATCCTGCCAAAGATTAGATACATCGCTCGACTAGACAGATCCCCGTACTCACCATCACCATACTCTCCTATCCCATGCGGTGGGGCATCAGCAATCAGGACGACCATCTTACTTGCATGCTCTCTCCAGTCCATATGGAGTGCTTCTGCGAGCGCAGCTGTCACGGCCTCCGGTCCATCACCACCCCCAGAAGCATAAAGCCCCGCAAGATCCCGATGCACCTTGCTGATATCAGATGAGAACCCAAAGTTCTTGACTACATATGTGTGATCTTGTGGCGGATGGTCGCGGAACGCAACAAGGCCGACGCGCAAATCTTCTTGCGATTGTAGCTTCCCCGATTCAAAAATATGTGCGCAAATCTCCTCGATGTTCTTCGTTGCAGATGAGATGTAGCTTCCTTGGCTGCCCGTACAGTCTTGCACAAACACCAAGTCACTGTGCACGGGTGAACATGACGGCTGGTATAGAGTCTTGCAGGCACGTACAGCATCTTTCTTCCATCATAGTAGTTTTGACGGTGAAACTGGGGAGTCGGCTGCGTCGCATTGACATCAAAATCCATGTCTTCATCCATGTCGAGTCACAGTGTTATTGTATTGTAGTTGGTTCGAATGCAGGCTCCTGGGAATATGTATCGACGAATACTTGGTCCGTCTTCGTTCTCCTGAGAGGCGGTTGAAAGAGATGCAGAGGATCCAACCTGGTAAATATAGTCAACGTTTACACCTTCTGGAGTAAGGGCTTCTTGTGTGTAGTTCCAGGCGACATCCTGCAGGCATCTCGGATCTGAGCAATCGGATATCGGATCTCGTCTTCTGTACAACTAACCCAGCGCCCAGCATCTATAATTTCACGCACGAGCCCAACTGTGAAGTAACTCTATAAAATAAAGTAGACATATGCAATATCCGAAGATAATCAAGGATCCCATCTGCCCAATAGCCATGTAGCCCAAGGCGTTGTCCAACTAGGAAGAATCTCCTGTCGTAGGAGACTCCTGTAGAGCATCACGAGACCCGCACTGACGCCCCCCAGTAGCGCAGTAAACGCCACGTAAACACGCAGCTTTTCTGATGCTGTCATCGCACGATCTGCCCCTCCGGGTATTGCCGCGTGACTAAAATAAGGTAGTCAGCAGACCGTCTTCAAGAAACACAAGAGCAGGAACGACTCACGGATTCATGGCAATGCTGCATATTGCGTGGAAAACGTCTGCGGTCTGTCCGGTTTTGACGCTGACAGCGACAGGTACCTGAAGGCCAAGCCGTCTGCAGTATACGTCGGGCTGAACTTCGTGTCTCTAAAATGACATCAGAAAGGAACTGGCTTTAGCGAGGAACATTCAAACTTGTTGTGCAAGGTCCAAGTCCGACTTTGTCGCAACGAACAGGGTCGGTGTGTGGTCGAGAGTGTATTGTTGCTATAATCGAATTTGGGTCAAGCATCCACGTTCGAGGATCAAAGTGACTCACCCGTAGATTACTGATGTAAGAGAACGAGTTAGTATCACTGGAATCATGCACGTAGACAATGACGTCAGCAAGATCCGTCTTCTTCGACGCGCGAAGCGTTTCTGCCTCATATTTAGATCCAAATTCCTGAAGCTAAACCAATGTCAATTATCCACGTTCCAAGTGTTGTTAAGACCTTACCACGAGGTACTTTTCTGACCCATCAATATCCACCGCATTAACTACGCTCACCATCTTACTAGTTGGCTCGTAGGCCTCACGAAATGGCTTCCCAGCGAATGATCGCAGTAAAGACGTCTTGCCTGAACCAGCCGCACCACAAACATAACATAGGAAAACGTTGCGGGAAACTTTGCCTTTCCGGCGGTCAAGTTTGCGGGGACGTGTCGTTAGTAATGCAGATGTGCGTTGTTCATCAGGGTATCCAAGATAGGCAAGGTATGCGAGAGTGGTTTTGTGATCTAAGAGAGTGGTCATACTGGCATGTGTGGCAGGTGGATGAGCAGGGCATTTAACTGGAGGTGGCCCAAAACACAGACCTCCATTGAGCAAGCCAGCCTTGCAGAGTGACCGCACCTTTATCATCCACTAGGGTCGTGTCCGGGAATTTCTGAATTTCCCATGGATTCCCTGGGGAAGTACTAAATAGCTCTTCCAGTTCTGCGCTGTTGAGTGCACCATCTTGATCCTGAAGATGAATGTGAGTATGACATAAAGGCACGTCCTGGTTCCCAAACCTTGTCGAAAGTTTCAAAGATATCGGTGAAGAATTGATATCCTTGAGGGCTCAATTCAACAGAACAGTCATGGGGCACGTCGAATCTGAAAGGTCGATCAATTTTTGAAACTCATAAAGATAAATCGCGTACTTTGGGAGTAGGAATGGCTCAGTGAGTCGCAGGTCTTCTGCATAACCAAATTTGCGGAGAACAGCCCATGTTGTCTCCAGCCTTCCGCGTTGAATAAATATTGTATGCAGGTATAAAAATCCAGCCTCAGTCAACCCGTCGTCTCGCACACCTCCCTCTGCATGTTCGCGAACCATATCCTTGATGCCTTCAAGCTCCTGGAGCTGTAATGGCGCGTCAAAGCATTTTCGCTACACGATTTCGTGTTTAGCGCTTCCAGATGCTAGAAAGTGAAAAGATATACTTGGAATTCATTCAGCTCTGCAGCATCCAAAACACCATCCTTGTTTGCATCACAGAGCTTGAATATTCGTTTCAAGGCGCTGACGCAAGCGGGTTTCAGGACCTGGAAAGTTTTAATTGAGAACCCGCCACAAGCTGTCAGTACGCACATGTTCCCTGGAGTCATAAAGAGGAGCAGTGGGATGCAAGACCGCTTTCTGAGCAAAGTAGAAGACCTCCGACACGTTCAACGGCAGCTGAGCGGAGCATTCAACGCATGTCTCGACTTCCTAGGTGACATTATTGAATTTAAGAATATCACAGAAAATTTGACATGCCTTGAACTCATTCATAATGGGTATGATCTCTTCCTCCAAGGCTTCGTTAGTGACCTCACCACCCCTTAGGTCGATCTTGTTTCCGACAAGGATCACAGGGACCTGAATATATTGTCAGGGTGATGGGAGGAAGCTAAGATGAAACAAACGTTGACGCCTAATTGACGAAACAAGGGAAGCCAATACGTAGGAATTCGATCAAATGAGTGAGGGTTGTCGATTGAGTATACCACGCAAATAACATGTGCTTTGCGGACTTCCGATTCGAGATGCTGTCGGTCTTGTGGGCCAGCTTTTATCGTAAGTTGAGAATAGAGCGTCTTCGTTCATAGGAATATGGTACAATACCTCCTGAATCGACAATATAAGTGGTCACGTTCTCTGGGTTCACCTCTGGTGGAATGGTGACCTCTGGAACGACATGTTGAACCTGGTATTGAAACCATCAGTGCTGCAATTACGTGTGGAAGAGTAGATAATACATGTGCAACGAAGACTTCCTTGATGAGAGAGGTGACAATGGTACTTTTACCAACACCCTCTGCGAAACCTGTGTCAGTACACGCGGTGAATAACAGGAATAATAACATACCATCTCCCACAAGCAAAATGCGAACATCCCTCCTCATGACCCTCTCGAAAGAAGACGTGATAAACTGCTGTGAGAAGCCTTAGCTAGAGGTGACGATGGACGTGAACTCGGAGACTTGTCAGTGTACTTAATCCCTCCCTGTTTGGCAGTCCTTCTACTGTCTCGGCACGGATCGGCATTATATAAGCACAAGAAGTCGATTGACTTTTATGGAAGTCCGGCTTAGCACTGCCACTGCTTGATACCACCTCTGAACGCTACTATGACTGTCGAGGCGGCCGGTCTCATTCTTCCCAGCGATGTCCTAATCATTGTAATGGAAAACCTTGGTATAGAAGACCTGATCAATTTATCCTACACGTGCAAATTCGTTAACCTCTTGGTAAATTTGAATTAAGTCTTCCATAAATTCGGATCTCTGATACTGCCCATTACCAAAGGTTCACGAATTTGGATGGTCGCTCTACCTCGGGCACAACGTTCGTTCATCATTCACGTTACAGCTGGCACGTAGAAGCTGGTCTTCTTTTGATCAAGTTCGATATGATGTTGCGTCTGACCGTTGCTGGGCTCACGCCAAGTTTAACGCGCGACCATTATCACACCCTTGGCGCAATAAACTTCAGCCTATAATTGTCCTGTCTGCTTCTGTGTTGCTGGTTGCCGCCGGTCACACTATCTACGTATATCATATAACCGGCTCTTCCTCGCTTGATGACGGTGCTCCTGGAGTCTTATATGAGGGTTCATATTCATTCACAGACCGACAGGATATCACAAGTATCACCTTCATTCCCGATGGTCATTCGGAACGGACGGTAGCTGTTGGTTTCGAAGATGGGCATATACATCGTGTATTTCTTCCTCATTTCCAGCAGGAGCAATCCAACAATAAGTCATTGGCTTTGAACATCAAACGCGATTCTCCTCTCGGATTACGCATCATGGATATAGTAGAGAGCCTGACATGCTCAGATGACATGCTCCTGTCTTTATCAGCTTTTGGAACAGCAGGCCTTTGCAACTTATCTTCAGATTCACCGCTCGTCAGTGCCATAAACCTGGATTGCAGATCTTGGTCCAGTTTTATCTGCATGAGGTCTTCTACCCCGTTTACGGCATTTGGCACAACATCCCCAAATCCTCTCGTCGTTCACGCTATAACCCCTTCCTCATTATCTCCCGCACCATTTGCCATCCTGCATCCCACGCGTGAACGCTCCACTGCAGTGTACGATATAACGGATGCACCACCATCTGCACCATGGGGTTCCTCAAAACAGATCATCGTATCCGGGTGGTACGATGGCGCTGTTCGGGTACATGATATGCGCTCAGGTCGGCGTGATTCAGGGGTGACGGGCTCCCCTGCCCCTTTGCGTCCCATGCTCACGTTCTGTGATCCCTGGTCTGATGAGCCCATCTATTCCGTGTCATGTGGAGGTGGTTCTTCAAGTTTTGTTGCAGCGGGCACTGCCCGTCACAGCGTTGTTGCATTCTGGGATGTTCGCTGCGCCACAGAGGGATGGAGTGTACACGCTCCAGGCAACGACTCATCTCCAGTCTACTCCCTGGTACTCGAGAGCTCTCGCCTATTTGGCGTAACGCAAAGTCGACCCTTTGTGTTCGACTTTGGGCCCGGTGTGACTAAAGAGACATACCCTTCCCTACCTATTTCTACACGCTCTCAGCATGACTCCCTCAAACTAAAGAAGAACGGAGTGGGATACTGCGTCACCCAATACAATCACAGTCGCACATAGACAATATCTTCCAATTTATATCTCATCTTGTTCAATCATGTTGAATTACGTATATGTTTGTGGTCTCCACAAGACCGCTGCATATTACAGAGCTGGATGAGGTTCGGAATTAACTAGAGGTTTCCATGCATACGTGGGAGTACAAAACAGACAGCAAAGGTGACTCAAAATGCAGTGGATAGGCACGTATTGGGGGAAATGCAAGAGTGATTATAGAATAAACAACGAGGACAGCAACAAGGACGAAAGACAGAACGAGTCTGAACGAACATAAAATGAAGAAGCAGTATTAGGTAGATGTAGGCGGCTGTGCCTGTGAACGTGTTGCCCAGTTGAACAATTGCCGCATATCGCTAGGAGGGGGTGTGTCGGCAGGCTGCTTCGGCTCAACAAGCAGGCTACAACGACCAACTTAGTGGACGTTTAGAGAAGCCGTAAACCTCACAAACCTTCGTCTATAAAGATCCTGAAGGTCGCCGTGGTGCTTAGAGTTCTCAAATGCCATCTGCAGGTATTCCTGCACTTCAGGAATTTTCTTAAGATTATATGGCACTTGAAAACGTTGCATGTCTGAGAACAAATTTTGAGTCGAGAAGCCCAGAAGCCCACAGTGATTGTGAAATACAAACCTTGAACAATTCGAGCTAGCTTGTGGTACTTGTTGAAATTAAGGAGTTTCTTCCCTGGTGCACTAGGGGACTCGCGGTATGACGGGTTTCCCTCGCGACAGAAAGTCACATCGGTCAAGTAAAGGCCTTCACACCAGTCAACATATAAAACTTTCAGATAAAAACACTGCCGTACCTAAGAATGGAACTGCTGGAGGTGCGATGTTGCGAAGCCTGCTTCGGTATTGATGGTAGTTCCGCCCGTGATCTGCCAATCGACGCAAAGACTCCAACTGCATTTTACTTTTATGTGAAACACCCTGAAAAATTGGCCATGGACAACACGACGGTGTAAATAGGAAGGATGCTTACTAGCCAAGTCTGATGAAGCCGAGATATCGTAGAAGAGTCGAGGGCCGCTAGGATGGACCTAGGAGTACTGAAGTTGTGCAATGAAGTACATCGCTGAAAGATAACAGTCGGTTGGGATAATGTTAACAATCTCGTATTCGCTCACATCGGCAACCTTGATGAAGAATTTCACGAGTAACGTCCGTTTCTTGATATCGTGCTCGTTCAAGATGTTCTCGGCCACCCATCCCGTGATGACTGTGCTTAGGGAGGAAACAGCTCTGACGTTGACAGGCGGTTTTGTACCCTCCTGTCCGGTCTCAAGAACCTCCTCGGGCTGGATCGCACAGTACAAGTCGCACTCCATGATCGTCAGCTGTCTCGCCAACTCTAGAGCATCAAAATCAGTGATGGCAACAGTGTCAAAATTCTTTCCACGCAGCGTGGCTAGCAATGCCTTCGTCATCGTTGGTCGTGGAACCTCGGACAATGTATATGACGGAGGATTGATTGACATGCCAGGATCGCGGACACGTTCACTCTTGGGGCTCACAAGACTGGTATTGGAGTCTTGCCGCATGGAAATTAAATCGAGAATACGCTGGGAGGGCGCAGGGAAGTAATGTAGGAGCGCATCTTTCGTGAACGATGAAAGGTGCGAGAGAGCGATGTCGTCAACCCCAGGCCGCCAGTACATCTCTAACCACGTCTTCACAAAATTGGATACGCGCAAGCGGATTGGAATGCCCTTGTGCTGCTTGCCAAATCAACATTTCGTCCTCTGGGAGATTGGACGGAGGCATAATATTATAGCGGTTGATGAGTGCTTCTACGAGTGCAAGTGGAGTGGAGAAGAGGCGGAAGGTAAGGAAGAAGACCGCTGAGAACGCAGGGTCTACAATGCTGTCATGGGGTGTCATCCTCTCGAACAGGGCCCCCATTGTCGCTGCTACGAGGTGACCTTCATTATTGTAGACGACATCGTTTGTAGAGTAGTCATGACCAAGAGGATCACGCTTGACTTGTAGTGTGACAGGAAGCTCGTTGGTTATCAACCGCTCCTCAAATGTGCCCGTGGTCTGGCGATCTTGTTGTTCGTCCGTGTGCCCATCATCAACTGCCGGTGAAGGCGATGATACAGGTTCCATTGATGTCATCAAGTCGGGATCGCTCATAGATAATAAGCCGCCTTCTGGCGTTGTCGGTTGAGTGTCATGCGAACCGCCTGATGAATCAGAAGTTGCCGTGATATTGGACGTGTCGAAAGATCTGTCTCGGACGATAGTAGCATTGGGGGTAGGAGAAGCCGGCGTCAGAGCCTGCACGGTGAGATCATCTTCGTCGGTGTCATTGTGATACAAGCTTTGATGCGTCGACAAGCTGACGGACGGGGTGTGACCAGTCCTACGAGAAAATTTGCTTGGAGTGAATGGCGCAGGGTCTGAATCGGACGTTGTAGGTATTTGGATGATAAACTGCCTCTCTCCCTGAAGCCCTATTCAAGCAGATTTTGACATGCCGAAACGCAATCGGCACCCGCTTTACATGCTGCTGTAGCGGATCGTATCAAGGATGCCTTTTCGGATTCCTCTGTAAGGTCGGGAGGAAGGGGCACCGTAAGTAATCGCACGGATTCGGCAAGGGAGCTAGTGACGGTGTAGAGCCTCTCTTTTGCGGACTTTAAGTTCCCAATCTTGTGAAGTGGGATCTCGGGATGCCGCATGACAGCTTCGACGATAGTGAGCAACTTGCACACCATCTCTACTACTTCTCGCACGAGATCATACATCTGACCCGTGCTAGAAGCGTGTGATGAGCGTGAATGAGAGTGTGCATGGCCGATAAAGGCGGCAATAGTGGATAAATACTGATCATGAGTAAACTTCAAGGCCTCCATCACCTCCGAAGATGTCGAGGGTCCTGATGGGAAAGGGGGCATTGTCGGTGGTTTCGGCGACTCCGCAGACGAAACCGACGAGAATGACGAAATGCTGCTGATGGATGGCATGTCTGCTTTATGCTTGCCAGCGACACGCTCGTAGACGAGATATTGATCCTTCTTCGACCGGGATAGTATCGTTCTGTGGGGAAGGAGGGGAGAAACGGAAGAATCAGAATCCCGATATGCAGCTAATCTCCGCTGCGACCTCAGATCTCCCAAACTTTTGGTCCGCGGGGCCGTCTTTTGCAAGATGCCATCATGCGAGTGTGGTTGTCGGGACTTGCTAGACGAGACGACAAACAAGAAGGGACGACAGGATCGGGTGATACTAGGACTATGTCTTCAGGTCCTGCAGGGCTCGTTTGTTCCTGTAGGCCAGGCGCATTAACGATGGCTTCATTTGAAGTAACCTGCTGACGCCTTTCCGGCAAGTCGATGCCACATTGGACAGCGACAGCAAGAAAACGCCGGACTTGTGAAAAGACTTGACCACCTAATTTCAACATTCCTTCAATTTCTGTTTCCCGTAAATCTTCATCTTGCGTCTCATCCGATGCCTTTTTAGCTTGTGACACCAGGGATGCCAGGACGGATAGAATCTGTTTCCGCTCCTGAGCGAGGGTGGGGAAGCGCTTTAATAACGGTGCCTCCCTAGGTAAACACTCTGTCGAAGACAGAATGAATCGCACACAGGATATGATACAGGCAGTGGAAGGCTGAAAATGGGCGATGCGGTTGGAACGAACTGCACTCTGGAGGAGAGATAAACTGTGCAAAAGATTGACCATGAGAGGAGGACAGTATGATGTTATGTCCGATCCAAGAGCTTCAGTGACCAATGGTCTGTGGTCCTTTCGCGAACCACGTGAGGGGGCACTGGCCCAAGAAGCTGCCGATACGGCGGACATAGTATGCCCGTGGCGAGATCCCTGACAATCGAGACAACGTTGTTAATACTTTAAACCGCTCGCTTTTATACCAACATACAGGTGATTGAGGAAGGACTTCCTCCGCCAGTGAGATTACTCTTTCATCAGCACTGACGTAATTGGAGGGGAACCATCCTCTTTGACCATTAATCTCACCATCCCACCATCCACTCGAATCCCGATTTAGGACATGGATAACCTGGCCAGCTCGAAACGACAGACAGGTCGCATTCTGGTGCTGAGGATGAAAGTCATGTAATGCAAGAACGAATTCCGGAGAAGGGGAGACGCGAACAGTCTCATCTGACGGGCTTGCCAAAGGGTAGTGGAGGGTGCGGGATGACTTTTCGGAATCAGGCAGGTTGAGTGAGGATGAGGAAGCAGAGGAAGATGATGGACCAGGGGAGTCAACAGAGATGGAGGATGAAGTTGACGCAGTGGACCCACTCCTCATCCGGGTAACGGCCATATTTAAGCTCATCAGGTTTGGAGCGGAGGTATCATCTGGTCTTTTCAAATTGCTGGTATCACGGGCGACGTTTGTATTAATGTGAAGATGAGCTGTAGGCATCTCTTTCGCGGGCCGACGCTCAGGATGGCGGAGGGAAACTAGTTAATTCCAGTGCAAGATATTATCACTGCGTGTTCCTGGCGGTCGCTGCAACTGCGGGTGATGTATGACTGATAGTCATAAACTGTAAGGTCACTGACATGCATCCACGAACAAGGACCAAGCAGGAACACGCACAAAAATGTCAGCCCACTCGCACCGCAGTCCGAGCGCCTTCTGCTATGCGAATGAGATCGCTCGCAGGACCAAAGTTGCGCCAGGTGGTTGAAACCAACAAGAAAGATAGTATCAGGATGGTAGCAAAACTGATTCAAGATGGGAGAACAGAGCGAATTAGAATGAACAGACCGATAAAGCCGCCACAAGATATGGACGCCGGAGAGGAGAAGAAGATAGGCCAGACCAGTGCCAGTAATACAAAAAACGAAGAAAAAGGTAGAGTTACAGATTAGAGTCGTAATACTGTCGTGGAAGCGTTAAAGCACTAGCGAGATATGTAGCGGCAACCCGTTCAAGTAGGCTATGCCGGCGATGCCAGTGTAAATTATAGGATTGAACGGAACACACTAATGCAACAACACAGCCAAACAACGCGTTCTTTTCTGTCGCGTAGATATTATTTCTTCGAGCACAGAAACCACGACCATTCGCGCCGCAAGAATAATTGATCCTATGGTATTCAAATCTCATCAATTACTTCCAGTATTCGACTTCCAAGAAGTACAGGAGGTTAGTAGGACATACTTGTTATTCAAATTTTTGCGCAGAATTCATAGATGCTACATATGGCACGCAGCCTTGACGGGAAACGTTTCGCTGCCGTGGTTTCGCAACCGTGATGTCCAAGAAAAGTTGGAAATTCTCCGTGATGATGATCATGCTCCAAAATGCCGAAGCTGATGCGGCTTGCCACATTGGACTTAGAGTTCAGTGCTATTATACCTTGATTCCTTTGAACACTCGCAGCGACTCAGTTGCGGTGACGGTTGTGTGATTTTGATCAGCCACAGTCAACCACTCATCTCCTTGGTCATTGTGATCGTGATCGTTACAGACTCGTTTCTGACATATTCTTTACTGGCAACACAGTCGGTTACTCGACAGACCACTTACACAATGCACTCCCACCACGGTGAGCTCTATGACTTATCGTGTATGCATATAGCGCTGCATTTGATCTTTCTCGATTCCCACCTTCAAGCTTCTTGTCATACCTACCAGCCCAGGTCTCAGATCTTCTTCTCAATGTCCACCAAACCCTGTTTACTTCGAATCCATACCTATCACCACCACTGATGTATTTAGTCTTCGTCAGAAGCAATGGTGGGTGTTACACTCTTTGCTGACTAGCCCTCAAGAGCCAGGCCTAGTCAGGTCCAAACATGCAAATTCCCACATCCGAACATGTGTATTTGCAATTGGTGAAATACACCTCCAAAACCAGCAAGTAAAACGCTCATAACTATGTATCATCGTGGTGCTAATTCCGTCCATCATTTTGCTCCGCCTCACCAATGAAACCGTTAGTTGATGTAAATGCCCGTGTTTCCATCAATGTTCCGTGATCAAACTTCGCCGAGCAAAGTTTGCCAAGTATGCAAAGTCCACGGCACCACCATGACAGTAATACCATGGCACAATATCGCCTTACAATGCGCCATGATCATATCCAGTGGACTGATGACTGTGATACTTTGCTCGCCCTTCCTGTGAATGTTAATAGTGGCGGCCTACAAGGTCGGAGTCCAGAAACGAGTTTGCCCTCCACTGACATCATGGAACGGCTCTGGTTGTGCACTGGATGATTGACCTGTCTCATGTAGCTCCGAATGTTCAATGCGGTCTTGAGATGATCCGTGAATCATCCCAAAAATCCATTAGAAAGACATTTAACTACCATTTAGGACGAAGGTGGTCCCTCAAGTCAGTTCAGTTTGAACCAGATTCTGGGACAACCAGGTGCAACTCTGGGAAGCGTTCGGTGCGTCTTCCCACAACGTTGGTTCGAGACTACCTTCCAGCGACTCGTAATAACGTCCAACTTATTGCTGATCAAGCTCTTGGGCCTACCACATGATTCTTCACTATGGCGCTGGCGAATCGCCTGGCCTTTCTTACAAATAGCACCATCGGGTTAAAGAAGGCACATACCATTTCTCCTAATTTATCCATCTTCTGAACTATTTCTGGGCCGTTTCTCAGCCTATCCTTAGTTTCCCCTAGGCAGACCTTGAGCGAATTAAAATAGTTGTTCCTTCTCTATGTGCTGACGCTTGTCCTCATGTGTGCAAATCTCGGCCCGTGCTCTTTGTCCTGGCAGGACCTGGCTCTGTTCAACGAATCCCCCTGGCACATCATCCGAACTGAAAACTTCTCTTCGCGAGACCCTTCGCCATCATTCCCACCTAAATGCCCTCCACCTAACATGGCGAAGCACTCCTTGCTCTTTTTTGATGGCTCCTTTCATAAGATATCCATGGCTCCTTAACACCTTCACAACTATAAAATTATCTGGGTACTACCGCGAAACAATCGAAGTGGCCTCCCAGAGCTTTTAACCTGCGGCTAGCACTTCAGTTCTACACCTCAACTCTTGTATGCTCCGACCGCACGGCTTTGTAAGATATGTCCCGACTTCGTTATTTACGGTCAGACATGACACCAGCTCAGTCGTACAGTGACTTGTAGGTAACGTGTACCAAACATATCCTATGATATCATATGCATGCAGTATCGAGGGCACTGAGGATGCAGCGTTCACGCGAGGCTTTTGGGAGAACGCGGTTCCGCCACAGGACAGCTGACTTTGCGAGTCAGCACCATCCACTTGAGACAATAATAATACAATAATTGGTCAGACACGCCCGGGCTACGATACACGTTCAACTCAAAGTTGCGACTCGGAATGGATGCTCAATAGCCTTCAAGTAGAATATCAAGGTACAACTTGAAAGGGAACAACTTGACTATGATTGAGAAAGCGCTCAAGAGCTAACTTAGACGATTTCTTGCTTCCTGAATGACTCGGAGTACGACGAGTGACACGGTTTGACAACACTGAAGATGTGGCTTACTTACTATACATATCACCTCCACCGGAGCCTCCCCGTTTTGAGCACCAATGTTCACGGATCCGATCCAGTTAGCGATGTCGTTGCGCTTCGAAACACGTTTGCTGCAACCGACAGCCAAGGATTCAGTGTCTTCATGATGGTCAGTTCGAGGGAGGCTTTGTCAATGAGCTGTGGTGTGTTCGTGGCAAAATCATGGAGACGATTGGGGGTGAGTTGTCTATGGGGATGACGGGGCGATAGGTTCTAGATGAAGGGACGTCGCTTTCTTTTGAGAGATCTCGGGCGGGGTCCGTCATCGTACAGACGTCGCGGAAATGTCGGGCTTTGATGAGTGGGGAGAGAGCAGGGAGAATGGCGGCGTCGAAGTTGAAGTTGGGGTGGCTCGAAGTGCGGGTGGGTGATGATCGCGCCGTCGCCGCTCCCGCCGTTGAGGTCAACTTTGGCAAGAATTTCGTGGAAGGTCGTGGAGTATTAAGATCCAACTGGCAGATTCGTATCGGGGAGGCATAACAAGAAATCGCAAGAACCTAGGGCTCAGTTAACGGGTGGAGGGAGAGATGGTTGGATGCTAGAAGTGAGAAGCAGGCCTGGCTCGGCACTTGACATGGAGTCGATGCCTTTGGCTGCTTCGTTGCGTATGGTGGAGAGTCCGTGGTACAGAGGTAGCCAAAAAAAAGAATAAGAATATAACCCGGGTGACAGTTGAGAGCTGAGATTATCAATAATGATCATCTCCATCACTATCGGAGTCGCCCTCGAGGACACACGATGGCACAACTACACTTGGAGAACACCAGTAATGATACCAGCATTCGGGTTCGAAAGATCCGTGACTCCGGGGTTGGTATGTGAAATCAGGACCTCACGATAACCCTCAGGTAGGGCGTCTTCTGCGATGGGATGAGGAGCTTGCGGAGGAATGTTGCGTCGCTTGTCACCCGGACACTCGTGAGCAACATGGGATTTCCAGATGGAATCAGATGGCAGTGGAAACAACCTCCTACTGAGCGCAAGGCTTCTCGTTCGGTATAGGTAAGGTCAGGAAGGGAGATATGAAATTTAATGCGTGCGTGTTTGACATAGGAGCAGAGGCAGACTTGAGCATCGACTTGGGTACGGGCATCGTGAAGCCTTCCGCAACGAGGCTTAACCACGTAGTCGCCATGGCATTGATCAGTGCGTCGACCGTCAAGTTCTTGTACGCAAAGTTTTGTATGACCCGGACACGAAGTTGAAGCACGGGATTGGCAAAAAAGAAGAAGTAGCTTTTGAAAACAGAGTCACTGATAGTGCAACTATCACCCGCCGAACCAAGCATGTTCCGAGCTGCTTGTAAGGAAGCAACGAACGGGCGGAAGTCATCGAAGTCTTGCGAGATGTCGTAGAAGCGCGTGAGGGCATCGAGACGCCAGCCGGATGGTATGAAGCGATCTTTGAAGCGCAACGCGAACTCCTCCCACGTGGCAAGCTGTTTGAGCACATCACGATTCTGGCTCCACCAAAGTCTCGCGCTCGGTTCTTCCAGCTGGAGGTCCGCAAGTACAACAAGTAGTTGTGGAGACATCGCATATACCGGGTTCCAGGCGGACCACGCGAGATATTTGTCTTCGCAACGCCAAAGCCAGGCATTGATTGTCGCAGGCTCAATCAGACCAGAGAATGCCGGTAAGTTCAAGTTTGGACATCTTTGATGGTACTGCAGACGCGGCAGATGCAACGACAACAGGGTTTTGCGTGAGAGAAGCGGTGCGAGAATCGGAACCAGACTCTATGTTCAGTGCGGCGGCACGTCGCGCTGCGTTCAACAAGGGCGTGCGACAGCAACAGATAAACCAGGTAGCGGATTACAGATATCCGACGGGCGTAGATCCGAATGCAAACTCACAAGACCTTTGAGTGTTGGGCGAGGTCAAAAAAAAACGTCGTGTTCTACATACTGGTATCAGCTGACTAAGCTACTAATTAGACTTGAGGATACTAGGTGCTTATATGAGACATGGTCGTCATCGCATCTTCATTGGACTAATTCGCAAACCCTACTGGTGGATTGCAGGATTCACTGACTGATAGATGTGGTTGAGGTGTGTTATTTCACATCTCGTATTCAGAATTCTCGCGCTCACTAACAACCTCCCCAAAAAGTTACTGTATCGTCCGTGATGTCTTCCGAGCACTCGTGCCCGAACTTCACGAGCGTATACCGATTTCTGGAACTAATACCCTATACCTTCTATTCCCTTTTCTGCCACTAATTTACATGGGATATTTAGCGAGACGGCCAGACACGTTTACCTTGCGTCTTCTACTTCTCCCGTTGGTGGTCGCAATTGCTGTTGGGACCTACTTTCGTTTCATGTGGACAGAGCCACATCACAACATCTACAATTGGGGCCAAGGTAACGTAATATCACTTCCCTCGTGTTTGCATAGTCACTCAAACTGCCACAGGTGTACTTGCAGAAGCCATAAGTGCCAAGGCAATAGATTTTGCATGGAGAAAAGAGGGTATGCTCAAGATTGACGAGGTTCAGCCAGGTGTCGCAAGAAACCCCGATGCTGTCAAAGCTAATGGTGATGCGCATGCAAAACCAGTCACGTCAAATCCAGCTACCCTAACGCTTGCTTGGCTATATGATGCTTTGGAAGTAATTCTATCCAACCGGGGTCTAGGTTGGAAATTTGGTATCGGGATTCATGTTCCTCGTGAGGAGAGATCTCTCGAACGGAATTCATTCCTGTTTGCGACACTGATATCATTCGTCGGAAACTACATGATCTTCGACCTCCTCGAGTCGTTGATCAAACTAGTACCTGACGTTGGCACTCCTCATGGCGGCACCATATTCAGGGCGGAACTACCCTTCTTCCATAGATATGCGCTTTCTACAGCCATCCACATTGCAACCGGCAGTTGCATTTTGACTGCCTTCGAACTCTTTTACGATCTCATCACGATCTTTGCAGTTTTGCTTTTGGGAAGCTCCCCGTCTGCATGGCCTCCCGTGCTAGACCACCCTTGGCAGTCTGACTCCCTTCATATCTTTTGGTCCAAACGTTGGCACCAAATCCTTCGAGAAATTTTCTTTGTCTTTGGAGGATTTTTTGGCAAGGTCATCGCAGGAAAGTTCGGCATGCTGTTTGGGACATTCATCGGGTCTGGATTATACCACGAATTCGCTGCATATGCACTCGGGAGAGGTTTTGATACCATCGTTCCGCTTTTTTTTGTGCTGCAGGCTCCTCTGCTCCTCTGTGAAAAGGCATGGTACAAGTACACAGGATACCGTGTCGGTGGATTGTATGGGAGGTTGTGGGTCTATTTTTGCGTCATCATACTCGGGCAACCCTTATGTACGTGCTTGAGCATGTTATGTGGATGCTGACCTTGACGCGCTTTTTTGCAGCGAACTCTTGGCATAGGAGAGGTCTCGGTGGTGGGCTTATGCTTCCTCCTTCATTAAGTCCCGCTCGCCAGCTCATTATACCATGCATTCGACATTCCCTCAATGCTACGGGTACGGATATCCTAGAATTCCTAGTTGGGTCTGCGTAGTCAATACTGCATTTTGCTATCACAAGCTGTGATTGTTGTTGGTTGGCCTCGGAAACGCACGCAACGAAATAATATGATCACATTGAGTCCCCAGTTATCTATCGGTTCCTCTGCAATGCGCCTTGGAGGGAACCAATCTCTACCTGTTTGACCCACCACCCGCCAAATCGTACCAACCAAGCTCCTTTCCCCAACTCTTCCACATTCTATCGATAATTCTGAGTTTTTCCGATCGACGCAATCCAGGATCTTCAAGGATCTCGATATCTTCCAAAAATCCTTCCCGGAGTCGTGACCGTGCTGGTAGTGACGTCAGAGCGTACTCTCGAAGATGCGCCAGAGATAAAACCAATAATCCTGTCGTCAAAGCAGGAATGGTGTCCGAGTGCACGTTTCGGTATCGTGACGATGGTGCAACAATTTAGGTTGGAATAGCAGGAGCCGCTCGATACGTCTGGAAATGCAGTGTCAGCGAGCTTTTTCCGAGACACTAGGATTTTTCTACCTCATTGCAAGCCAAACGCTGGTCTTTCTGAGTTTCCCTCCATACTTCCCAGGTCTGATAGACAGTAATCCTCTTAGGAATCCTCCTGCGACATATATGACAGCAAGGGCTGGCGCGACACCCACGAATGCAAAAGTGAGTTCTTGAGACTTCAACAGCTTATCGATGCCGGCCAGTGCTTGATCGAGATCCACCTGAGAATACTTAAATGAGTAGTAGCCTGATAAAGGTGCATTGTGCTTACTTTGGCCTTCTGGACCTGAATGAACATTGACCTCAAGAGCGTCCCCGATATTGCAGATTTCACCGGATTTTTTATGTCCTCTTCATAGATCTTCAGCACGGCAGTGAGGTCACCCTGACGTATCTGCTGTGAAAGTGCTTCAAGTTGCGTAGAATCATAACTAAGTTTCTCCCTAGCGAGAGCAAGGGTCATGCGCTCGAGTGACTTTACTGACGGTCAGACAACGACTTGGAAGTGGTAGGATTGCTCACATCGAGGTCGGCAGCAACTGCTTCTCGCCTAACAATGACACCATCTTCTCCACCAGCACGGATAGTTATAAGGACGTCTTTTATAGGGTCAAACAGCCAACCCTTGAAAAAGTTTTGTACGGTGTTCACCACATCTAGCATAAGGTCGGCTAAAGTTGCTCTGGAAGCATAAATGTGCTTGGCGCAATAGAGCGTCAGTGGGGGAAGCAGAAATAAGCGAGGCCATAAGAGGGTAAGTCGGGATGGTCGTCGCAGATCGTGGGCGTCCAGGTACGCGTCATGCAGAATTCCATGGTTTTTAAATGCATTGAGGAGTTGTTCGATCAAAGGAAGAACAGCTTTCTGTGATGCGTCGCCTGACGTGACGACAGCGAACTTGAACAGAAACTCCGTAAGGACTTGATTGTCGATGGACGAACCAGTGGTCGAAACATTGAAGTCAGCCTCCAGACCATTTGCGAGCAAGGATCGCAACTCCAAAATATTTCCAAGGACTTCCGCCCTTTCGTCCCTCACCTTCTCCAACTCTTTTCTTCTGAGCTGACACTCTTCTCGAGCAAGACGGAGAGGAAAGAGCACGAGAGAAACCACTCTTTGTATACTGTACATGACCCCACCATGTACTTTCTCAGCCAGGGCAACGAGGGAGTCTGGTCGCGTACTCTTTCCTGCGATAACAGGAGTAAATGATGCCACAGCAGAGGGCTGGTCTCGCAGATAGGGAAAGAGTGCAACCATGAACGGGTTGAGGCGAATAGGCGCAGCATTCCAGTAGAATCTTGTAATAGACGATGGGCGGAATGCCGACAATCGAACAGACGTCTTCCGTGTCTGAATCAACTGCAGAACTCTGCGAAGACGGCTTGGCAACGCTGAATTTCCAAGCCCAAAGAAGTGACAGAGATGAGGAACATGTGCCGTGTACAGTACATAATGAAAACAGACGTACACTGTAAGAGATACAATGCCACAGACCAGGTGGATTGTTCGATATCGGCCCACCACTCTGCGTCAAGCTGAGCCGCACTTGATTCCTCCAGGTAAAGATCCACGGCGAGCGCATACATGTTGAAAATGGTTTTCCTGACGACGGCATTGTAGAAGACGAGTTCCTCGCTGTCAGATTGCAGCCCTGGTTTGCCCTCCCGAACAGGGAAAGTACGGAGAAAGTCTATAGATTGCTGCACCGTAGCTTCAGAGGGTGAGCCCTGGAGCATTGCATGCGTCGACTTTAGTGCACCGTCATCGCTTGTAGGCTTAGTCTGCGTAGATAACTGCAGCCTTGTCAACGGAACCAGACGCTCAGTGTAGTGAACGGTGAAGTTCAACGTCATGAAGAGGCTGGGTGACGCGTCTCACTTCCAGACGACTGCAGTAGCAATGGTTTCGACAAATAACCAAGTCCTTTGTAAAAGAGTGCACTCGTCAGATCTTCAGGAAAGCGTATAAAAGCCTTCAGAAGTCATTGAAAATGTTTGTTGCAAAGACACTTATATTTGGCCACTGTACATGTCATCCAGTGACGGAAGCGATTAATAGGCCTGCGACACTCAGGAAATATTAGGCCTCAAAATCTGCAGCACAGCGTCTTTCAAAATTCCAGACTCATCTGGTAGATGACATGTAAAGACATCGATACCTAGCCTGAGAGTATCCTTCGACTACTTCGAGGTTTTTCTCTTTGAACCCCAAACAGACATGTTTTCCGCAACAATTTCGATCACTAGTAAGCGCGATAAATATGTATTCTCCTGTAACGGCGAGTTCTACATCTGCAATTTCGAGAGCAACGCTGTAGGTGTTGTGCTTGGGCCGAAGGGAAAGGCGCAACTTTGGAAACAAACAAACGAAGATAGTACGAAAGTGCACTGAATACTGATGGAGGTTTGATATGCAATATGATAGTGTTTCTGGCAGGCATCAGTGAATTCAAAAGTCCTCGATATGTGTCAGTTGTAAAGCCGTATGGTTCTGCCGCCTTCCAAACCTGTATATCAGATTGACTCGATAACTCTCAGGATGATAGGCGGGAGACTTGTCTAAGATACTCCCGCATGACATGGCTTGCAGCCAAAGGGGAGGGTGGACTAATGGAAGTGGTGGTGTATAAGATACAAGCACAACAGTCAGAAGTGTAATGTCCAGGACATGAAGTCAAATACAAATATCATCAACAACGCCCGCTATAAATCAGGTCACTTATCAAAGCCAATAATCCTGCTCACTGGACGGAGCGTGATCATCACAGGATTTCTGTCATTCACTGTTTCATCAACAGCATCATCCATATCGTCGTCTTCATCGCTCTCGGAGGTTCCTCTGGCATGCTTCAATCCGAACATGCTCACTACTCGATTCATATGTGCTTCAGATTGCTTGAACATCGGTGGTGCGCGAAGGGAATTAGCACATGCGGAGAGCTCCAGGACCAGTTCACTGTCCAACTCGGTGGTAAAGAGGTCGAATATATATCTCCTTACTGGTAAACGGTACCGTTGTGTCGAAACGGTGTGCAGAGCACGGAAAAACACAGAGGGTGATGAAAATGCTGATCGGTATTCAGGTCGAGACTTCATCCTGGGATGATTGTTGAGAAATCGTAGAAAAGTGTAAAACCATTCTATATAGTTTACCTGGCAAGTGATCTCGATGCCGCGTTTGCAATCACGGTGTTGCTTAGGTTCTCTATTGCGGAGATTACCTCCAGGTCCGTATGAGATGTTGGCGGTATAAGCCGAGAATCACCGTCCCCCTTTATCCCGACAGGATCCCACGCAGGTAACTGGAAAGCATCAGATATACAGTATGGTATAGATAAATCTAGTGCCTTACTGAGATAAATTTATTCAGATCCAGGGGTATGCACAACCCAGTTGGCACCCCAAGTGGCGACAAGGTTGCCTCCCACCGATAATCATCTAGGATTTCTGCTCCTTGAGTTGTTGAGGAGATCAACCCAAGAACGAAGAAGCACGACCTAGATTTGTGTTCAATGCAAAGAACCAAGCACTCAACAAAGTGCTTACCCTCGCACAGAGGGAATGAGAGAGTGTTCAGCGATCTCTAATATGGCGGGAATGATCTCTTCCTCTTCCAGGAACGGAAGGCCGCCCTCAGTGGCCCCGACATTCCCCTACAGCATTATCAATGATTTTATTTGAACGCGCACCGGTAAAGATAACGCACCACCGCCCACAGGATGCTTTTTAGTTTGAGAATTAACTCAAGATCCTCACTCTCGAGACCGTGCTGTTTTATGAAATGAGAGAACTCAGAGAAATGGCCCTTTTCGCTAAGAACTTGGCAGCCAAGCTCAGTTTTCGACATTTCCCCATAAAAGTGGGGTGGAACAACTCCATCGAAGGCTCTGAGGTCGATTTAGTTACACTGGCTGCGTTGGAGAGTGACACGTACAAGACATCTTCATCATCTTCTGCGGCCTCTGAGCTGAAGACCTTAGACAGGAAGATTTCCACTTGTATGACGTAGTAGATGTTACGATCCTAGATAGGCGGTGATCAGAGTAGTATGACGAGTAAAGGAAAACACAGACATGGAACCACATGTCCATCTCCCTGTCGATGTAACCTGCACTATACAAGTAACGGAAGCCCATGGGAGTTGACATGAATCTAGTTTCAGGTCAGCTCTGCGCCTAAGCTAAAGGCAGAAGAGCGAACAGACTTGAGCAGCAGCGGATGTCCAATTTCTCCGAGATGGTCCATCGTTGGTTGCATTTCTACGACAAGTTGCAGTACTTCCATGACATCGCAGGCTTCTTCAAGGAATTGGATCGCCAATTCACAAACCTCTGGCGCTTGATCATATATTTGAGTTAAAAGAAGACGTAGTGTCCATGCGACTGGTATGATTGAGTCTCGTATGAGATCTCCAAGGTGGTTCGTCGCATAAAGGCGTGTGCGCTGTGGAAAGTATATAAAGCGAATGAACGGTGCATTGGACGTGGCATGACTCACGACGTCGCTCGATGTAAGAGCTTTCGAGAGCACGATACGGGGATGTCCATCACTTCATATCCAGTAAATGACTGCTTCTATCAACACAACTGAGCACTCACATCGTATAATCCAAATTCGTAATCACAGCGGTGATCAAGTCTTCACGATCGCGTAGCTCACTAAGGTGATAGAAAGCAGTAAAAAATTTGAACTTTTCCATCAGCCTGGGGACATCAATCAGTAAGACACATCAGGCGTTGCGAATGGCTCACTCAATGCCTTCTGCATGCTTGCTTAAAGTTCCCAGCATCTCAAAGTAGCCATAAGTCAACGTCTCCGATAGCCTGTACTTGGAAAATATAGGATCGGATTCTGATGTGCCGTTGAACTGCAAGACATGCTGACATCAACAAAACCACGGGATCAACACGGTAAAAGCATACAGGGTCCAGCTGAGCAAAACACTTTACTATTTGCTTCAACAAATCATCTTCCGAAGCAAGGAACCGGATCCCGTCTGGACTAGCCAGTAACGTGGTGAGAAGAGAGCATCCCAAGCGCACCCAGCGAACATTGGGCTTGCAATTTACGGTCAGCGTGGAGCATCTGGAACAAGACAGTAAAATACCTGTTTCCTGGGAAGGTCAGAAAATCGATGTGTGAACGGATGGAAAAAAGACAGTAATCGTCGCATGAATCTTGCTACTTTGATGGCTTCTTCCAATCGCTTGGGATTCAATAGTGGCCCCTCGATCAACTCTTGAAGCATCTCAAAGTTCCATTTCGCACTATCTTTTGTCAACATAACCTGGAGTAAAGTCAACCTGCCTCACAACACGGACCCGAAGTAAACCCACCTGAGTCTCGAGCAACGATGACTGGAAAGTTTTATCGTCCATCTGCATCCCCATCTTGATTTTGACCTGCTCGACTTGTCTCTGTCCTCTCCGAACTGCGTCTTCAACAGAATTCGCCCTATGATACCAGGTAAACGTATTTCTTCTGGCCATCCACAAGCGCTCACCTTGGGCGTGCATTCCTAACGCTAGGTTGTAGTCTCAGACGGTTACGATTGAAGCTGTCGATTGCGGAGAGAGCAGATGTTCCGACTATCCTGTGCTCTCCTCGGTTATAATCTGCTGCCAGACAGAACACGCGAGGAACAGCCTAAAACAGATTCAGATTCCAAAAAAATAATTTGGATGCAGACACACCTGTATCCTGGCAGCGACACCCAGGGGAAGTACTCTGTTTGCCATCTGCATAACTTCGGCCATGAGCAGGGTTGCCTTACGTGACAAGTTGGAGCCAGTGGTACATTCTTCAAGCATTGCCGTGAGTGCCTATTGGCCGTCAGGTTAACTGGAGGTGCACAATGGATTTATGCTTACATCTATCAGACCAGCGTCTGTGAAGACGAGGACAAGAAGAGCAATGTATTGGTCGGTCAGCTTTAGCGTTTCAGGAGCCTTATCTACAAGTTTCTGATCTGCGAGCTGATCCGCAAAAGCTCGGGGTTTCCGGTACACTGAACTGGACCGTGAGTCACCAACAACACGTGAGGGCTAGATGACCTACTTGTGAGCCGTCGACCATCTATGAACGTTTTATACCATTGCGGAGCTTTGATATTGAACAGATCAAAGAACATATCCAGCACTATCTCCTTAAATCGATGTGAGTTCTTGTCTTCCAACAGACTCAAGCAACACACTCTTGTCTCAAGAGACGGTATTCGTAGCGTATTGACGATAGACTTGATTGCGTGTTGATCTCCCAGACAGAAATACATCAAACCTATGAATTGTTTCATCCTTGAACAGAGAGCAGGTCACAAGATGCCTACCGCTCCAAGTCCGTAGCATCAGTTGTATGATCTTGGTACAGCTCCGCATACGATCTGCGTGATCTGCACCCTTGCCATAAGCATCTGTGATGGCAGAAAGAGCGATCTGGTATACAAGGTAAAATCGTGAACGCAGAGAAGAACAGCCTGCCCACCTCTAAGTCAGTTCCAAGATGCAGGTATGCACGAGTACGAGGGGAGTCGATGATGTGCAAGAATGTGGCTGCCAATATTGGCCCGACTTCGACTGGACCTTCACCTAGGGCATGCAAAAGGAACCGAATGCCTCCAGATCGTGCCACGAGGTCAATGTCAATGAGAACTTCAATGTTTGGATCAGATGCAGGAAAGATTACAAGAAAACTATCCACGCACCCATTTCAGCGAGAGTTTGTACGCAAATGGGACGAAACAGATCTTCAGCATGTTCAGCAACTGCTACAAATGCTCGCATAATGGGTTCCGAAAGAGGAATCGTCTTTGTTCCAGTAATACCACGTCGATCTCGAGGTTCGGAAACGATGTCGACAATAGTACGAATGAGCTTGATGACTTGTTCCCTCTCTATGGCGTGTTTGTTATCTCGGGCTAGAGATCTATTCGGATAAATGTGAGATTGCTGTCGAGCAGGGCAAAATAAACACAATACTTTACGATGAACCACTCTAGAGGCTGTTTATGCAGCTCCTCTGCTGAATCTGAGTCGACCAATGAATGCCTGATGAGCCGATAGGCAGCGGCTCTGCAACGCATAGAGCATCGATCAGAGAGAGCGGGGATTATCCTGAAAACTGGCATCAATAAGTACCGACGAAAGCGCGTAAAACTGCGCACGCTTGAACAACCTCAGGTAGATTGATTTCGTAGCGGACACGAAGATTGCGTTGGAGAATGCAGACGAATCGATTCATTACTTCGACCCTGGACCTGTCATTACCTGCTGCGGAAATACTGCTCGTGGCTGACGGAGTCGATGCTGGAGGGGGTGATATTATTGGACGCGATAGCGAGTTTAAGGATTTGATGCAGGCATTAGCTTGAGCCAGAGTTGTTCTAAAATCATCTACCCCGAATGTCAACTTACAAGTCAAAACGAATAATTTACAGACCTCTGTCCCTATCATCGCTGTCTGCCCTGAAACGAACCCCGACTGGAGGAGCCTGACCAGCGAATTTGCGCCGATTCACAGGAATTCCGTTCTTCCTGCGCCTGCCTCGGGACGTTTCTGGTGCGTCGTGTACTGGTAGTTTCAATGCGAATCGTGAAGAAGACGCACCAAGTTCGATTTTCCTCGTCAGGGACTCGATTTCGCCCGTCGCCATCTCGAGCTCCGATTCTACCTGCAAACGCATCGTTTCCTGTGCGTCCCACTGTAAATCAATCAAATAAGAATGTAATGGAACATACATTCAAGGGCAATTTGAGAAACCTCTCTGCGCCCTCTTTAATTCTGTTTTCCCGTTCCAGTAATGCATTGAGGGTATCGAGCTGGTGCGTAAATGAGCGCCCGCTATTGGCCAGCCTGAGGTTCAAACGAAACGAAGGAAGGACCTACCTGATCATCATAATCTCTGTTAGTTCCTTCTATCTCATGGAGTTGATTCGTTGGCTCCAGTGGACTTGGAAGATGATCTGGGTGTGTCGTACCAGAGTTCTCTTGATCGATGCTGGTGGGCATCAACACCTGCTGTGGACAGTAGTGATATAATATATGCAATTGCTGCGGGTTCTAGAGTACTGCCTGACAGCCGAATGGTACTATACTATGTTAATCAAGAGTTAAGACTTGGCCGGAATCTTTGAGATCTAATTTTAAACTTGACAGAAAGTCCCAGGCTCACCACCTCTGCTGAGGGGCGACATCCATGACGGAGCCCACATTTTTGACCATCTACGCTCAGACCTCCTATTCAGTTATAACACGGGTTAATAACAACAACACTGTTGTCTACTAGCGATCAGTCCTGCGCCTAGTATGAACACTCGGGATTACTAGACCTCAGCAGCACGTCTTCCAAAATTCCAGATTCATCGTGACTGGTAGATGAGTGCGAAATGTAAAGAAGACATCGAAATCGCCTTCGACTACTTCCGAAGTTTTTCTCTTTGAAAAACGGTCGACCGTTTGACTCCTTGCCATGACGCAGCTGCCTCATGAATGTCCACATCGGACAGCCTCTCCCAGCAACAACCCAATCATGCTGATTCCACTGGAAGAATTCCGTGAGTTAAATGATGAGTTAAATGATGAGATGTGTGACCCATTTTTCGTCACTGACCTCCCTCATCTTGTTAGGCCCCGAGGTATGATATCGCAAAAGTTGGAAATAACTGGTTTGACTTGCTGAATGCAGGAAACAGTCAAGGTCCTGAAGGGAGGTCGGACTAACAATGTAGTTGGTTTAACCCCAACCAAAGAAATCTTCGCGGAATACATTAGCCAGCCTGATCTCAACACCATCAAGGACGTTTTAAAAGACACCGAGTGCGATGAACATGTATTCTTCTGTAACGGCGAGTTCTACATCTGCAATTTCTGGAGTGACACTGGATGTTGTGCTTGAGCCGAAGGGAAATTCGCAAATTTGGAAACAGACAGACGAAGATAGTACGAAGGCGCGCTTATGGCTGATGGAGATTTGATATGCAGCATAGTGTTCCTGGCGGTCAAATGTGTCAGTGGTAAAGCTGGATGGTTCTGCCGTTTTCCAAACCTATATATCTGACTCGATCACTCTCAGGATGATAGGCAGGGGCCTTGTCTAAGGTAGCTGAAGAGTACAAGAAGCTGTTAGTCAAATCTTGAAATTCCATGGGTTGGTGTCACATGGGATGGTCGCCATCGAGAGTCAGATTCCCACAAAAAGCAGCAGTGGCAACAACAGTGATATAACCAGTGTATGCTCCGTGCATAAATCAGTAAAATACTGAACAATCCATGAGATCACTTGCGTCAGAAGAAGACGTAGAGAAGGCAGAATAGGCTCACAATAACCAGTCAACCATCCTCCCAAGGCACCTGTCCAGAAGCCCACCTATCTCCCCACATCAATCGTTTGTGGTAGACTTTCCTAAGCTCTCTAAATTCTCTAATGAATTCATCCACATCTGAGGCATCGTTACCCGAGGAAGGCAAAGGAGAGGATTGCACAAATGATGATGCGAGAGCCTCTGAAGCATCATCTTGTGCGGTAGTCGCATGACGAAGGCGAAGTAAAAGAAACTGAGGGTTGAACCGCTGAAAGAACATCAGATGCTAGCTTATATGCCACATTCGGTGACGTACTTGATAGACTTCTCGTTGTTCGCGCTCGAGATCCTTCCAGCGAGACTCCATAGACTTGGCGTTATCAAAGGCTTCTTTGGTTTCAGTCCGCAACTCATACAGACGGTCCTGCAGTGATAGATTTGTTCCTAAAGCGAGATATCTGGCGTGTTGCCTATCAAAGAATGATTAAAAGCTTACGAGCGATGGCTTCGTTTGCCATACCTAGCTCCGCCTGAGCTTGATATAACTCCTTGACCTGAGGCAAGGAATGGAATATGCTCTGGAAGTAAGCGGGATCATTGAGGATGTCTTCGAGATCTTCACGTCTGCGCAAGATGAGTGAACTGAAAATGCAGGCTCGTATGTGATACACACGTAAGGTGAGCTAGCTCGGGAAATTCATTCATCAAAGGTGTCGCAGCCATAAATGACGCGGGATAGTAAATCAATCAAGTTGTCATGTAAAGCAGCTTGAGAGTCCAACGTTCAGGAGGCTAGTGTGCCTTTTTTTCCTTTTCCAGTTTCCACGATGTCCATCGTCCTTCCTGGTGAACAAGTCCCTGCCCAGCATGTCAACCTCAAGCTTGGACCTGGCCTTCTTCAATTATCGAGCGAGACACAGCAACAAGCGAAGTCAGCTCCTGTTATTGCTACTCGCTCAGGTGTCCTCAACCACTCAGTTAATAAGAGCAAATGGTGGGTAGAGGGCAATTCAAGAAGAGTACGGCGCTCTACTCCATAGCGTGCAAGCTAGCCGTCTAATAACCACCTCCAGTATGTACCGGCGCCTCAGGAGAGTGTAATTGGCGTGATCACTGGACGGAGTGGTGAGGGCTGGCGCGTCGACATTGGATCTGCGCATCCTGCTTCACTGGATGGCTTAGCGTTTGAAGGGGCAACCAAAAGAAACAAGCCAAGTCTAAAGGTACTTCAACGTTCCTTTCAGCTCCAGTGTCAATGTATAGCTTCTTGATGTATCAATCAGGTTGGTTCGCTCATTTATGCTCGCGTTTCCTTGGCCCACAAAGATATGGAGCCCGAACTCGAGTGTTTCGACGCGCAAACTCACAAGGCAGATGGGTTTGGTGAGCTAAAGGATGGCTTTGTGCTTCAGTGCAGTTTGCAAATGAGCCGACTGTATGCTACATCCTTGCTGTTATTTTTCTCTTGTTCATTATATTTTCACCCAGATTACTTGACCCTAAACATTTTCTCCTGCCACTGCTTGGATCGCGTTTCCCTCTGGAAGCGGCAGTGGGAATGAATGGAAAAGTATGGATCAGCACGAAGGAGACAAAACATACGATTGCCATCGTGCGGCGTATTGAGGCAGTCGATCCAGACGGCGGCGGAATGGATGCAACTAATGTAAAGAAATTCCTTAGCAAATTGGATATATAATCGCTGTACATTCCCTCAGTTGTGAGAGATACCTGTGCACTGGTACAAGTAACGGTAGTAAAAGAAAGTTGTACAGCTGAAAAGACAGCGATGACACATACATATACCACAGTTTCTCTCAATTCAATCATCATCTGCTATCCTCGCACGTTTCGTTGGCCGCCTGCCTGTACCAATGCTCTGCGAGTCTTCGTCGCTGACAGTACCTGCGCTCCGTCGCATAGCGCGTTTACGTCGCTGATATTCTCTGTCACGGTTCTTTTTCTGCTGCGCAGCAGTTAACTCCTGCGTGCGTGGAGCCGGAGGTACGACAACAGTAGTTAGCCCTGGCGTAGTTTGAAGCCTCATATCGTCAGGTGCAGGTGTCGAATCTTCACCTTCTCCGAGAAGATCCAAGGACTGAGGAAGAAAAGCGAAGTACTCCAATGAAATATTTATCCGTATCTTGAATTAGTTGGACATACCTTCTGCCATGTTCCACTACTTGTTGAGAACCACCGGTCACCGTCCCCAATATCGTGTTTTCTACGCGCCGCAGCACCTTGTGTGGGCTTAAGATATCCGTCGAATCCATGGATGATGTTACCCGTAGTGGAGGTTTCAGCGAGATAAGACGTTTCTAGTGTATGTATCAGGACTTCAGTCTGTGCCTGTAGATTATATAGAGCAGGTTGAACAATTCAAGTCAATAAAGAGGGTCAACGTACTAGTTGTCTGTCCGCGGCCCTTTTCTTTTGAATCATCTTCACAAGTTCATCTTTCACCTTCTCGTATCGTGCCTTCTCCTCTGCGGTGGGAGGGTCTTTGCTCGCCATAGCAAGAATCCAATAGACTTAGAGATCAAGTGCCATCCAAACAGCTAATAACCCTCGAGTAAGTACTCAGGCTCAGCAACAAGGACGAAGGGGTACCACGTGTGCTTCGATTTCCCTTTTTGGGAGGAGTTACGCGTCGGCGAGCACCTCAATTCAGCACCGTCATCAATCTCTACCACCCGCTTCTCAATTCATATGTCCTCAGCTCCCCCCTCTGAACCTCCATCGGACCCTCCTGCAGGTGATAACGTGCAGAAGCCGGATACACCACAACAACCAGAAGCTTCCCCTTCGCCAGGTCAGGATGGCGTTGAAATGGACACAACGCCAGATCAACCCGCAGAAGAGACTTGGGATGACATTCCAGAGGAGATAAAGGCTTTGACGACAGATGAGATTTTGACCAGAATACGGCTGATTGATAATGATATCAAGGTGCGTCGTTTGCATCTTGCAATAATTTCTCAGAGTTCAAATCTAGAGTACTTTGTCCTGGTGATGCAGGTCATGAAGTCAGACACGCTACGATTACAACATGAGCAAACCGTAATGAAGGAGAAGATACGTGACAATGGGGAGAAAATTAAGCAAAATAAAGTCTTGCCGTATCTCGTTGGAAATGTGGTGGAGGTACGCACAACCAGGCTATATCCTCATATGCCGTCGTTCATCTGCCATAGGTATTGGACGTTGATCCTGAATCAGAGGAAGACGGAGCAAACCGCGACTTGGACTCAATGCGCAAGGGCAAATGTGCCGTTGTGAAGACGTCCACTCGACAAACTGTTTTCCTCCCTCTTATTGGTCTCGTACCTGCCGACCAGTTGAGACCTTCCGACCTTGTCGGTGTTAACAAAGACTCTTATTTGATCCTCGACAAACTTCCGACTGAATATGATTCACGCGTCAAGGCAATGGAGGTTGATGAACGTCCAACAGAAACCTACACTGATATTGGTGGCTTAGAGAAACAAATTGAAGAGCTGGTCGAAGCCATCGTTCTGCCGATGGAGCAGGCAGACAAGTTCAAGACCTTGGGCATAAAACCACCGAAAGGTTGTTTGATGTATGGGCCACCAGGTACGTATGCTTATTTACGTGCACACCATTGCTTATAACTTTGATAGGTACTGGGAAAACTCTTCTTGCCCGTGCATGCGCAGCACAAACAAAGGCTTGCTATCTCAAGCTTGCCGGTCCTTCACTCGTCCAGATGTTCATCGGTGATGGTGCTAAGCTTGTTCGCGACGCGTTCGAACTTGCCAAAGAGAAAGCACCTGCAATCATCTTCATCGATGAATTGGACGCTATTGGAACAAAGCGTTTCGACTCAGAAAAGAGTGGTGATCGTGAAGTGCAGCGAACGATGTTAGAATTGTTAAACCAGCTTGACGGTTTCTCGAGCGACCAGCGAATCAAGGTGATACTATTTACTATCGACTTGAGGTTCTTTACTCAGATTGTCCAGGTCATCGCAGCGACAAATCGAATCGACATCCTTGACCCCGCCCTTCTCCGTTCAGGTCGTTTAGATCGTAAAATCGAGTTCCCACTACCAAACGAGACCGCTCGCGCCCGTATCCTGGAAATTCACTCACGAAAGATGACTGTCAGCCCAGACGTGAACTTTGAAGAGTTGGCTCGTAGCACGGACGAGTTTAATGGTGCTCAGTTGAAAGCGACTTGTGTGGAGGCCGGTATGATCGCCCTGCGCGAGGGTGCTACCAAGCTCGGGCACGAACATTTCCTAAGCGGGATCGCTGAGGGTGAGTGGCTTGCTTTCGACGACTGTCTCCGATAACCTTCTAATTGTGTCGTGTAGTACAAAGCAAGAAGAAGAACAATTTGATGTACTTCGCATAAGTCGCCTTATCGATTCATTCCGTTGTGGTAGACTCGATTTTCGCACTCATATCTTCACCAATGCCACTATCATTTCCATCGCCAGCTTTGTGCTATGCTGAGGGGGTGCGAGTGCACCTTCTGTAATATTGTTGCTCTCGCCAGTTGCTTGACTGTGCAGCTACTAACATGATGTTTCCTTCCCGGACTCCTTGAGCTCGATGTCGTGTCACGCAGACTAAAATCCTTTCTCCGTTTTCCACACATGTACATCTTCGTGCGATCGTGCAGCTCTATCAAGAAAACCCAGCGCTGCCAACCCAATCCCCGTCCCAGCTTGTGATGGTATGCTTTATAAGGACCTTTGCAAGAGCCTGACTACCGGCAAAGCGACCGGGCGTGAAAGGTTGTTGCGGGTCTTGCACCTTGTAGAAAAAGTAATCACTCAATCAAACAATTATTTCAACGCCGCCTTGGTCACGACACGGTGATGACTGCAGTCATTGTCATAATGCAAACAGCTGTAACTCATTGACTGTTCCGTGTATTCATTGTTATTAAAATACGGCCAGGTAACGCATGGAGTATGATGATAAGTAAGGTAATTATGTTTCGAGAGTTCATCGCGGATATACCACTCGTACTGACATGGCTAGGCATCTATCTATTTCTTGCTTAATGCTTGCAGTTGGACATATTCGTAGTAGTCACCCTTCAGGGAAAGGAGCTCGTCGTGAGTACCAGCTTCGCTGACCCGGCCTTCCTTGATGAAGTATCTGCGAAGGAAGTATTAGTACAATTGTGTCTGGATTATCAATGATGACTTCTCACATGCAGTCAGCGTTCTGAATCGTCGAGAGACGATGAGCGATTGCTATCGTCGTGCGACCCTTTGCAGCTTGATCAAGAGCCGCCTGCACAACCTTCTCAGAATTCGAATCTAACGCTGAAGTGGCTTCGTCTAGCAGAAGAACCTTCGGGTTGCGAAGGAGGGCACGGGCTATTGCAATGCGCTCTGATTGTGGAGTAAGTACCTGAGAGAGAAGCCAAAAAATCATGGGTAACGTACGCTTTTGGCCGCCAGAAAGTTGCGACCCTTTCCCACCGACTTCAGTGTCAAAGCCACTGGTCATTATGTCAGTAACATATTCATTTAAACTGACAGCTGGAGACATACTTGGGAAGAGATTTGATGAAATCCAGAACATTGGCATTGCGGCAAACAGTCTCAATTTCCTCTTGAGTTACCTCAGACTCTGGCTTGATGGCACCTAGCAGGATGTTGAAGCGAATGGTGCCGGCGTAGAGTGTCTGGATGGTGAATGTGAGATTAGACATACTCCCCTCAGGATCCTATTTACTTACTGGTTCCTGCGACACAAGGGCAAGTTGCTTTCTGTACTCCTGAACGTTGAACTCATTGATGGGTTCGTCATCAAGCAGAACCTGGCCCGACAACGGATCATAGAATCGCTCAATCAACTGGATACTGCAGTACAGCATGAGAGCACTGGAAGGTCGAAAAAATTGGATGCTTACACTGTACTTTTACCGCATCCACTGGCACCAACCAAAGCGACATATGTACCTGGCTCGATTTTGAACGATAGGCCGCGGAGGACACGGATGCCAGGACGAGTGGGGTAACGGAAATGAACGTTTTCAAAGC